TTACCTGTTCTTTCGCGGTCTTCCTTCTGGCCAGCCAACCGACGAGCTTGATCCAGATGTGCTTGCGAAAGATCAGCATCTGCTTTACGGTCTCGTGTGGTTTTTGTCCAATCTCTCTGCACCTCCTTGATGTTCTGAAGCGCCTTCGTGTACCGAGTCGCACCGAAGATGTCATCAAAGCGCTTCTTGACACTCGCTGCTTCCTGCAATGGCCACGACGACTCCTCTTGGTGACAGAAGATGACGTTTTCAAGCACGGCACGAGAAACCCCCATGAGTTCGGGAACCTGCGTATCCATATCCGCGCATCTGTGACTGAGACTTGCCTTGCTGCCATCCTCGGCCGTCGTCCGCAAGACGCTCTCTAAAGCTTTGTAAGCAGGCTTCATGCGGCCTGCCACGCGACGGTTGGCTAGCTGGAAGGATCGGATTGCACATATCTCGCGGTCCTTCTGGTCGGCACCAGCCCTGAAAAGCATGCGGATTTGACCCTTCACTTCAGGAAGGCGTGCTACTTGGGGATCGTGAACGAATCCATGACCGTTTTTTGCATTGGGTGGAAGCATTCCAGCAGAAGCCATCTTCAAGCATTCAATGATCGTTGTCTTCCCCGAGCCGTTCGGCCCCACGATCAGCGTGACCGGCTTCTCAAATTCAATCACCTCCATTCGCTCATGGTCAAAGCTTCGTATGCCCTGAATGCCCAGCTTGGAGATGGTCGTCATGGCGGAACCACCGAAACAGCTATTGTCACAACAGCACTCCCTGTGAAAAGTACGCTCAGCATGCGGCATTCTGGGAGCAGCGTGGATCCTGCTGAACAATAAATGTCACGCTAATGGTGCCTCTGCATTGACGCTAACTAAGTTGTATCTTCCGGGCATGTGGACGTTGCACCCACAGCCCAAACTAAAAGGCTGCATGCCAACTGCCAACTGCAACAGCGCATAAATGTGCGACTGCAGGATGAAGAAGCAAGAGCTTTTGTTTTGACAACGTCACGCAAAATGCCCATGCAACACGCTACGCTGAGCCGCCGAGTGTTTACTCACTCGCCATTCGTGCCCAGCCTGCCAGCAAGATCAGACGTCAGCTATCAGGTTATCAGCCGCTGTTGCTGGCCTCCACTCCGTAAATTGCTGCACCCCCTGGGCGCTCGGGAAACCGGAGCCGAAGCCTGCCACTCCCACGTTGAATCTCCATACCTACGGCCCTACGCTACGCATGTTCCTCACCTCCCAACGAAAAGTGCTCGGAGTCTGCTCTCCACGCCTGGTGAGCACCACAGCTCTTTCTCAACTCTTAGAAGGATCTCCCGTGCCGGCGTGCTTGCTTGCAATGGCTTGTCTGAGGACTGGGGTGCCGTTCAGTCCCTCCTTGCTCCATTCATGCCCACCTCTGCCCTTCTTCCCCTCCCTCCCTCGGTCTCTTCTTCCACACGGACATGGGTAAGAGGAGGGGGAGCGACCCTCACCTCTGCTCCTCTCTCTGTAATTGTGAGGAGCTGGTCTGCTTGGCCCTGCCGAACTGCTTTCGGGTGGGAGGCAAAACGAGAGAGTCTCACGGGAGCAAGCGGCTTAGGCCATAAGCCATGAAGTATGTAATAGCATACTCTTCGGTGACAGACTCTCTGTACTGACATCGGCAGTTCACTTCTGGGGGAAGGGCCTTCCACACTCGAACACTCGCATCGGGCTGTCCGGAGGGTCTTCGAGCTGCAAAGACATGACCGGGGTCTTGACACAACAGGAGATCGATGCGTGTTACAGCCATACTTATAGGTTGTCGCTGGGCACTGTGAGGCTAGCAGCCAGATTAGATCTTCATGTCATGCCTCTGCAGCTTCCGCGTGACATGTATCTTTTCCATGCAAAGGCGAGCCTTTCGCGAGCAGAGTGTAGAGCAGAAATCCCATTCGGAATTCCTCCAATCCACAGGAGGCAATACAGGCGCGAATACCAAGAAAAACCTTAAGTTGTATCCAGCGTCATGCACTTGTGCTTTTGTTGCAGGCAAGCTTTCCACTGGACATCGTGGAGACTATGATCAGACATCCCCAAAGTCAACGGTCACTTGAAAGAAGCCACAAGCATTCCTTCAAATCCTTCCACCTTCATCGCAAGGTCTTTCTGCAAATCTCCCTCCCAGTTACTAAATCCTTTTGCAGTGTGCAAGCAGCGCAAGCCAAGCGTCCAGAACATGGCTCAGACTGCTGGCCACGGCCGCCACGGCCCAGCAGCTGCAGAAGCGTTGACTTTTGATCCATCCTGCAGTCTTGAGTCTTGACGGTCGTTGGCCAAAAAGCAGCCTGCTCGACCCCGCCGGATCGCGCAGACTCACACCATGTGCATTGCATAGCCAGGGAGTGGGCAGCTGGATGAAGGTTGCAAATTCCGACAGCAATCCTGTCTTGAAGTGGGGGTGGCGAAGCCACGCGCGCCTGCAGGCCCAGATTACGTGCGTGACGGAACGAAAAAGTGCAGTACTTTGCAGACCAGCCTTCGAGCAAGCGGCTGAGGCTGGGCGAGCAGCTGGCATGACCGGATCACTGGGGCTTGTCCTCGCGTCGGGCGAAAAGCTGCATAAACCAAACTTGTGCGGAAGTCTCAGCACGGATACGGCTCTGCCGAGCATCGGAGATGCAGCGTCATCCGACGCGGGTTGCAATCGGAGTGTGCCGTGTTCCAAACGAGGCCCCTGGCAGTGGCTACAGTGAAAGCGAAAGATGGAGCAGAAGCCGAGCAGGAGGGCCGCCTGAGGGGCCGGGGCCCCGGGTGGCTTCATCGCTGCCGATCCCCTCGCGTTGGTCGCTAAGCACAAAGGCGCGCGCGACGCAGCACGATACAACATCTGAGCAGGAAACGGGGTGACTTTGGCAACAGCACCGATTGTGCGTCGTTGAGGTGGCGCTGCATTCCTGAAGTGAACCTAAGCTGGTGCAGTGCCTTGGTGTTTGTTTGTGTAAACGAGATCTTCGACAGAGCCGAGCTACAGTCACTCTACTTGGCGCTTTCGGCTTGCAGTTCGGATCAGCGATGAGCTTTCTGTCTTCTCTCCTGCCCATGCTGTGTAAGTCTTTCAATCCCCGTCAGCAGAAGAAGTACTTCTTTCCCAGCCTCTGGCCACACTCAGGTGCGGCCTCCGAGACTTGCGTTCCTCGAGCACAGGGCTGCAAGCCAGGTTGTGCCCATAGCACAGACCTGCCGACCTGCCTTTGGAGAGATGCTTCCGCACACCGTGCATGGAAGCCGGCCGTGGTGCCTGATGCTGATACAGTGTGCCGCGGAAATCAAAGCTCTCAAGAGACCGCAGAACACACACAGCACCTCCAAAGCACGCCTCTCCACCCAGAGCTGCTTGGGACCTTGGCGTGATTTGGCGTGGGTCACATGGTAGCCTAGGCTCCTTATCACATGCTGTGTCGCCATGTTTGAAGCTGAGCTACTACAAACCGGGCGAGCATGCTCCACAGATCTGTGCTGCTCGACCCAGTCCTCCAAGCATGCTGAAGCACCAAGTGTCAGACATTTGGAAGTTGGAAGTGTCAGCCGTGCTCCGTGACTCTTCTGACGCTTTCGCACTGCGCATGATTTCGAGATTGCGAAAGTCCCTATTCACGTTTCTCTCGCTTCCCCGCTTGTGCCCAGACTGGGCCTGAAAGCTCGATGGGCCGTGGCCGATCAGAACCCTTTGTTGTGGTCGTGCCCGCAGATCAGGTGAGGCCTGGGAATTGGCAAGAGACGTGCCGCGGCCAGTGCAGGAAGCTCTCTACATCAATCAGCCAACCCAGTAAGATCCTGCGGTGTACGACCAGCGGCATCATTCTCAGGAGACTGATCTGATGGTAACTGCCCGGCAATTTCGGGCAGAATAATGTGTGACAGCTTTGCCTCAGCTCTTTCGTGCAGCCTCGAGATTGCTCTGGTCAGACTGATGACTCCTGTGACATACCAGGCAGCTTTCGTGGCAGAAGTCTCGCGAAATGCATCGGAAACGTTCTGCCAAGTGTCGTCTGCAGGACTCACAGGGGTCACCTGCCGGCTGAAGCAAGTGCTCTTGTCCGACGGCTGCTGCTTGACCTCGAAGAATTTCTCGGGAACTAACCGGCTCCGACTTGGTGCTTTCTGTGAAAATGAGTTCGGTGAAGGATTTGCCACAGTGCGCTGCCAAGCGTCGTCCACAGTCCTCATGCCCCAGCAACAAAAGGTATTGCCAGCACTTACAACATAAAACTATGTGCACTTACTGTTCCACTGAATGCTAGGAAAGTAACGTTCCGGACACTTGCCGGCTCAATGCACCAGCCTTTTCCGCAGCCTGGTGCTTTGCCTCACATCGCATGACAGACCCGCACAATCCCGCACAGACCCCCCCAACAACAACGGTCCCTGAAGACACAGGAACTGAAGTCTGCCAAGAATCGTCCACCACCCTGAGCTCGGAAGTTCACTTGACATCAACTACGCCAGAGTCATTTTTTGCCACCCGCCCAGCTGAAACAAGTCGCACCGCAGGTCCAGAGTCATTAGGGATTCATAGCTTGTCAAGCCAGATAGCACCGGAGACACTTGCCGGCTGAAAGAGAGAGCCACTGCCTCGCAAGGCGTCGGGATCAGTCCGGTGTTTGGTTCTGCATGATGTGTGCAGGCCTGCAAAGAGCTCAGCCGCCTTTCCATCGCCTGGTTGGCACTTGTGAAACCGACAAGTGAATCTGCAAACCCAGGGTGTAGAAGTGTAGCCTGCGCGCCGACATCCGTAGAAAGCCTTGCAGCCAGAGCAACGACCGCTCAGAAACCCGAAAGCCTCTAGAGTAGCCAGCTGGGCAACTCTAGCTGGATGCAAGAGCCGCCCGCATGAGAGCCTCGCGAACAGTTGACAGGCACAGAGAGATCTTCAGTGATAAGTTGCTGACAGGCCACTCGCAGGTGGAGGACATCCTGGACTGTACCTGCATGACAACACAGAGGCCGCTTGTCTTGCGGTCTTGCGAGCAGCAGCTTTCAGCTGAGAGGCAATATCCCCGGCCCTACGTCACGGCGACGACTGCTTAGTCGGCTCGACAGTGGGGAGCCGGCTTCGCTGTGAGGACCTCTTGCGCGCTTTAGACACAGGCACGAGGGCAGACAGCAGCCCTTTCCAACCAAGAGGCTCAATTCATCAATCTTCGGCTCGCTGGCAGCTGCGTCTGCCGCAGCCACCCCGTCCGGCCCAGCCCCGTTCGGACCCGGCTCAGAAACTGGACTCGCAGCTTCCAAGAAGATTGGTGACTGCTCGGTTGCAGCCGGCCCTGGCTGCCCTGGCTCTCCCGGGGGCTCTGTCCCCTCTGGCCTTTCCTCTAATTGCTCCGGTGGCTCTGGTGGCATGTGAAAGGAGATCTCGGAGGTGGGCTGGCAGCTCTCCTTGGACTTGGGTCTCAGAGACCTTCGCCTCAAAGGGCTCACCGGGCTGCTGGGGCTTCGCGGACTTGCACAGCCAGAGCTCGTCGTCACATCCAGAAACGCACTCACCCGCGATTTGCTCGGCGGCCGCAGAGCGTCACCGTGCCTCAAGCGCCAGCTGCAATGCCCTGCTACGCTAGTAACTGGTTCACTGACGTCAGCTGCACAGGTTGAATCAATAAGTCAATACGCCTGCCGGAGTTTGCTGGCGTGTCCCAGTCAAAAGGCGAGTGATCTAACCTTGGCAGGACACTGTCAAACAGAGTTGCACAAGTCACATGGCATGGGCTACCCTTTTTTGCAACAGGCTTTCCACTTCGCAAACCTCAAACCTAGCCACCGGACCGCAATCACGACTTCTCATGCACAAAAAAGAGCCTAAGACTAAGACCTCCGCGCACAAGTGGCAGAAACGAAAGCTCAATACCCGGGTGCAAGGGTGCAGCAGACGTACCGTCAACATGCTGTGGTACTACTCGCAGTTACCTCCCCCATCCAGCTCTGGGGCTTCTCACTTTTTGTCTCCACTACACTCCTGCACTGGGTGCCATGGTCTGATAATTTATCTTCCTCTCCTCGCTCCAACTCCCTCATACACTTCGTCTTCTCCTGTCAAGAATTCAGCAAGACGCTCATGCCCTCCTTCCTCCTCTCTTCTTCTTCTGTCGCACACTGTGCAACAAGTGACCCCGGGCTCGCCGGCGATATCTCACCTCCTGCACAAGCGCTTGCAACGGCCAGAGGTCTGAGGTAGCTGTCTCAAAGCACCTTGTACACTGTGGCGTCTTGCAACTCGCATGAATTTCTCCGCTGCATCATCGACCTGATGGCGAACGCAGCTGCGTCTCGCTCAGCGATCCAGCTGTCCAGCTCCGGCCTGGCTGTTCCTCCGGCTCAAACCACCTTCCATTTTCTCACCTCGTATACGGTGCCACTGCCACCAACGGGTAAAACATCCACCGGGCCTGGCTTGATCGGGATCTTCATAGATTTGCCAAACCTTAGGGAACCGACGAAGTGAAGAGGGTGCGTATGAGCGGAGGCAAAGCATCCTTCGTGCATCGAGGCAGCGCGACAATCACTTTGTACCTAGGCATGAGCGGGCGATAGAAGGCATGGCGCAGAGCACGTTCCGCATGCGCGAACAGTGCTGCAGGGAGTCTTCACCTCCTCTTCAACCTCCTCTGGCTCAATGCGAAAAGTTTTCTGCCTACGGGGGCGAGCTCCATCCCTCAGATCCAGAGGAAAGCTTTGCAACAGCTGCCTCTTGGCTTTTGTTGCCAACCTTCTCTGGATTTTTCCTGTCGGGACTACGATCTTCACCACCGGGCGTGTTTGAAAGTCCACCCTGCTGGCAGAAGCTCACGCCGAGCAGCGGAGTTCTGCTGCTGGCTTCTCATCAGCGCTGGGGTTCGAATCGGACCCCCCGTCGTCATCATCTGGTTCTTTGTCCTGGAGCACCAGACCAATGGCCCAGTGCATTGCAAAAGCCCTCCATCTTTGGGTCCTTGTTGGTCTTGCCGCTGGCAAGTCTGGCCAGCTCTCTAGATGCTGTCTCGCTGGTCAGGCGTTGATAGTGAAGGTGAGGCCTCAGCGAAGAAGACTGGGCGTTGACTCGAGCGCATCATCTGCAATGGGGCAGCGGCCACACCAGCTGTTCCTGCATGCAATCAGGCATAGACAAAGATATCATCTGGAGACAGGTTCGCATCTAGCGCAGTTGCAGACAAGAGTCAGATCCATCCATCAAGCTGTCATCATCAGGATCTGGAAGTGAAGTCTCCAAGTGGCAAGAGGCGCCTCTCTACCCCGTTAGATTCAGCACGTTGTGTCTTTCGTTGAAACATCTTGAAAGCAAAGTCGCTGAAGCGCATGCAGGCCAACTGAACCAAGGGTCAAATGGCTCGTCCGATCGTGGGCCCAGCAAGCATCAAGCGGCTCGGATTGAATTCGCTAGCCTCCGGCTTGGTTCTCGCCTCGGCCTCATCTCTCTTGGACCTGATGTTGCGTGTCTGCATTCCTTCACATCTTCATTGATTCATGCTTGGAAGCAGTTTGCGAGGACTGTATGCGGAAGAGGTGCTGCAAATTCAATTTCAAACACTTCAAGGTCGACAGGAAACTAATTTTGACTATCAGGAAACGCCAAGTCGCTTTGCGCCGCTCGATGCGTCTGCACGTTGTGCCGTGCACCGGGCTGTTTTTCGATCCTGTCACAGAGGTGGAACGAATGCCGAACCGGCGACATGCATCGTTACAGCGACATTGCTCAAGAAGAGCTTGATACGACTTGCGCTTCCTTGCCTCATCCGGTGCAAGATCACGCTGTCTTTCCGGTTCCGTCCTTCCACCCCTAAAATGTGCAGGATGCTTGCACCGCAATGCTGTGAACGTCGCTGGGGGAGGTGGCGTGTTGGCCGGCACTTATCTCCAAAGCATGACGTTCATCGATATGATGTCAGGAAGTGCCGCGACGTTCGATGTAAATCTGCAGGATGATAGGGTTTCGTGGAAACATCATCTCTCAAACGCAATCTGACGTCATTTTCGTCGAAGGTTGCCTTTGTTGTCCTCCTCTGCATGTGGCCCCTGCTACTGCGACTGAGACTACGACTACTGCGACGGCGACGACTGCTACTGCTACTACTACTGCTGCTAGTGTTCCTCTGAATGTGCCTGCAAAACTCCAGCTTTCTTTCGCCAGGCTTGAGGGCAAGGCTCTTTCTTTCGCCAGGGCTATGGGCAAGCTCTCTTTCTCTCCCTGTCTCGCGGACTCACTCGCATGTAAGCCCGGTTTTCAGATATCTCCTTCACAAACGTGAGAAACTCAACGTGAGAAAGTCTAAAAAACAGAATGTCCCAACGATGGAAAACTGCTTGGGGTTTGCCGCGGATCTGGAAAAAACGAGACAGAGGGGAGTGAGGGTTTTTCACAGCCCCCTCCACCTTGCCCAACCCCACATTGATAGATTTTGCAGGGCTTCACAAGTCGGCAAGAAATGAAAGAGTGGATCGACAACATTGCTACTGACGTGGGTCACATCTCCTGTTTCCAGGGCTGTCAGGACGTGGGCTGGGAATCGAAGACTCCGGTGCAGCATGCACCGCAGCTGCAACCGCGGCCAGGTCCTTAGTGTCGCCGTTCCGCCTATGAACCGCTGTATCTTCGCCGCCTCGCTGAGCCGAGCATCTGTCCGTGTGACTTTTCCTGCAGAAAGAGATATGACCAGTACAGCTACTTCAGTACTTCACATGAGCCGCATGAGCTCAGGCCAAGTGACGACGGTTGCCACCCTTAGGATGTCCAGAATTAAGACATAGAGATGTCAGAAAGTGTGCAACCTCTACGTCGCTACGCTTCACCAACACAATTGCCACCAGAGTGGCAGTATTAGAGTCCCTTCCTGAGATAAATGTCTCGGGGCTTCACGGGCATTCCGCGAACTGATGCTTCTTGAGCCCCGGAAACACAAGCGCCGTCAAGACATGTCGACTCACTGAAAACTGAAAGACTAGATATTGCCGGATAAGCATCTGTTGCGCTGCTCACTGCCGGATGCCTCAGGAAGACTTACGCGACTGAAAGTCCTCGCGCCATGAGAGCCAAGCATGGCAACATAAACTGGAACGGTCGAACTTTTGCAAGCCAGCGTCCAGCTGCTGCAGGAGAGCAGCTGCCGCCGCTTCTGCCATTTCCTGGTTGGCCGATGTATGTTGGACCTCCTCCTCGTCAGATTCGTCATGGTGCAACTCGTCTCGGGGGTGATTTTCGTCCCGGTCCTGACAGTTGCACACAAGTTTTGCTTGCACACCTCCACTTCGCAACGCAGCGATGCTGTGATGAGGAACCTGTGCGAGCAATTCTTCAGGGGCAACCTTGCCACTGGTGGCAAAAGAGGCTTCCACCTGCGCCGAAACCCGTCCATACCACGTTTGATTGCGTGTATACAGTGTAAACCATTCCATGCCCTCCACAAGTAATCTGATGAAGTTGAGCGGCTGTGTATGCTCTTTGGATTTTGAGCTGCAGAAACCCGACTAGGCGCGCTGTCGAGACCTTTGACTCGTATACGTTGAAAGAGCACCTGAGGGGAACAAGCCAGCTATTACAAACGTCATGCCCTACTGAATCTCGAAGAACTATCAGTCTGCCATCGTGGGATTTGTTTTCCCAGCAGCTTGTTCCATCTGAAATCGGAGGAGCCCATGGCACAAAGCCTGGCAGGTGCAATCCATTGCTAGCGGGACTGCCCTCGGCTTGCGCGAAGCCTTGGCAGCAGCTGTATGCTGGCATTCGTCATGCGGTCTTCAGCATGAGCTTTTCCACCATAGAAGAAGATGCCCTCTTTCTTGGAATGCCCGTGGAAGTCCTGCAGTGCACCCATCTTGCTTTAGCTCGCAGAGCCAAAGGAACACGCTTGAATGACAAGATTCGACAAAGATCTCCACACCACCGGGAGCTCGCTTCATGACTTCTTTCAAGTGATAGATTTCTGGATGGATTCTTTTGTTCGGCTTGAGATACACGCCTTGGAGACCCATGCTATCAAGTGGTCCGTGAGGACCAAGCGTAACAAGAAGTTTAGAGTTTAGAGACTCGCGGCGATCAGTCATTGTCGTTGCGACAAACCCGAAAAACTCAAAAGGACTCAGCTCACCAGCACTGAAAAAGCCTCTACCTTGCATCGCAGTGACGGTTGAGATCTGTACCAGCCAGACCTGTTGCAAACCCATCTGCTGCATGTCTCTCTGCGGCGCCTGAACACTCAGACCCCAGCTGCATCTGTAGCAACCACGTGCTACACCATCGGGGTTCAACATCGGAATAATGAGCCACTTGAAGGCCTGGAGAGGGACAGGTACAGTACCGAGAACGATCTGGGCAGGAGGCTGCCAAACGAGCCTGTCGCAAGGCGATAGCTTCAGCCGCAGGCGAGAGCAAGAACAGTATGAATCCATGCCTCGGAAGAAACGGAACTTCAGCCGGCACTATCAAACAAGCACAGGTACCGAGGAGCATCATCCAGGAAGCATTGGACTCGCCGGGGTGAACTCTGGCAGTCAATACGCAAAGGCCTTATCTTGCGGAGATCGCAACGTGGGTCGGCAAAATCCTTCTGTCAGCAACATTGACATCACATCCAAACCGTAAATCACACGCAGCCTAGTTCTCACCAGTCCTGCGAGCTCTGTGTATACAGTTGGTTGGACAGCCGTGTTTTCGGCAGTATTCAGTTCTTCATGCATCAGGCTCGCTTCTGCTCTGTCGGCTCTGTCCTTCCCACCTGCTTCCCACGAGCGGAGGGAGGCATTCGCCTTGTTTTGATTCCTTGATGTCAGTGGTTTGCAGTTCAGACACGCTTTCCTTTCCTAGAGCATGTTTCCAACACAGTCGGCCTGACTGCCTGCACCAGGCATTGTTGACATTCTTGAGACAGCTCTTGTGTTTCAACGAAGGATCGAACGACCCAGACTTCCCCAGGCTCGGGCACGGATACAAAACATGTGCTGCAGAACAGTAAAGATTCAGATAAATGCCGGCAGCCTCGCTGCGGAGCGCTGGACTCCACGCAATCAACTTCCAGGGCTTCGCAAGGCAAGCCTCCTGCATAGCGAAACCAGATACGGATGCATTACAGAATTGTTTAAGTTCCGCGTCATCCCGGTCCTATGGTTTCGCAAAGCCTTGTGGTACAAGCTGTCGACCGTTGCATCTCTCTGCACATGAAACCGTGCCCTTGGGCCAATCCAAGCTGCGGCTTGCGGCTGAACAGCTTGCCGGCGTACGGATCGGCTTCCAGCGTGCTGATGAAAGCCGTGAGGTAGCTGTACGTGTAGGGATAGTGGTACCTCAACGTCATGACAAATACAATCGGCTAGAATCTCCGGACACCGGTACAACCACACAATCGACGCCAACGACTAGCATGACAGTGTAGTGAAGGCAAGACGCAATCACTTTAGGCTTCGGCTGCTAGAATGCGAGCGTGAAGGCTAATTTGCCAGGCTTGTTAGGAGGACGGAGTCCGTCTGCACTATGTGCTTGCAACATGAACCTCATGAAGACCACTTCGGGCGGGGATGAAGATTGATCAGGAGAGTTGGGCAGGCTTCGATGCTGGTAGGGGCCTGTACAGAGCCAAGTCATCAGTAAGGTTGTGGTCTGAAACAGAGACGAGCGAGCAGCCAGAACAAAACAAGCTTGCTTGATGTCTGCATGTCTTCGAGTTCCTCTTAGCGCAGTAAGGCTCGTGCTCAAGTTGCTCTGGATATGGTGTAAGAGACCATGGGCACCGAGGCCGTGAAAGGCTCACAATTACGTGACAAGCCACGCGAAGAAGATTGTGTCATCCTCGAACTCGAAGGTGTAAGCAAATGACAGGGTAGAACAGTTTTTCTGTGACGTCCTCAGCCGCTCATGCGAAAGTCCATGTCATCTCTTGTCCGCGCAGTCTACATGCAATCTGGATTCAATGCTTTGGTGGACTCCGTTGCCGAATAACTAACCTGTGGCGAGCCAACCGGGGCAACCCATCACACGCAATCACCATGAAAGAGACCTTTACATTTGCTGCGGGCATGCATAAACTGGCTAAGTCTCATCGCTGCAACCACGCTCCCAGCCCCTTCCGGACTTCTCGCTCCAAATCACCGGTCGCATGCCCTTATCGCCTTGCATATGTGCATACGCGGCGCAAAAGAGCTAAACACAAAGGCAGCAATGACGGGCAGGCGAGGTGCCGAAAAGGGAGCTGGATTTGGCCATGTTGATCAAGCGGAAATTGATCTTTGAATTCACCGTTCCCCCTCGTACTGCAAAGTAAAACCATTGTGTGTACCCGTCCGTGTTGGCATCAACGTCAACCTCTGACACCAAAGCATGCAGCCAGACTCGGGTGGCATGACGTTTTGATGCCAGGCGGCAAGCAGGGTGTATTGGTTGGGATTGTCACACTGGGCCACAGCCAGATTGCCACTTTCGAAACTCAGTTTGGCCGTTGTAGGAATGATGTAAGTCTGCAAGTACAAAAGACAAGCGCAAGGTGTGCATGGCTCTTGGGCCCAAAGCCATGCATCAGCCGATCAGCCAGTCAGCCGATCAGCCAAACCCTAAACCCCAAACCCTAAACCCTTGAACCCTAAACCCCTCAACCCTAGACCCCAAACCCGACCACCGATCAGCCGATCGGCTGATCCGCAGTTTGGAAACCCACCTTGCGGTCACAATGGACAAGCGTGTGAGCTACCGATTTGCGGTGAAGTTGCGATGCTGAGAAAGATAATCTCGGGCGACCGTCCGATCCAGGGAAGCTCTCCTTGTGGGATACTCCACAACTCGGACTCGGAGTGGCTTGACGGATTTACTTGAAGGAACCCGCACATTGGCCGCCCAAGCTGCAAATTCCAGGTGTTGTGGAGGCACGCACGGTCCTTGAGCAGGGTTGGCGAACACTCCCGGACTGAGAGGGAATTGCCATTGCCGTCGAAGCATCCCAACTCTGAGTCCGTTGGTCGACCTCCCTGCGGATGCTTGAGCTTGATCCTGGCTGCATCGCTCACCTGTAACATGCTGGGTTAGTCACGGTTGGTCTTTCTTGAATGCACCGGATGAATAGCCTTCTCGCCGCCATCCTCCGATGCTTCTGCAGGTGTCTCCTGGCATTTAGCTGACAGTCTCTCCATGGTTTAATGCACGGACAACCCGATTCAAAATGCAAGGCGACATGCGCAAACATCTGCTTATGAAACGAAGCGAAGGCAAAATTGTTTACAACCCCATCCAGAATCTGTCTAGCGTGCCCAGTTGGCAGTCTGCCAACTGACCGAGCAGGCACGAACACCGGTGCATGCTGCCAACGACGGTGTTTCTCCTTCGAAGAGCCTTTAGCCGCCGTCTGGAACAGTGGCGAAGGTACTTGTCGGATGCATTCCTGCCACCTGTGATGCAAAGCACCTACAAAGCCTCTCGTCTTTCCAAGCTTTGCAGTTCTCAGGTACATGCCGTGAAGCTTCTTGTCCTGCAGACCTAACATGGACAGATTTCTGGCTGAGCTCACACCCACACCGTTTCCACAAGGCGCCAGTGCAAGAATTCATGCGGCTCAGCATGGTTACATTCTGAGCCCGAGTACCGATTGTACACGGTGGTGTTCTCCGTATGCTTCGCTTCCAGCCGAGCCAGGTAGGATCCAATGCCTGCGGATACCTCCACAGGGATGACCGAAGTAAGCACAACGAGAACGACTTGTTGTAAGTACAGCATCTTCACGTGCCAGAGTCTTTTGCCAGATCCTTCATCTCTCACTGTTTGTTTTTCCCACCCGCCCAGCTCAAAATGTCACTGTTTGTATTTGGGAAAGGTGCCTTTCGTAACCTCACTGCATGAGCTTTGAAAGCTCTCCAGACGGCTGCTAGCGGCATCGCCGAGGCGGTGCTGCTTTGTAAATAAATGCAGCACATACAACACACAATATACAACGCGTCGAACAGCTGGAAATCCCCAATGACTACAACATTCGGAGCCTGCACATAGCAAACAAGTCTAGACGCCTGGATCCGAAAATAGCATAATCCCGAATGTAGAACGGGCTGTGGTGGCAAGAGTTGCCTCGGCCGTCATGAGGCCTTGTGATGTTCACGATGGTATTTTGAGATATTCATGGTTACAGCTACAAGGAGACGGCACCGAAAAGCAACCAAGAAGCCAAGAAGCCAATAAACAAAAGCAGCTCCAAGATCCAAAGCCAGGGAAGCAGGATGCCCCAATCACAGCAACAAGAAAGTGGATAAATAGGAATGCAACTACAGAATACGAAGACAACCACCCTGCCGAATTAGTCCTGCCCCATTTGAGAAAAATAGGCTGCTTATCGTTCACGCTGGGAACCTCTTCTGTCGCTGGGACTCTGGTGTAACTTAAGTTCGGAAAACAGCCCCCAAGCTGCAGTTGCTGTGTGCCAGCAGCTTGCCTGGTCAACGAAGTTGAGGTGTCCCCTCGGTACACGAGACAGCCCAGCATTCTCTCGGAACAGCAAGGGGCTGACATGGCCTCACGCAACCGATACATCGATACGGCCAACTGCATACATAAAAGCATGACGTTTTCAGGAAGGTCACGTGGAACTCCGCCGGCGCGCTTGTGTCGACAGGTCGGGGTCCAGAGCAAGTCTGGCAAGTGGGTCATCAACGCCATCAGCGTCTTCATCCTGTCAGTGGCTGCACTCTGCCCTCCCTTGCACACAGACTGGAAGGGCCCCGGCGTCGCTTGCACTCGACGACTCAGGTCCCTCCTTTGGGAGGGCAATTCTATCCTCAGATCTTCTGGCTGAGACTTGCCAAAATCGGCATCCGTCGTCATGCTCTAACTGCCTTGTGCACATGAAAAACAACGAATGTAGCCGTCCAGCCGAGTTGCAGGGGTGATACCTGGGAAGATGCGGCAAGAAAGCACTCCTGCTTATGCTGATACTGCCTGTGGCAGCTTGCGTAGATGCTGACAGACTCGCAGCACTTTGCCAGGCGGCTGTTGCTCTCCAGTTCTGGAGCGCGTGCTTGCATTTATTTTGAAAGTTCCTGCGACTTCATATCACGAGGGTCAAGTCAGTGACAGACAATCATTCGATCTGACCATCCCAACAGAACTTCCATCCAGTTTCCTCAGGAAGCTCCATTGTCGCAGATGTCATTCGGCGTAGGTCGGCCGAGTCATGCATCCCGAAGCTCTCAGCACAAAATTCCCTAAACGCAGTAGATCTGTGCGACACGGGGGGCGCTTATCTGACATAGTGGCATCAACCATCTGGCTAGGCTTGGCAAGGCATGGCCTTCAACTGCCTTGAAAAAACTGAAAAACTGCGCCGGCCACGCGCACAGCAGCATGCTTCAAATAAGATAATAAGACAAGCGATAGACAGCCACGCAGTGGCTCACAAAAATGCTGGAACACCTTGTGCATACCGCTGGGTGTTGACGACCCTGCATGAGAATCACATTGAAATACGAGTCCCTGTTGCTATGTGTATTTGGTTTGCCTGCGTATCCTGTCATTGTCTCGGCAGCCCGTGCATGATCGCAAGTGGACGAATATCGGCCTTATAAAAGCATGGTCCATCTGGCCAATATCACCCACTGGACAAGCTGTGCAGCTATTGATAGTGTGCTCTGTAGCTTTCCACTAGTTGCAGCAGTTTGGCACAGAGACACAAAATTTCGGAAACATGAAACACCGGCCTCCTGCTGAGACGTTCCACGACCTTGCGCAGCCTGCCATGCAACCGCTGACGCGTCCTTCCTACCGAAGATGCTCCGATCTTCAGGTGAACAAACTATCCGCCTCTGTGCTTTCGTAGCGGCACAGAGCGTTTGAAAAGCACTTCTCGCCCCGTTCATGACTGGGAAGCGCTATCCGCACTCTTAAATTGCAGGAAGGGATGTTGCTTCAGAGTGGCGGCCACTTCAGGATCTCTAGAGTTCTACAGTGTTCTGCCTTTGCAGTGGGCCTTGGCGCGTGTGCATCGGCCCGTGCACTGCCAACGACCGACCAGCAACCGTGTGGTCAAACGTATCAGATGCATGTGACAGCTGGTACAGAGCAGGGAGGGATCCTATGTCAAGTAGACTTGCCGGAAATTCGCATTTCAACCTACGCCACATAAACGTCCAAAAGCAGGAAGATGTTCGCCCGAACACATTGGCAGCGCACCCTATCCTCTGCTCTTGATCTCTCAACTCAATGACTGCTCTGCAAACCATCGACTCACTTGGGCTGCTGCTTGTTGTACTCAGGCAGGGCATTCCTGAAACGGCTCCCCAACCCCCGAAAAACACCATCGTTTACTGGTGGAGGTAGGACACTCCGGGGAAAGCCTGATGGTCTACGGAGGCAACATTGCCAGCTCTGCATCCTGAACATAACTTTCTCTGCGGAACCAATTTACGCTCAGCTTCATGTCTGGCCAACTGGAGTTTGCATCAGGTGGAGGAGTGCTGGTCCTCAGCGATAGCATGCTTTGAACGCTGCCTTGGGCCACCCAAAAGCCCCTGATTCCAGGATGCGGGCTCAAAATCAGGTGACATGGCCTCCCGAGAAACATGAACTAAGCCGGCACTCCAGGAGTGAGTGTCTGTCTGAAAACTTTTCGCAAGGAAGAGAATCTGAGGCACACGCACGATCGAAATCACCTTCTGCCTGCCGATAGTGGCAAAGAATACAGAATTCAACTTCAACAGTCTGGTGCTTGCTGAAGTCAGCTGTTAAAGGCTCTCTCAGCTTTCCACTATGAGCCGGCCTCAAAGAGCCTCTTCCTTCGAAGCGGGGCTTAGGCTTTGCGCAGGCACTGGCTGCTCGCCGCTTCAGCCAAGTGCTGCCAAGGGGCTGGTAATGAAAGAACGCATCGTTCAAGGCACCGGCATGTTTTTGGTTCAACTGCCTGCGAAGGGCCAAGGGCTTATATACCTGGCATGTCCGTTGACCCGCCAGAGCATCTGTGCTGCCTGTACAACTCGTGGTTTCGTGGAAGACCCGGGCCAATTTTGTCACGGAAATTCTGCCTGAGAAAGGAAAGGTGTTCGTGCCATCTGTCCCTGGATTCTTGCTCCCACCGCCCGCATGCACGATGCAGAAGGTACCGCTTTTCCTGCCCAATGCTGGCATGCACTGTGCGAAATCGGAACTGGGAAGCTCCCTGTCCATGTGCGCGGGATGTGACCTGAGCCATCGCGAGGGTCGTGTCCAATGCGGCGACAAGCATGAGAGACATCGAGAAATTGGGCTTCATGTGATGCTTTTTATGCAACCACAACACTGCGCCGAGCAAGAAGGCGACTGCAATCCCGAAGCCAAGTGCTGCCAGTATCAACACCATGACCAGGCATAGCCGTCGCAAAAATTGATAGACACTTGGCCCGGCCATCCGCCACACACCTCGAGCGACACATGGTTTTTGCGGCGTCTACGCCTTGACATCTCCCACGGCAAGCTGGGCACTACTGCAAACTTAGCACACGCACAGCATCTTGCAGAATGTACAAAAGGATGTCCTACGCAAGTCGTTAAACACAAGCAACTGCTACTTGGCAGCGCCTCGGGCGACGTGAATGCGTGCTCCTTCGTGGACTCCTTCATGGCTTCCGGCACTTTGTCCGGTTCCGTCAGAGCTTCTGCCACAGGCCACTTCTTCTGTGCAAGATGGTAGTGCCTGGAACGATTGGCTTTCTACTCAAGGCGGCGCCTACCACTTTCAGGCCCGTGTTCTAAATCCAAGGAAATGCGAACCTGCTTGCGCAGCTCCTCAGCCACAGCAACTGCTTCTGGCCGTAGTAGCAACTCCGCCTCTCCGGGCATGTGCATGCGCTCCTCTTCCTGACTCCGGAAGTGTGACTCCAAATCCGAATGGCCTGCAAGTCTTCAAGCTGCTGGCGAACCCAACTTGGACTGTACTTTGAGATGAAACCGTACACGGGGCACCTCACAGATACGAATCCCCATGCTCGTCGCACACAACTGTCAGCAATCGCTCGACTGCCTGTCCAGGCAACCTTCACAGGCTGCAAATTCAACCAACGAGTCTGTATAGGCCTTAGCAAGGCAAATCGGGATAGGACTGCTTATCTGCACCCCGAAGAAATACCAAGTTTGGAGTTCGGCATGCCTTGATTCAATATCTATGAAGCTATGCTGCGCATACCTCATCGGAGTGCGCCCATGCACAACTCGGTGCGCACGGTCCCGTGGTAATCATTGCTCGTCTGCAATGGAGCACGCACACGCACTTATTACGTTTGGTCTGATATTTGGATTGTGCTTTCGCACCGGCAGCTTGACTGTAATGGCGATGCCTCGCAGTCTTAACTCGGATTGGCGTTGGGCGGAAACTGCGAATTTGCGCGTGGAGAGGTTTGCCAAGGCCCAGTCCAAACTACAAAGAAACAATGCAAGAAATTTGAAAACAACAACCGTGTTTCAGCTGTTCTGGGAAGCCTTGGCTCTGTGATATTCTATTGCCGTTTCACATAGTTGTCTTTCCAAATACAGCTGCTTTGGGACCTGCGGTGTTGTTCAGGGCTGGAAAAGTCTCCCGAAACTCGTATGGTTTCTTTGTTTGCTGTCCTTGTTTCTTTTTCATATTTCAATTCGAAGTAAACAAGACCATTGGCCGCTCAGCCCACAGCACTAAGCCCTCAGCCCTAAACCCAAAGCCCTACGCCACAGCGCTAAACCTTAAGCCTTAAGCCCTTAACCCTGAGCCCGAAGCCGTAAGAACCAAGCCCCAAGCCCTAAGCCCTAAACCCTAAGCCCTAAGCCCTAGGCACTACCTCAGCCCTAAGCCCTTAAGCCTTAACCCTAAGCCCGAAGCCCTACTATTTCCAATTACACAAAAAACAGCGACACTTTGCCCAGCCGAACCAACATAGTGTTTGTTTTTTGGTATCCTTGCTTCTGTTTCATTCTTAATTCAATCAAGAAAAAAGTAACGTTCTATTCATTGTGGATTTTGCATCCATTTGCAGCCAAAACCCTATGATCCGCTTGGATCGTTGCAATGAGTCTCCCGAGACAATCCCGAGACTCATTGCGTTCTTGGAATGTTTGTTCAAGCTGTTTGGCTCCAAAAGACTGGGATCCAAGAAATGAGTCCAACTGGCAGTTGTTGTTAGACTCATTTCTTGTTTGAAATAAAGAAAAAGGAAACAAGGACCCAACAGTTCAACACCAAGAAACAATAAGCCCGATCCCTAAGCCGCAGCCCTAAACCTAAGCCACAGCCCTAAGCCCTAAGCCCTCAGCTAAGCCCTAAGGCCTAAGCCGCAGCCCTAAGCCCTAAGTCCTAAGTCCTTAATCCTCGACCCTAAGCCCTGAGCCCCAAGCCCCAAGCTTCTTACCTCAGCCTAAACCCATAAGCCCTAAGCCCCAAGCTTCCCAAGCTTCCTAAGTCCTCACCCCACCGCAGTAACCCTCGCATTTTTTTCGTTTTGTGGCTGTCTCGGGAGTGCTAGTCGTCGGCGTCGTCTTTGTGGTGGCAGTGGTACTAGTAGTAGTAGCAGTACTAGTAGTAGTAGTCGTCGTCGTCGTAGTAGTAGTAAGTAGTAGTAGTAGTAGTTGTTGTTGTGCCTAAACGCCTTGACAAGCCACACTGGCCCGCTTTTGAGGAATCATGCAACATGTAGGCTTCCGATACCCCAAGCACCCAAGCAGGCATACGGAATTTACAGAATGGCTGGGGTAGAGAACCTTAAACCTTGAATCCAGACTTCAAGAATCCCTCAAACAAAGCTATTTCTAAAACATGTTGTTTCCAAACCGTTGCCTTGTGTCTTTTATTCAATTCCAACAGCAACACCTAAACTATCGCAGGTCCAAAACCAGCCGGTTTTGAAACATTGCTCGATATTGACACTCAAAGTTGACACTCAAAGCAAATTCGAAACAATGTCTCTCCCAAACCCTTGCCTTGTGTGTTCTTTTTTTCTCTAATCCAACACCAAAACCTTTAATATCGCAGGTCCCGAAGCAGCTGGTTTTGAAACAGTGATCGATATTGAATATGAGACGGCAAGACCAAGTCACAAAGTTTTTAATTTTCAGGAACTCACAAAATTTGTCACAGAATTTCACCCCTCGGAGCAGTTTCGAAACCGTTTGTTTCCAAAACCAGGGCCTGGTTTCTTTTTTCAGCCAAACCACACCCTCCACGTGCAAATTCATAGCGGAGACACGAGGCTGCGCTGCAGGCCTGCAACTCTTGGAGTCGTCGAGAAGAGCAACGAAAACGTTAAGTACGCCCGAAGTGGTGAGGCCACGACAGCAACAGCTTAGCGCGTCAGCTTCTGGTTTTCGGATAGCCACAACCGATTTCACAACTTGTGCAGATGGTCTCGCAGCGTTCCCCTCGAGATGTGTTGGCTATGCACGTTCACCATGGCCAAATGCTCATCCGAAGCCATGCCGCATGCGCACCTCTGGTGGTCGTCATATGGAGTTGTCGCAGCTGCTGCGCGAGTCGTTTGCGACGTGAAGCACCAGCTTGAGAATTGCAGCTTGCGGATCATGGTCGGAACTCCGCCAAACACAGCAGAAACCGGATTCCGAGTCCGAGAACACGACAAACAGAGTCGGAAGGGCAAGGACTGTGCAAGTCAGACTTGGTGCAGCTTCGCAGCATGAAAATTGCAGAGGAAGATCGCGCCAAGCAGTTCCTAGAACGCCCCAGGTCACCAATGGCCGGTTCCAGTCCAAGTCTACTGAGATGCTGACTCGCACGGGCTCGAAACACGAGTCCAATGGCTTTGTCAGCTGCAGTGCTGCAACTGCCAAACTTTCATAGCGGAGCATTGCCTGAGACGGGCCAGCAATGTGGAGCCATCGCTTCTGGCACAAGACATCACGGATCCTAGGTCCTAGATGAAAGCCACTACCCACAGTGCAAACTGGATGTCTTACGCTCGTTGCTCGTTAAACCAATCTTCGTCTCAGGACTGATACCACCAGAACGGCTTCTGTTCAAAATTATCGAATATGCATGAAGTATCATTACGTCAATATGCGTCAAAAACAAGAGTGCAAAACAAAGCAGAGATGCTGAATAAAGGTCGCAATCACGCCCTGTTTCATGCTCATGCCCCGGCTCATTCTGAAGAGGATTGAGAGATAAAAGACTTTGTATTGATAGCCTTGGGTTCACGCACATGATCTGCATTGCTTCAAAGACATGAACAAAACATTCCACACTGACTCGGACGAGGAACAAGACAGAACGAAACGTGCTCAGAGACGTCCAGGACGGGCCCGCCCAGGTGCCCAGAATGGAAAGGCAAACCTGTAGCACGACCCCACCATGTTTGCAAGCTCTGCATGCAGTGCGCTGCCAAGTCCAGAGGCCACTGGCCAGCCTCGCCTTGCCGTTTGTGTACAAGTTGGGATTGAAGCGGACGCGCCCGTCCTCGGCGGCCAGGCCAGGCGCATTTTGCAAAGAAGCATTACACATCATGCCACAGCTCAGTGCAGTACTCCTGTGCAGAATGTCGCACACGGAGGCTTTAATGGATATGTGTTCCTCGGCGCAGGTTGCTTGACCTACAGGTGGGACGCTGGCTATTCGCCGAGCCACGGGAACACAAATCGAAACAGATACGGCGCACGCGCATAGGGCGATCCATCTGGCCCGATGATAATCGCTACAGCCTCAGAGCGACAAGAAACTAGAAGACAATTGGCCCGAAAGCATCATCAGCGAAGAGTTTAGCGCTACGTTATAGAATCCAGTGCATAGAACTATGGAGTCATAGCGCGAAGTGCATCTAATTATGAAGTATATGGAAATGCCGAGATCGATATTATTGAATCTATGAACTTGACTCTACGTGTTTCACTCTGCGTTCCTCAGTCGATGTTGTCAAGGCTGTCGAAGCAGTGTATAAACTTAAGTATATGAAGTCAACTGCATACAGCGAAGTGCATAGAGTCAAGTGCATAGTTTTGCACTACGTTATAGAACCCAGTGCATAGAATCATAGAGTCATAGAGCGAAGTGCATCTATATGAAGTATATAGCAATGCCGAGATCGATATTTTTGAATCTATATACTTGGCTCTACGTATTTCACTCTGCGTTCCTCAGTCGATGTTGTCAACGCTGTCGAAGCAGTGTATAAACTTAAGAACATGAAGTCAAGTGCATACAGCGAAGTGCATAGAGTCAAGTGCATAAGTCAGGTGAATAAGTATATAGAGTCATGGTGTCAAGTTGTTTCAGTGCAGCCAGGTCCGGTGGTCGGTGATCGTATTATACAATGTAATACAAACTGACTCACGCAGGCAGTGATCAACGGCAGCGATTCCCCATGAAGCGTCCTGCTCGGCAATGCGCCGCGATAGAGAAAGCACGAAACATCTAACCTGGCCACGACACTGACGCCTCACTGCAAGACAAACTGACACAGACAATGATCAACGACATCGATTCCCCATGAAGCCTCCTCCTCGACAATGCACTGTGATAGAGCTTTTTCCAATTCCAGCTTGGACAGAGTGCGCCAGGACGAGCGCTGCGGCACGCCCGCAGCGGCAGCAAGCCCACACAACTGCCTGGCAGTTAGTCCCCGAAGCTCCGCACGGAGCCCTCTCGCAGGCCATTCAGCTGCTGTGGCGGCAACGCCATCTGTCCACCTCCGGCCCTTTCGCAAGACAGCGTCTAATCAGGCAAAGAAGCGTCCTAAGTATGGTGAAATGCTGCAACGTGTTTTGCCTTTCGAGCAGAGCGAGGCAGGTAAAGATCAGTCCTCAGTATGGTAAGATGCTGCAAGATATTTCTCCTTTCGAGCAAAGCATGCGGGTCATACATGTGCAATGAGAAAGCCTCTACACTACGTCGATTCCGAGCCTGAATAAGTCATCGAGCAGGCACCGGCGACACCTCATTGCAATGTTTGCAAACTGACTCACGCAGGCAGTGATCAACGACACCGATTCCCCATGAAGCGTCCTGCTCGGCAATGCGCCGCGATAGAGCTTCCAACAGCTCCGCTTTGGAAAATTTGCGCCCGGCTGACTTCTGTTGCGCATCCGCAACGACAACGAGCCCACACAACTAATCGCGAGTCCGCTTCCCGAGCTCGTCGCTGAGCCAGGCTTCGCCGTGCTCGGCACAGCCCTCTCGCAGCTCCTGCAGCTTTTGCTCCGACGCAGCAACAGCATCGACCTGACAACAAAAACTTCACGTGAAAGCACGAAACATCTAACCTGGCCACGACACTGACGTCTCACTGCAAGACAAATTGACACAGACAATGATCAACGACATCGATTCCCCATGAAGCCTCCTCCTCGACAATGCACTGTGATAGAGCTTTTTCCAATTCCAGCTTGGACAGAGTGCGCCAGGACGAGCGCTGCGGCACGCCCGCAGCGGCAGCAAGCCCACACAACTGCCTGGCAGTTAGTCCCCGAAGCTCCGCACGGAGCCCTCTCGCAGGCCATTCAGCTGCTGTGGCGGCAACGCCATCTGTCCACCTCCGGCCCTTTCGCAAGACAGCGTCTAATCAGGCAAAGAACCGTCCTAAGTATGGTGAAATGCTGCAACGTGTTTTGCCTTTCGAGCAGAGCGAGGCAGGTAAAGATCAGTCATACCCAGTATGGTAAGATGCTGCAAGATATTTCTCCTTTCGAGCCATCGCCTAAAATATGTAACTTTACCTAGCGTTTGGCGCTCGGCCATGCCAATCCCTGAAGGGTTGCACGGGAACCCTAAAACGTGTAACTTTACCTAGCGTTTGGGCGCTTGACCAGGCCAATCCCTGTGAAGGGTTGCATTCCCGATGGATGACGACGGTGCCACCCCTGGCTTAAGAGAGATTAGATACCGAGATGTAGAGAGTAAGTCATGTAGAGTAGAGAGAGTAAATCACAGAGTCATGTAGAGAGTAAGTCATGTAGCGTAGAGAGAGTAAATCACAGAGTCATGTAGAGAGAGTAAGTCACAGAGTCATAGAGTCATAGAGTCAAGGTCACGGAGTCATAGAGTCAAGTTCTCAAAGGTACCTAGAGTCATAGAGTCATAGAGTCAAGTTCTCAAAGGTATAGAGTCAAGTAAGGTATAAAATCAAGTGTTCATAGAGTCAAGTAAGGTATAGAGTCAAGAAAGGTATAGAGTCAACTAAGGAAGTCATAGTCGTAGAGTCAGGTGTCAAGTCATCAAGTCATGTACTCGATTCTATGTCTGTAATCTATGTACTTATCTACCCGGCTCCGCACGGAAGAACCCTTCGCGATGCTTTCGGGAAAACACACGCAACCACCAGAAACCGGAACACGGAAGGCCTTGTGCGGATGCACATCGTCGAAATGGTGGAAAATCCCCTGCACAACTTCGAACATCTTCGAACTGCTTCTTGTCATGCATAGTGACACGACGCATCTCTGACGGTCACCTGCATTTCCAATCCATCCCTGTTCAGATCAGCTTGCTCACGTAGCAGTCGCCTCTGAAAAAGAATCGCGCAACCAATCTCAACCAAGCAGCATAACTCACGTCAGCATATAACATGTGTACCTGCCCTGGCCTTGTTGCAACCACAGACAGTTCGCCGTTGAATTCATGGCCCAACTCTGCCGAGAACATGATGTCAAGGGTCATATGCATGTGCTCAGGTCCGGAGGCTGCGTAGACATCAAGATTTTGGAAATGTCACAACGGCTGTTGGCACTGATGCTGGTGTGGTTAGTGAGCACCTGCTGATCGGCGCAGTCATTTGGCCATGTGTTGCTCGTTCAGTTCTGAGAAACTGCGAGGGTACATGCTCGTGGGCGGCATTTTCACTTCTGAGCTGGACGACACTGAGAGCCGGCACCATCCACGGACAGCTTCGGAGGCGAGCTTTTGATGAAATGAAGCGGGTAGCCAACCACCTGCCCGGCCATGCCGTCAGACAAGGGTCATCCGAACGCAATCAACTTAGAGCCGCAGCCCGCAGACCTATGTCTTCTGTCAGCGGGACCACCTACACGGGGATGACTCAAAGACCGCTGTTGCCGCTACATGCCGGCGGCTGGCTTGCGCAGGATTCCAAGAAGCCTCAACATGCGTTGGCCACAATATGTGGACCTGAACCCAGGAGATTGCTGGCACATTGGGGACACCAGAGAAGAAGCTTCAAGATCGGCGCATTGCTCGCTGCTTGCCCGGATTCAATGTCTTCCTCTCGGCGATTGAGCAGAATCACGGTTCCACGCAGTGCTCGAAGTGCAGTTCCCTGGCCTGCGGCTTTAACAGCTCGCCAAAGCCTTCGTTCACCTGGCAATGCTGACCTTGGATTCGGGATCGCGTCTGTGCTCCGCTGGCAGACATGGGTGAAGGCTCAGCTGCGAGCAGGTGAAGCCGTGACAGAAAAGGCCTAGTCTCCTTAGTACTTTCGAGCTAGAAGCTAACAAGCCAGATTTGGCTACACTCACACTCGACTACCTGCCAAATCTGACAACTTCATGCTTGCCTTGGGTGCAGGAATATCACAGCGAACAGCCAGCAAGATCTTGGCATCCTTTCCTGTGGGAGCATTCACGAGCTCTAAGGGCAGCAGCTAAGTGCAACAACAGCACCACACCTGGCTTCAGGGGCGCTTGCGAATACAGCTGCTATCAGTCGGTGGGAGTTCAACCTTGGACCTTGGTACTGGAACCTGTAAGAAGGTGCTGGGTAAGGCGTGCCGCGCGCTTGAATTTTTACAGATTCCTTTCACTTTCACATGTCTCATCCCTGTGGCTGAAAAGTCGGCATGGCAATGCAGCTTGAGTGCAAGAGCGGCGGCTGAGACAGAAGTGCGGCAGAACAGAGCGAATCTGGACCGTCCAATCTTCGAGGAAACACGTTTTTTTCATGATTGGTGGATGTGCAGCATAGCGAGCTCGCATTGCGAGAGCTAGCAGCCAGCAATCCCCCACCAGCTTCTGCCTGGATCTAACAATCGTAAAGGCCTCACCCAAATTCACCTGTATGTGCCCCAAAAATCCCCAAAACCTATGTCGGTCTCCTTACCTCAACCATTCATCAAGAGCGGTCTGCACTAGCATTGAGTGCAAACAGCAACGGCAACAACACTCGAATTAGCGACGCATCTCTGGAGGCCACTGTCAAGCTGTCGCAATGCCATGATTCATGGCTGTCACGGCTCTGACGAACGGCTTGCCTGAGGTACAGGTACAGGGTGCGTTTCTCGCTGAGGGGCAGAGTTGTTGATGCTGCACTTCCTGGCTTGGCTGAGGAGCTGGCATACGCAATATCTTGGCCTGCAAGGTACACAGGGCTCGTCGCGGGCAACGATGCAGATTCTGACAGACTGAGTGCAGCAACGATTGCCGAAGCTCGAGGGGCGCTGCTCCTTGGAAACAGTTCGGGCCGGAAGCACAAAGAGTCAAGCCAAGCCAAGCCAAACGATGCAGAGCTTGTCCTAAATTCCTCTTGTAAGCATTCCGCGAGACTGTGGCCCTGCTGCAGAGTCCTTGAGTTCGGAGTCTTGTCGAGCTGCCATTTGAAAGCATTCGAGGCAGTCTTACAATTAGCCGAATAAGCTGCTGGCATTTCGTATTCCTGGTAAACCGCCAGATGCCACAGAAATGCGAAGCCTTCGTGCAAACCGACGTTAAGGATGCTACGCGAAGGTCACGAGACGAGAGCATCTTGGCAACAAGCCGAGTATCAACTCGGAGACGAGACATACAGTCCTGACCAGGAGCAAGATTCCAAGTCGCCCGCAGTTCCCGCAAATGCACCAGCGAAATCGCGCTACCAGTAAGATCAGATCCAGAGCAATGAACTTGCACCAGTCAAGAACAATCCGCAGGTCTGCTGGTCCTGCGGCATGCATTTGGAATCATTTCCCGGATTTTGGCCTGGCAGCAGACTTGGTGCGGGACCGTGCTATCCAAGTGGAAAGTCCAGAATGCTCCAACCCAGGGCAGAACCAGCAAGACCTGATTCGGTGCGTGCGCAGTCGACGCAGCAAATCAATGATGTTTGGATACCCGGCGGCATCAAAGGTCTGAGAGCGCTGCCAGCGACAAAGCTAGCCCGATGTAAGATGTCTCGGACGACGATTGCGAATGCAGCCGGCTTGAGTCGAGCTTGCCCTCTTTGACTTCGCGCTCTCTGGTGATACCCGTATCTGACTGCAAACTCTGGGCGGCGCGCTTTGACGACATCCTCTTGCGCCAGGCGGCCATCAACAAAGCCAACCACAATCAGCGCAAGACCTCTCGTGAGAGATGGCATTTGTCAGACAGTCATACAGCACGCATGCATAGTGATGTCCAAGGTATCAGCCCAGCATCCCGAACCAAGTCATCAGCCCGTCCAGGTCCTGCTGAAGCTTCAGCGCACAGTGGGCCAACAATCGGTCCAGCAGGCACAGTGGGCCTTCGGGCAACGGTCGTCTCCATGCTCCGCACCTGCATCAGGTACGAGTATGGACTCAAGCCCGCCGAGGCCTCTGCGTCGCTTGGCTTCGAGCCCAGAACCACCAACCAAGCGAAGAACATGATTGGGAACACCAGCCTGGACCGACAACAGGGACTGCCTCTGCTGAATCACATGCCGAACTACTCTGCCCGAGCACCCTGCGCCAGCAAGAGAATGGCAGACTGTATGAGACCCCAAACTGCCTGTTGGAACGGGCTGCTGGGCACTCTTGCGGCAGCTTATTTGCAACCCGCCTGCCATACGTCCTCATGAAAGGCCTGCAGGTCACATCTCCAGGGCAAGTCATCTTGTCACTCGCACTCGACGAGGTCATACATGCGGTCACAGCATTTCTCGTGATCGGTTGCATTCCATGCCAGAGCGCTCTGCAGCAGCATCTCTCTTCCGTTACAAACGCCGGTCTGCGAAACGGTGCCTCTTCAGCCTCCGTCAGAGAGACACGAAAGCGCACAAAGACCTCCAGGAGCCACCAAACGGGGCACTTATATGTTCATGTACATATACGTACATTTACGACTGCATCTATATACATATACATCTGCATCACGAAGGGCTGGCAGCAAGTCTGCCGGCCAGGTCCCACAGACAGCAAAGCGCCCCGCGGCTTTCTATACCGGCAGCAGTTTTCACCACAATTCTTGAAAGCTTGCATCATGCTTGGCCATGTCAACTCCCGGTTTGTCTTTTACCTCGCGACCCGCAAAAACCTACCGCTGCCGAGCCTCCCAATGATAGCCTTTCTCTGGGACCCAGCGTCCTGGCTAATTGGGAGTTCTGCGCACTTGGTTCATGGTTGCTTCAAGCCGCCAAGTGCTCTCGACCCTTACTTGACATGGATTTGCAGCTGGGCTGGCAGCCATAGCAAGCTCGAAAGGTAGTTGCCCAAGGCCTGAACCCCGTCGCAACTGCCCCTCGTACAGAAAGAAATAGCCAGTCTAACTTACCAGTCACGGGTCCAGCCCCATAAGGATGCGACGATTCAGTTCGCAAAACATTCAAGTACCTGGCACAATCACAGGTTTAGCCGTAGCCTGGCATACAACAACCAAACTCGAAAAGCAAGATGGCCGGCGCACCACGCTGAAATCGCACGAACCAGCGATGCACGACCACTTCCAGACCCACAGGCTGCCAAAGCTTCAGCTTCGTCGAGGACGGCATTGACCTGCTGTGCAAGGCAGAATAAGAATCGTCCAGGCGCTGGAGCTACAACCTGGCACCGCACCCAGGCCTGAGCCGCAAGCACCGTGTATCCTCAACACTGAAACAGCCAATGGGAGAATATGAATGTGGGAGAAATAGGGAGCCGCATCGACTGCCATTTTGCACCGTGGCCTCCATTGAGCTCTTCCATCAAGTCCCGCAACAGTTCCCGATCCACGCAGCCTCTGGAGCTAACCTTCGCAGATGCGCTCGCAAGTCCAGGCTTCATGGGTGCAACAGGTCCGAACATTCGTGGTAGCCAGCGTCCGCATCGTGGCCTGTCAACATTCCTACACCAGCAGCCTTTTAATTTTGTGCCACAGGCAGGCCTGCGGCAAGAAGTGACACATGTGATGTGTACGCAATGCATAGTGCAAGTCACCTGGGTGCGCATACACCACTTCGACCGATGCTTGACCACAACAAAAGCCACGACCTATCAAGGCCACATCCGCACGTACTGAGTGAGGCTCTTGTGCTGGTGCACCTGCAGCGGTTAAGCTGTCGAGTTTTGCCAGTGTCAGTGTCCTTGCCTTACTGCATCCCCACGTTAGCTCTTCAACACGGTTGATGGCAACTCACTCTTGTTTACGGCTTGTTGCAAATAGTCAATGTCACTCTTGGCTTTATGTGCCTGGGTTTTCCGATCGGCTTTCAATGCGTGGGGTCGCACTGCTGGTTGTGCTGCTGGTTGCGGACATGAGATTCAACTGCAGAAGCATCCGGTAGAAAGGGCTCAGCACGTCTACGATGGTCCACGAGAATCGACAGAACCAGACGTCATTTGATTGCTACTTGGGTGGGAGCTTGCCTTGTCTCTCCGCGGCTTGCGAGTTGAAACGTCCAAGGAACAGCATCAAGCTCGAGCTCCTCCCCAAAATCTGTGCGCAAATATGTGTATCTGAACAGCACAAGCTGCGGATTCAGAGCTTGTAGTTTTGCAAAGTCTGCGTGTGCACAGTATGCACAGGTTCCTCACCATACAGCTCTGTTAAAATCTCTGCCACATCGTTCTCATCCAAGTCAAGCTGCGAACCTTTCGGCCACAAGCAAGAACGCAAGGTGCGTCATGAACACGACTCAGCCGTGCCTGTCCACCCGAGTGACCGTGACATGATGTCACAAATCCGCAGCTCCTCCACAGGAGCTGACTGCGCCAGCACTGGTGCACTGCCCAGAACACAACAGCATCCTCTACATTCCACCGGTCACGTGCTCGCAGTCGTTGAGGTCCAGCCTATCCGTCCCGCAGTCCCACCCGCCAATTACCTACCTAAAGCGCAGCGCAGAAGCAGCTCTGGCAAGACTCGCCAGCTCTTTTCGCCCGTGCTCATTGCGTGCAACCCGCACACGAAGCCGTGGCACTGTAGCTGCCTTTGGCAGCTTCGCCGGTAAGTTACTTGCACTACCTGGTTCAAGAGCACAAAGGGAAGCCTGCCTCCTGGCCTGCGCAAGCCTTCGGATGTGAAGCGACCACATAGCAGCTAGCGGCATCCCTGCACCACTGCTACTGCAGAACCAGCAAGCTTCCAGCTCTCCACAAATCACATCAAAAGGCTGTCGCAGGCTCTACGGCGGCAGACATCGTGACACTAACATCTTCCCGACATTCAACGCCACCGTGGCTTTGGATCACCACTTGAGGAGCAAACCTTAGGCAAAGGCATTGAACGGTCAGCTGCACAGGGACCTCACGCATCCAAGCTTCTGAGGGAGTCCTCGAGGTGCCGCGGCTGGCAACTGGAGAGCCCTTCCTAAAGCATTGCAACCGTCTACTGCTCTGGGACGATTGAATCTTTAACCTGGGTGGCCGACTCTCTGAAAGGGTTGACCCGCTTTTTCATGCTCGGGGAAGGCGACGGGCTGGCCTTTGGCAATGCATCTTCGGTGCTTTCGTTTAATGACACATCTGGGTCCTTCACTCCCGCCACGGGCTCCAACTCTTCAGGTCGAAGCGTCACAGCCTCGCACCTCAGTCTTGGCCATGCCATGCCATGCCACTACCCCTCTGCAGCGGAAGCTGCACTCTGACTGAAGTCATCTCTGACTCAGTCTGTCGCGGGGGGTTCTCGGGAGACTCCCTCGCCGCCGGCTCGAACTGCAGCGCATTCACAGTTCCAACTTTCTCCGGGCAACTCTTAGCCTCCTCTTCCGAATTCCTGTGTCCACCTTGAAGGTCTCCATGTGCTCTTGCTGCTCCTGCCCTTCCCGAGCTTCTTGATGCTCCTGCCACGAAATGCCATGCGTGTCGAGTTTGAAGCAGCATTCAAAGATACCAAGCACCCACAAAGCAGCCGAGTGGTCTGTCTCGCAAGCTGTATACACGTGAAGCAGACATGACATGGCTGGGTGCTCAAACTCGTTCTCCTTCGAAGATCCTGATACTTAGAATGTGTGTCAAGCTTGGCGTTTTCGTCTCCTGGCCTTATTCGCTTTGCTCTTATGATGTCTTCTCCCAGCTCGAGCCGGAAGACGTGTGTTCAGCTCAGCTGAGCTGGCGAGGTCAAGGCCCTCAAGTCCCTACGGCTTGCATTCTGCAAAGGCATGGAATCATTCCCAAGACCTAGAATCCAGAAAGCTCCGGCTGCGAAAAAAATCAATTCGCACAACATGTCAAGCTCTCCACAGATTCAAGCGATTTCAAGCGTCGTCGGCCTCCACAACCTGGGCATTCGTGGGCGTCGTGAAATTCTCCGAGGCCTGTTCACCCGCATCTAGCGTGCAGCAGCAGGTGCCGTGGGACTCAACGAAAACACAGAATGTAATTTTGTACAGCCCAAACACACATATAACCATGCTCGGTAGCCTGCCTCTGCCACAACTGGTCAACACGCAAATGCAGCTGCTTTCCTACTCCACATCAATCACACAAAAATGTCGTTGCTACTGCAGCAGAATCAGCAGATACTAGCCGAGACAAGGGAAGCGGTTAAATGGCATGGAGCAACATGTCCAGCGGGGCAAGACAATGACGGTACAGCCGCATGCAGCTATCACTCTTGCTCTCCCTGACTATTGGGCTAGCACATCCGCTCCAGCCGGCAACTGAAAAACACAAACATGCACACAAGCACGCAGACAGAGACAAACGTGCCCAAACACATTTGCACACGCACAATTGTCGACGCGACGTGAAACGACCGCATTGTGTCCAAAATATTTCTGGCTGCGGCCGGACTGCCAGATTCCGATCACCGAATTACATCCTCCTGAACTGCGTCTAAGCAAGCATCTAAAGAGCATCTAAGCTATCTGGAGCTGGGCTTGAAACCGAAAAGCGGAGTATGGGATGAGAACAGATCAGTGTCTCTGGTTTTGGAAATGACGAGCGAAGGTGCGACACGAAAACAAAGCAAACGACCCACCCTGCCGTGTGAACGTCCGACAGTGGCGTTCGTGGACGATTGTCTGCCAGCCTATCACCCACCATCACCACCAGCATCCGCTGCGCATCCGGACCCACCAGACAATCGACGAGAATGTTCTTCGAGTCTCCGGAAGAAGCGGGAGCGGGGCGGCCTCTGACTCTTCTTTCTCAGGACTTGGCCCTGACTTTGTCTTCCACCTCAGAGAGCGCGCGATATCTGCTGAAGGCTCCGACCGAGACTCAGAGAGCTCCGAGCATGAAGCCGGCGTAGCCAGCCTCACAACAACTCTTCTTTGGTGCACAGATGTGCACAGAACGGGAAGAACGGCCAGGATCGGCCGGGATCCGGACGTGTTTCTTGGCATACTCTACCTCAAGAGCATGGCTTCTGTAAGCATGATGAGCCAGCGAAGCATGCGATGATCTTCAGATGATGCCCTTGTCCGTAACTACCCGCAGCTGAGCAACAACGGGATCTTCCGCGAGCTGTGATATATCGCGACCATAAACAAGTTTGTCCACAACCTGGGAGAAGTTGATGACATGATGCCGCTAATTCCGCATAGTTACATGCAGAGCATGGGGGTCGTGCCGAAATTCCACGTATGCTACACTTCTTGGCAGGTTTCTCGTCGAGGTTGACCTTCCTTGCGACAGCAGAATTTACAATCTTGCTTGATGAGGAGCCACCTTCCACTCGTCATGCTTGTGAATCTACTAGGCTCATAGACAGTACCCTGCAATTGCACACATGGAAGAGAAGAGTCTTCCCAGCATAGTCGGCAAATCCTTGGTGAGAGAGCAAGACATCAATGCTCAGGATGCCAAACAATTGGTGAGAAAGTGGCACGAGGTTCAGTACTCTTGCTAGCTTTTGCATAGGCACTTTGATCGGACTCCTTCACAAACGGACTGGCATCTTTGTACGTGCCGCCTGACATTGTACCTGTTGTCCACGTTGCCTTCAGAAACGAGTCACGAACAGACTCTGAGCAAATGCACGTACACAGAACACAGTGCGTTGGCTGAGCAGCGAACTGACACCATGGATTTTCCTTCGGGGTGAGCCAACTCGGGAACGCTCTTGCATCCAGCCGCGCCTTGCCGCACGTACCGCGCTCTTAAGTTACGGAGCTTCACATTCACCAAGTCTCTGCCAGAATCGCTTTTGCAGCTAGGAGACTGAAGCTCTTGATCCGTTGGCCCCGTGGCGATTCAACTGCAGGACCAGCACAAAGCTCTGAGTGTGCCGCTTCTTGCATTTCATTGTTAAGTGTCAGCCTGCTCCCATCCCTCAGAGGCCTGCTGGACTTCTCCCATGGATAACTTCCCCCATGGTTGAGACATGCGCTAGGCCTCAAATAGCAGATGCACCGTGAAAAGCTTGCGAAGCTAAACGACAGGAAGGCAGCGGCCTGGAGCTCGAAAAGGCCTGGAGCGGTTTTCCACATTCCTGGCTCCAGCCCGGTCGCCTTGGAGATCTAAGCATGCTCTGGTGATGGCATCTTGTGAACATATCAGCAACACACCCACTGTCTTCAGAGCGTGCTCAACTTTTTGCAGAGAGCGTTAGGAATCAAAAGAGTTCCTGGTGAAACCCTGTAACGATTGCACCGCAGGGCGGGGGCAACCAGCCCTCTGTCTGAGCAGTGAACCCTGTCAAGCCATCAAGCCACTACTCGCATGGTTCAGGGGGACAGCATTTTCGGACGAAGCGCTTCTCAATGCATTCTCAACACAACAGCCGCTCAGTTTCTAACGGGGGAGGACCCGTACTGGTGATCCTGTCTGCTTCGTTCTCGCTAGGGTTCGCTTCGTTTTCCACCGGTTGGATGCCATAAACATCAAGGTCCCGAGCGCCGCCCCGGCAGCCCCGCAAGCGCCAAGCCCAAGCCTTCTACCATTGCAAGGGAAGCCTGTAGGGAGGGTGAGGCTTCCGATCTGGTTATACAAGGCCACGGCTGGGACTCCCTTTCGGATATCCGGTTGGGCTGATTCTTCGTTTGTGTTGGGGGCGCGTGTGGACTTTCTTCTCCTCCAGGACATGCAGGATGTCCCCTGCTGCGAGGGCCGCCCGCTTCTGGCTTTTGAGAGGGATGTCAACTCTCCTGCAATCGTTGATCCTTGAAGCCACAAAGCATACGATAGCGCACGATCGCATCCAATCTCATCAGACATTGGCGCGGGCATGCACTTGTGCATGCAGACGTATATGTGTCTGTGTGTGTGTGTTAAGCAGTGCATGCGCGCACGTGCATGCCTGGGCGTGTTCATGCGAATGTGCACTGGCCTTCTAGGTTGAAAGGCAACTGCTTCAAATCTGTGTCGTCGGCACGTGAATATGTTCTAATTTGTTTATTAAACAGAGTTAAATATGAGGTATAAGCACTTAGACACGCTCAACACATGCTGATCCGACATGTTATATCATTCTAACGAAAACAGGAGCAGTATTTGTTCGCTTTCAGTATTAGATAACAGGCACTAGTATCTCACACCTGCAAGCTTCACATGAAAACTCGATGAGCAGTTTTTTGGTATGAGGCCAAAGTACATAATCGCGTTTTCATTTTAACACAAGCAATACTAGCAACAAATGCAACGGAATTACCATTTCGAAGTTTGAATAGCAGGTAGTATACAGGTAGATTTTGCATACATGCCTATTTAGAAAGCAACACCAGCAGTAAGATTTTGATGCAATAATCTGTCTTAATATGCATCGCCAGGATAGTACGAACTCGTCATCGTGTTCGCGGACGGGTGAGTGCTGTCGAGAAGCAAAGAACACTGACGGCTTCCCGCAATGCCACATTATTCATAACCCCAATTATGTGTGTTTCCAGTGCAACCTTCATAACCTTCATGAGACGAGCTAGACATGTGCGAACTATTACATCAATGCTGTTTAACTTGAGCTAAGTGTTTACGATTGCGTTAGCTTATCAGCATGTTCTTGTGATCGAAAGTTCAAAATCTTCTGCAATGAAAGATAACCAGTTTCTGCCACACCAATGCGACGACCAAGCTCGTGCCCAGGCAGACCGTCGTGAGTGAGAACCGATCCAAGATGTTCTATACCGGATTTGGGCTCAATTCGTTCACTCTCGAGGTATGTGCTCATTTCTTGGCTTATGGGCTTTGGTATTTTTGTTTTGGGACCGTCTCGAGGAATATGATCATTTCTTGACTTATTGGCTTTGGTCTTTTTGGTTTGTTGGGGACTGTTTCGAGGGATCTTACTTGATTGATTGCGGGGTTGTTTCAGATGGACAGATACAAGTATGTCACGATGTACATTCGTATGTGCATGTACATGTACACAAATACAAGAGAAGTGCGCAGATCAGGCCCAGACCGACATACTAGACATACGCAGACTAAATGTGTGGATCCCGGGGAGGAGGGTACCACATATGAATACAATATTACACATATTATATATATACACAATAAAATATAATATAATATAATATACTATAATATATTCTTATATATAAGTAGGCACACAGTGCGTATGCTCGGAAGCGCGGCGGCAGAGTGGCCAAACAGCGGAACACATGAGCTCAACAAAAAGACGGAAAAGACATCCGAGAGCTTACTAGAACTGCAGTAGACGGAGAGTCAGATAAGTGGGCCCAACTTAGAAGAAAATGTGAAGGACCTACATGAACATGGTGAAAGACGTATCAAGCTCTGAAGCATGTCTTCTAAGAATGCGATCACAGCAGCCAAGCAGCTAAATCGCTGCATGAACTCTTCATGTGGGCTTTTCTCGTCCACATGGTGCGTAAGCTGTGAGCCTCGGCAGTTGGAGGAGGCAGGTCAGCTAACAAGCAGTTCCAAATGCCTGCAAGGCACAGTAATTTAGAACAGCTCTGCGCTTTTTCTTGTTCTCGGGACCTCCGGCAGGTACTTTCATCACTTGTGGCGGTCCCCCAGCTACCAAAAGTCCATGTATGAAGAGGCGAGCAACAAGGCAGCCACCTTGCTTGTGGCCTGAAGGAACACCAGCGAAATCAGCAAACTGCTTCATGTACTCCTGTCAAGAATCCGCATACAGCAAACAAAACTGCAGTGCGTCCACTGCAAGTATGCTTCAGGTCCCGATGAGGGTCGGAGCCGGACCTGTCAAAGTCTAAGCCGTAGATGATTTCATCCTGGGCTTCGAATTTGCGAACGAGAGCCGTTGCTCAGCTGGCAAACTTCCTGGAAGGACCTCCACTCTTGGAGAAGGAGAGGGAGTCCAGAGGGAGGGAGAAGGGAGGGAGAACGGGATCTCCTCCCGCTCCCCTTTCAGTGCCGCCTAGGCCAGGTACCTCTCAGCCATTGGGGGAGTCTGCTGTCTCCAACATGACACAATGCAGCCAGGCGGCAACCGTCGAGTGCTGACAGGGCAGTGACTTGAAGTAGCGCTCTACCACTCAAACACGTTTCTCTGATGGCTGTTAGCCGCAGGGTTCAGAGCAACAGAAATGCGCATGTGATGTGAGAACCCAACAAGATTAAAAGCATCAGACAACGTAGAACCTTGCAGCACCGATTGTCACCCACCTTCGTGAGGCCTACTACACGTCTGCCACGGTCAGGAAGCCCAACCAGTGCTCGGTGCTCCTGGCGAGAAATCATTCAAGTCGTGGCCACAAACGCAAGAGATAAACTGCCGTGCATCTCCTCGCTTGAAAGGGGGGCAGCTGGCATTGCATGCACCCCGCTGGGTAGATGCTGCACTTGAGTTGAGCATATATGGCTGCACGAACAAACCAAGACAAGCGGGTTTGGCACTGGCCGATAGTATGTACTGCTGACGGCTACCCGGCTACAGACACAAAATGCGATGGCTGTGCGTCGAACCTTTCGCCGCTCAGTTGGCAGAGCAGCCTGGGAACGGAATCCCGTTTGCCTGCAGCAGAATAGAAGCCCACCGAGAAATAATTTGGAACTCTCCCGTCCCGTACTCAAAAAGGACAAGGCTTCGCGTCCTGCTTCTGCGGTCGGGCGAGAAGATCGCATCTCGGTTTGGCGTTCCCGAAAGTAGGGGAGTGCGACTCTCTGCACCTCGGTGGGCTGGAAGCTGCACCGATGCACAGTTCAAGGTGCTTCCACGGAAGCCATTATGCGCAGACTAGAACATGCCGGGTCCCGGCACTAGTGCCTCGCTGCGAATGTTCAGTCAACAGAGGCCTCCGCGACAAACAGTTGGGCTTGCTCTTGACACGCAAGCGGATGCTCAGCTCTGGGCAGCTGAGCACAGGGAGAGCCTTGAGTTCGCGGTACCCAGAAGCGTGTGGCTTTGGGCGCTTAAAGAGTTCTTGCTAAATCTTTACCGACGCAGGTCCCCTGGCCAGCGTCCCTCACCTGCTAAAGCTTTGTTTTTTGCCACCCGCCCAGCTGAAACAAGTCGCACCGCAGGGAACTCGTCCGAAACTTACTGAGGATATGTTGGAGAAGATTCCAGGACCATTATGCACTCCATGCCGACAGGCCAAAAAGCAACTGAAGCTTTGTTGGAGTTGTTGCTCCAGTTGACGACAGGCCAGTTGTGAAATGAAACCATTTGAGGGGCAGTAAGTCAGAAAAAACAGGGGTGCTGAGCCTGCGCATGCACAAAGAACTGTTGCATCCGAAACACACGACACTTCCCAGCAAAAGTTGTAAGAAGCCGTGTGTGATGCAGCCTTGCATCAAGAGGTTTATAGGGAATGCCAAAGCGGCGTAATTGCATGTTCTGCGAGCATGCGTGCAACAGCGCGAGCAACTGCCTTTGAAACACAGTCTTAGTCTTCAACTAACAACAGCTGCACGGTACGCTATGCAGTAACCTGCCCGAAGCATAGCTGAGGTCAGCACTTGTCACTGCTGTTAGTGGGGTTTCCGACACTGGCGCGGCCTGAATGCAGCCGCCACACTGATGTAAGTGCTGCCATGTAACGCCACACATTGCTGAGGAGTCATCTGAACCCACTCCCGTGGACTCTGCTTTGCCCATGCAATCGGCCCCAGGAACATCCTTCGACGGCTAACACAGTGATCGCCACTGACATGCATTGGCATCGGCATGCTGCGTCACAAGGCAGTCAACGAAACATACTGCCGCCTTGTCGGATTCGTTTAGTGTTGGCAGTCTTGACGGCAAGACCTTGCACGAGTTTACAGCTTCGCAGGGGGAGCTTCTTGAGGGCCTGCCTGAGCCTGCACTTGCCAAGACATTGACGCACCACCAAGGACCAATCAGAACTCACACTTCGCAAAAAGTTTAGTCGGCTTCAACAATCAAATCTGAGGCGGCTGACCCCGGCATTTGCTGCCATTGCCGCGGCACTTGCTGCCGACTGTGCCTTCCGGCTGCAATACACTCGCTTGTGTGCTGGTTGCTTGGTTGCGTGCTGGCCCTCCTGGCAGCCCATGACTTGGATGCTGTACACGGGCAGCGACTTCAACTTCTGCCTCAGCGCGCATTTTCATTTGCTCGCCGTCTCGCGACCAACGGGCAAGCAAACACCTCCAAAGATTTCCTAAAAGCTGTGATTGCCGCATGCTGCTGGCAGGGCCCCGGATTTCGGCTATCACCGAGCCTTGCAAAGCACACGGGGACGCGCGAGGGGCGGCTTTGTCAACTCTCGCAAACGATTCGGACAACCCTTCGTGCGCTGAAACCCGCTCGTAAAACAGAGCATCCCCGCTCAGCCTGCACGCAAGCCAACGGCCAGACTGGCCAACAATTCCTGCGGGACACGCTTTTTGGCGTACGAAAAACGAGCAGATTCTAACCTGATGCTGTCGACATAGGTCCTGAGGAAATCCTATGCCAAGCAGCGCCAACATCAACTCCGTCTTGAAAGTTTCTGGATCTACCTGCGGAGTGACTTCGCCGCCGGCGGACCTTTCGACCGAGAGTGCCCAAAAACGCTGGCCTTGCGCAAGGAGAGGTGGTAAAAGTGTAGCTCCAGGCGCTCTTCCTGCAGGACAGCACAGTCTACGCCCCCACCGTGGCCCTGAACAGCAACTTCTCCTTCTCGTTTATTGGTGTGTCGGACGGCCTGGTGCAAGCCGCAAATAAGACTCGACATGCTCGAACGGGGAATGACGGAAAACGCCGTCGGAGTCGTGCAGCTGCTCGTAAAGCATAACCAACCAGGCGGGTATGTCCCGGCCACAGATGCCAGGAAAGGGGAGTGGCTTCTTGTTCTGCTAGTGTCTTGCCGGTCGGTATACGGTATGTGTTCTTTCACGGCTGGGTGTGTGTGGGCTCGAACTGATTCGAAGCATTCATGACAACTCCTGTGAGCCATTGGGCTTGGGTTTCGACGAAGCTTGGTAAGTAGATGAGATGATGTAGGATGTGTCCTACCAGCAGCAAAGCCTGAAGGGAGTTCCTAGCTCTAACAGCTCCTGCATAGCCAGCGTGGCTTTCTATGTTAAGCATAGAAAGATCCACGACGGTGGGAATGATAGAATGTGGTCGATCATCCTGGAGAAAATGCTGGCAACTGCCGCCGTCCCCTGCCTGTCTATCATACAAATCCAGCACCCATGTGCTGGAATATTTCCGCTCTGCCATGTCTTCATTGAAAAACGAATCAAGCGATGTTAATTCCAAAGGTGGCATGTTGCAAATGTAATCTCGAGATCCCAGCACAGTGGGCCTTGTGTGTTCCAACACAGCTTCCATGAACTCAAGGGGTACGCATGTCTGTTCATTCACTGTTAAACATCCGTTTGCTTCGGTTCACTGCAGCTCCATGGTCTTCGCGGCTTTGAAGTGCCAGGGCTGACTCGATGCAGCACTCCAAATCCATTTAAGCTTTCGGAGATGGTACCTCCGATAAGCACATGGCTAGAGCCGTGAAGGATGCGTTCCTGGTAGTCTTTGACGTGAAAGACAAGTCGTGGCACGTCACTACCCATGGGCAAAACCATGCTGTCAGGCTGTCACTCCACTGCGCCTGAACTGGGGAAGCTCACGTAGAGATGGGCCCTTTGCCTGCGCCAACGATGAACCGAACAGAGCGAAGCAGCACCCAAAGCATCTGTTCCCTCTTCGGGCAGGCGACCTGAACTGCCTCTTTTCTCGCCCGCGCTCGACTTGGACAAGTCGCAAAGCAGTCGCGACAATCGTGTGGGGCCGGGCCTGTTGTGCCACCATGTTCTGTCCCCATATGCTGCAATTGCTGGAGGAAGTCATGAGGACGTTGCTGCTGGTACTGCCAGACAGGGCTCGCATCCCGCCTTGCTGCTTCCATTGCCGTTGCGGTGCTGTTGGTGCAGGCCATCGCCGTTCGTCCACTGAGCCTGGAAAGCGATGTCCGGGATCACATCTCTTCGGGTGGGTCGTGCTGAAGTCGGTAAGCACGTATCCAGGCTATCTCCATAACCTGCCCATCACCGTCGAAAGCCGCCCGATCGATGCCCTGGCAAGAGTAGCTCAGACACGCAGAGCATCTACAGCACAAACCCTCTAAATTATGGTGCAGACATCGCGAATGGAGCCAATCAGAGCATGGCACGCACCTGTTGGCCACCCCAGTTGCCACCAACGGCCAAGTTCCTGCCGACACAAACCATCCCATAGCGACGCAAGCAGAAAATTTTTGCGAGACTTGGTGGGCACGACTGGTCGATGCCAACATGCACCAAGCCGCATGATGAGGTGAAAAGGCGTGTCAAATGGCCACCCTTCCTTGCTGGCACCACTGTCCTGCAAGGAGACTGCAATAGACTGCAGAACTGTTACGAAGTTTCGGCCGGTCGAGATTTTGGTTGGATTCGCCCAGACTGGCTGCAGCTTGCAGCAGAATTTCCGTCTGAGATCAACATGGGCCCGAATCCTGACTCCCTGTCTGAGCCTCTACAGCAACTGTAAGCTCTGATCGGACCATGCAAAAGAACTGGAGGACTTGAAACTGAGAAGCTGGAGCATCGACTTCTGCTAAAGCGGCAGATGTGGACTGCCAATGTCAATATCCAAAGCCAATAAGAAGAAAGAACGCAAGAATAGGCAGAACTGGCATAGACGTGAAGGAAGCCTAGAGGAACGGCTCACCTTCCACCTGAGGGGCCAGTAGCCGGAACCTGAAAACATGCCAGCACATGCGATATGAGTGTGCGGGTTCTGGAACTGGCTGTCACAAAGGTCCTTGCAAATTCTGAAATACCGGAAGCCATCACAGTGAAAGTCAATTCGCTCCGCATTCCATTCGATGCCGTAAGTATGCCACTGATCGACTGACAAGGGCAAGATGCCCCCAACTTGACTGGCTTGCTGGTGGTTGCAAAGGCCAGTGTGCACGGTTCCATGAATTCGGCCCGCGTCGTGCCCTACGTGTTCAACGATGTCAATCTCACCACCTGTGGGCCAGGGTTCGCCAGCTGTGGGCATCATCCAGATTCCTGCCCATGTGCCACGGCCACATGGAAGCCGCACGCGTGCCTCAAAGCGGCCGTGTTGCCAGTCGTTCCTGCCAATCGTTGTCAAACGAGCGGATGTAAAGTCACGCGACCCGTGCTTCTCCAGCAAGGCTCTAATTCGAAGGCATCCATCTGAAACATAGGCGTTCTTTGGCGAGTCAGTGTAAAACTGAAGTTCGCCATTCCCCCAGCCACTGTCTCCAAGCTCGAACGACCATTTGGATGGATCCGGAGGGCCTGAAGCACAAGCTTCAGTAGGAGCGACACAGGAGGATTCACGGACAAGCAGGCCTGCCTGTGTAGTCAAACTCATCATGCCAGATAAGAAGCTCCCGATCTGCTGGCGGTACAGCGATCCAGGTGAGGTCCTTGCCGCGATATTCTCGAGTTTCTGCAGAGCAAGCGGCAAGAAAAGGACCCAGTGCTGACCGGATGCTGATGCCATTACACCACGCTCTTGCAAGGGAACTGCCTTGCCAAAGTTGGTAGCGTACTCGCTCATGACACGGTCCCTGTGTCATCGGACAGCAAAAAAAGCGTTCTGCGATTTGCTACAGGAAGGCAGCACGTTCACAGAAGGGGAGTGACAGATGAAGCAGAGCTGCCCGATCTTGGGTACTTCCGGGTCGCGTGACATGTCAAGCTAGCTGACTCGACGGCAGAGATGTGTCTACGTACACAGGCCAAGTGGTCTTGAAACACCCGTCCAAATCCCTGGAGCCTGGACAGAACCCTTCAAGACGGCTGCCGTAGATGGACGAATACTCCAAAAGAGCACGAGCCCTTACAGATCGCGCCCTTCCTCGCTTAGATTCTGTCTACGACTGAGAACTCTACGCGTGCGAGATGTCACCGCTTCCCCCCAAGCCCTGTTGGACACACCTGCTCTTGTTCACTTCTCAGCCTCAAAAGGTGTTGCCACTAATTTCTCGCGAATGCCATCTGAGGCCGAATTGGTTGTCCCGCAAGACAGGTGAATGGTTTGTTTTTTTCGGCGTGGCCTCGAGAGCGCCCGGAATCCAGGACATGTCCAAACCGCGGACCCAACATCGACACAAGCACGCCCTCGTGCAATCAGGACTGCTTGACTCCTTAATCCGAGGCTAGCCGGCTCCTGCCTGACTGTGCAAACTTCTCTTCAGAAGGGCCTGACTCTGCTCCGAGACTTGAAACTTGGAACAGTGTCGTGCGGCAGTTTATCTTAGTTGTTGTCTTCGGCATGGTACTGCCACTCTCCAAGTAACCACCACACGCACACAAACAAACACAGACACGCACATACAAACACACACACTTAGACATCCATCGCGCAGCCACTAATCAATCTGATTATCAAGCACAGCTTGATGTATCTCGAAAGCATGAAGCTTCCAGGGGGTCCGGTACCTATCTGGCCTCAAGGCTCATCTTCACTTGATCTCTGACTTATTCACTGTACAAGGCAAACTCCTCCAAACCTGCACATTCGATTCCATTGGGGTTTTAGGCTTAGCCCCGAGCCATATCACTTGCAACGACACTTGCGGAAACACTTGCAGGTACACCAAGCTGATCAGGCTTGGTTTCCCTCTCTGATGCATAGCTTCGTTGGGTACGGTAGCATCAGAGAGCCGTACCCCCCTGCATTTTCAGCAATTCAGCACTACTGTCCAACGTGTATCAAAAACGGTTCCTCTTGGTAACAGAGGTCCACACACACAGTAAGCCACTAAGGCGAAACGACCTAGGGTCTGGACTCCAAACGAGGACGGTTTTCGTCCGAATATGGCTCAGCCCAGTGAAAGGTCAATGGTACTGTGTTGTTGACAGTACTGAGTTTAACATAGTACGGTAAATGAGTCCCGCTTTGCGTGAGTTTAAACGTACGCTTGGGGATGCGATTCCACTCCAAACTAATAGCCTCTTTAAGGTCGTCGATAATGCCTTCGGCCGGAATGTCGAAACATGCAACGGTGGCACCATGATGGCGGCCATCAGAAGGCAAATTTTCAATCCAAAATCCTCGGGTCATCCGCAGCGGAGGCAGATGTTTCGGTGTCCGAGGGAGAATAAGTGGATCATCATCTTTACCGCCATCAGGTGGAAGCGACGCTTGTGCTGCATCTCGTTTCATGGCGGATAAAGCTACACGTACACTGGGTCGCTGATGCGTGGGAGCAGGAAAACTGTACAGGCGAGTGCTCCCACTGTATGCAGGACAGAAAAATGTAAGTCAGGTCACAAGGTCATGCCAAGAATCACTGGTAGTTTTTTCCAGCAAGTGACATGTAATCCTGTACACGTCCGGTGTCCAAATCAAAATAAGAATCAAACGTTTCGGTTGGGACACTGTGCAACATACCAAAAATGGCAAGCACAACGGAGGTTGGCTCTGACCAGCATTTTTGCACAAGCCTTCGACCGTGCTGCAGGATTTCGGTGTCGGATCCCCAAGCGTGATATCACTCGCTTCAGAGGGAACAGGCGAACGCTCACGTTTGTCCTTCTTGGACTTCATGGACTTCTGAGACTTATTTGGTGACCGGTCCTTTTTCAGCCTTTTGGACTTCTTGGACTTGTTGGTCTTCTTGCACTTGTTGGAGGACTTCTTAACCCAAGACGCCACCTCTGTGGGTGCCGAGTCTTTAGGAGGATCGAAAGCCGAAGACCAGGAACTAGCATCATCAGGAAGTTCATCATATGGTACCCCGTTGTCTTGACGGGAAGCCATGCCGGTGTGTCGAGAAATCAAGACGGAAACGGCTGGCGGCACCACATGAGTAAAAAAGGAAAAAAGGAAAAAACGCCTTCGGCTCAACGAGAGACAGAGAGAGAAAGGGGAGAGAGAAAGGGCGAAAAAGACATAAAACTGAGCGTAACGCTCCTACGCGCTGTTTTGCAATGCGCAAAGACGGTTCCACTTTAGTGGTGCAGGCGCTCTAATCCAGTAATGATGAAAGTCCCAAAAATGTCAATTGGGAAAACGAATTAAGCAGACAGGTCGTCTGCTGTTCCAGCATGACAAAAGCTCTCACGGTGATGCATCTCGCTTGCGTTTTCGGGGCGACAAAGAATTGGCGCTCTCAGTAGGGAGGTTCAAGTCCACCGAAGAAGTGGTCTGAGAAGCCTGGTGCCACTGATTGTCAGCAGCCAAACGATCCGAAATCCAGCGAGAAGTGGCGGGAAACCAAGATTTCCACCACGTTTCATTGCCACTGGGTTCTTGAATTTTGACCCAATAAAATCGCCACGAAACAGTCGGAGAACGCGATCGGGATCGATCCGACATGGCGTGTACCGCTGAAAGCCGAACGCTGGAACTGAACAAAGCAATTTAAAAAACCTAAGCGGACACATTGCATGCAAGACTCTTCTGCATATACATTCTGTATTGCAACAGTCTTTTTTCATGCATGACGGACTCCATGAATCTTAAGCCTCTCTCTGTACATCGGAGACCGGTAAAGCTTCGGTGCTTCGTACAGAGTACTCCAAGCCAGGCCAGCTGACTCCCCAATCCTGTCCTTCCCCCGTTTCAAAAGTAATCGGCCGGGGATTGTTGGGGGTGGACATCGGCAACGTAATGGAGTGGGTGCTTGACAAAATCCAAATTTTGTCAATGCGTCCTGCGGCTTCACGTACCGCCCAGCGCTTATCTCCTGAAGGGGAGTGTACAAGCGGGTGGAACTTGCACAAGTGTCCTTCATGTACAGTACTGGAGGATTTGGATTTGTGATGCGCAGATCCAAGATATCCTCCCACGACCACTCCTGCGGAATTCTTCGTGGAGTGGTGCAGTTTTGACACGAAGTCTAACTTGCTCTCTTCATAGTACACGTTTTGTGTGGCTTTGCCATAAAAGGAGCACACATGATCGTGCGGCGCCACATGTACAGCTTCGGCGCTAGAGCGAATGACCCTGCCCAACGTGAGGATGCCGACCAGGCCTTCGGCCGTGGTCCCGTGTCCCCAAAGATAATAGCAGTTGGTCTGCTCTTCAGGTCCTGGCATATGTGCCACTGGAAACTCCCAAACATGCAATGCTTCTTGGGGCATGGCATACGCCTTGGCATCATGCTGAAAAATTGCCTTATATGGTATCTTGCTGGCCAAAATGGACCGGGCAAGAGTGACAATCTCCCGTTGGCCAATAGGAATCACAGGCAGAAAAGGTCGGTCTGCCTGGCCAAATCGGGTCAACAAAAATTTCAGCACATCCTCAACATCCTCTTTGAGGATTTTGGAAACTGGCAATGAACGTTGCCGAGTAAAAGTGATGCGATCAGTGAATCTTCGCATATGAGAATGTGGGATAATAGGCCACGTATGCAAGCCTTCAGTTGTGAGAAAATTCTCATGATACTGCAAAACAAAGAACATATACGCCAAGAGAGAACTCATTCCCTCCTCATAGAAATCGACAGCATTGCGGCCTTTGGCTCGAGCTGTGATTTGCTCTCGCAGTTGTTCATAGCTGCTGCGATGAGCAGCATGAAATAGCTGTTCCTCATCAACAGAAATCAAACCGGATTGAGCAGGAGGAACTGGGCTCTTTGGAGCCGGATTCTTGGGAGGTGTCTTGGGCGACGTGTTCTTGTGAAACTCCGGTGAGGGAGCTGCCGCGACAGGCTCCTTGTTATTCAAAATCGGGCCTGTCTCCGGTTTGCTTTGTGCATTGCCGGGAGCTCCAAAAGCTTGAGCAGCCCGATGTAATGCATCAGTGGCTGCTTGAGAATGTGAAGCAGGAGCTCGAACTCTGGGTGTTACTGGCCTTTGGCTCAGAGTCCCAGCAGGAACACTAGGTACCCATTGCCCCGGCGGTCGCTGTGGACTGTTGCTGGGCCCTTTGTTTTCATGAGGCCGGGAACGGACAGAAGCCGGCTCAATAGATCTCGGTCTAGGCCGGGGTGGCATGTTTTCTAAGCTGGCAGAACGAAAAGGTGGGCGCATCGGAGGAACTGCACTGACCGACCTTGTTGGTGGTCGAGTAGGAGGCTGAGGGGGAGGCAGAACTGGTCGAACTGGGGCCGCGGGAGGTCCCTCAGGGTGACGTTCATGCCGATGATGTCGACGCCGTCGTCGTCTCGAGCGACTGCGATCATGACGCTCACGGCTGGGGTGAGTAGACATGGCCGGCTCACCCGGTGTGAGTTGAATTGGAAGCGGAGCTCGAGGTGGTGGGTGTACCGAAACCGACCGAGCTCTACTAGCTTCCTGAGGAGTCGAAAGAATTGTAACCGGAGGTTGTGGTCCGCTTGAAGTCTGCACTCCAGGGGGTCCTCCGTAGAAGTGAAAATGGTATTGCTGGGCCATGGCTCGGGGTTGAAATATTCCTTCAACAGGCCGATACCCAGCTGAAAACCAATGCAGCTATGGTGCTGAATCAGTAGCTCACGTGCACAATTAGGAACAAAAAACATTGCAAAGAGGCAGCGAAACTCTCAATCGAATGACTTATTTGTTGACTTCATTGCAACGCATTCACAGGAAAACCTGCCTGTACATACAGTTGCTTGAGTCTGCGAAGTTGTCCCGGTCTTGACTCGGGGGGCCAGGAATACTGGCGAATCAAAGATGCTCGAGAAAAGTATCCCGAGGCTGCCAGCTGCCACGATCCAGCACTGTTGGGCGAGCGGATCTGCCACGGTTGCTCCGGGAGATTAAAAGTTGCTGAGCGAGTCTTGGCACAAATGGTAAAGCCCAACCATTGATGGTCTGACACAGTTTCCAACTGAGTCCCATCATAAAAGTTGGGATCGCAGAATCTCCGGAGTTGGGACGATAGTAGAATTTTCTGAGGTCCCAGAATCAGTCTGTTATCGACGTAACGGAGAAACAAGAAAGACGATTGGATGGCTGTTGGCAAGAATTGCAAAAACTGCCGCTCGGCCAGGATTACAGGAAGTCCGGAGAGGATCGGAGATATTTGATTGCCTATACACGTCCCCTCCACTTGCTGCCTGCACTTTCCAGCAGCTGTAAAAACGCCCGTGGCGAAGGATAGATCCACAATCAGCGGAACATCGGAAACCCAACACCTCTTTAAGTTTGATTTCGTTCTCCCCCGAGGTTTGCCCGGGTGTCCCGTTTTTGACAACATATCGATCGAAAGGATCGAACAGCCAGAAGTTTGGCAGTATTCCTGGACAATCAAATGCACTGCGCGCATGATGTCTTTTCGGGGAACTGCGTTGAAAAATCCCACGATATCGTCGTTCCATTCGACGTCTTCCTCTTGGCTAGGCTTCGCCCAATAAGCATGAAGAGACTTCCAGAGTTGTGGCATGCTCTGCATGCCTGGGCTGTCAGCAAACAGCGTCTTGACCATTAAGGTTAACGCAATGGAAGTCAGCTCCAATAGCTTGCTGCACAACGAATTGGAATACGAAATGATGGTCCGTCCCTTGGCAAACTGTTTCTTCCGTTTCAGGAACACAGTGCCTTGGGGCAGCGGAGCTGCTTCTTTGAAGGCCCAGGCGTATCTTCTGGACAGATCTCGAGGAACGCGCTTCAAAATGCGCTGTCTCCATTCTTCAGGGGTACCATCAAGAGTACGAAACACAGAGGGATCGTTCCATGTGGTGCTGACTCCTCGAAGGAAGAAGCGAGGACAATAGCACACGACATGATTCGGATGATGATCTTCGTTGTACAGAACAAAATCCGAGTGCAAGGCAGACTTCACCTTCTGTACCAAAGCCCAGTGTAGTCTGTCTGATTGTTCCAGGGCTGCAACGTGTTGCTGCCACTGGTGATCGCAAAAGGATTGAAAAATTGGATGCAACGTCGCTGGTAGCTTGTGTCTCTTGAGCCACTGATCAAACAGAGCTCTGGACTTGGCCATCCAGTGATTGCGGCCTGGGAAAAAGGTGCTCGCGGCACTGGCCGATAAGATGCTCGAACAGCCTGGTAGTAGCTTGGTCAGGTTCTCTAAACCTGTGGCTACGTGGCCAGACACGAAGCAATGAGCAGGAAGTTTTCCTGCAAACTGCTCACACGGACAGTGCACCGACTCCAAATCAAAGTCGTGCTCCCACATCGTTTCTTCCCAAGATCGGAAGTTGTGGAGAAATTTCTTGATACTCTGGTGCGGAACTTCACGTAGGCAGTTCTTTGGAACATGAAAAGATGGAAAAAGATACTTGTACCGGAGGATGAGGTCTTTTAACCACTTCTCGCACTCCTTGGAAAACGAAGGAGACGCAGTTGGCAGGACTCCCAAAGGTCGGGAAGTCCGTGGCCAGTGCATCTTCTTGCGAAACTTGATTACACCTTTGAGTATTCCTTGCACCCTGTTGCGATGAGGGTTTTCGATATTGCGACTGAGCTTGATGAGGGCATACACTTCCTCGTCAGCCGTCTTGTTGGATCGGAGCAGCTTCGCTGTTTCAAAGGATGCTCGGGTTCTCGATGCCAGCTTAAACAGAAGCCCCCAGGCTAACTCCCGAGAGTCATGAATGAAGAATTTCGAACTGCGACCAAACATGCGCTTTCGCAGTTTGCGCCAAAGTCGGAGGCCAAAGGTGCAATACAATGACCCTCTGCGATTGGACGAAATCCGGAAACCGAGAGCGGTCTTCTTAATGAAAGACATTGCTCTGGGATAATTCAAAGGTGCCTGCCATTGAGCAATGAGTTCGTGCTCAACAGTCCAAGCTCGCTGGTAGCTGTCACAAAATTCCAGCGGAACAAGCACAAACTGGAACAGGTTGTGTTGGGATGCCCAATATCTCAGGGACAATTCTGCATCCACAAATTCGGTTCTTTGAAGTCTTCTGTAAACTGCCATGCGGTTCAAATGCCGCTTGGCTGCACCGACAGCAGTGCTTCCCACATACAGAAGTGATGAGGGCTGACGGTAGCCCGAACGAAATCGACCCATGTCGAAATCAACTTGAAAAATGCAATATACAGTGTTCGGCTTCTCAAACAGAGAATAATGCAGAGTATCTGGATCCACTCCGAACTGCTGCAATCTCCGAACAATCTTGAATCTGTGTGAATCATCCTGGCTGGGTGCATTGAGGTAAAACAACAACACCAACGACATCAATGTATGCACCCAAATCAGCGGAGCCTTGGGTATTCCATCGCCAAACTCCAACATGAAGGCTGCTGCTGTACCAAGCGTGCACACTGCTGAAGCAAGCCTCTTACGGACCTGAATCGGCTGGTGTTGCACCGTTTTTGCTTGGGTAGCTAGTCAAGCTGATTCAAACTGACATGCACCAATGAACGAAGACAAATTGGTGAATGACATCTTGCTGGCATGGCTTTTCTTCAAGCCGTACTTGATAGCAAGATCTGCCAGGCTTTGCCGATCAGTGGCTGAATCTTTCAGCACAGAGCAAACATCAGCCACATGTTTCTTAAAAGCTGCAGCTTGACCACGAAACTGGCTCTGATGCTTCTTGAGCCATTTCTCAACAACATCAGGAGAGCTGGAACTCGGAACAGAGTTCGGCGGATTCTGGAGTTCCGCATTCAAAATCTGCTCAGCTGACGGTGATGGTGAAGCGGTGGGCTTTGGGCCAGTTTTGGCCTGCTTCTTCTCTGGAGTAAGAGCAATCCCAGCTTCCTTCAACTTTCGCTTCGCACGAGCAAGCTGTTCACTCTCAGGCGATTGCTGGTTTGAATCCGCCGGAGGGGGCGAATTGGCTTTGATTGTTGAAACAATTTCGCCAAGCAATGGTTGCATAAATCTCGCAGACTCCCTGTGCTTGTCAGGCGGAGCTGGGCCGTGCATATTTGCCGCCACGGCATCAAGATCAATCCGGTCTTGCCGAATGTGACGAAGCAGGTTAGTCACAAACACTGCTTCTGAAATCGACCTCACGAACACTAGGCTCTGAAATTCTCCATTGGACAAACAACGGAGACTGAAGTCATCAAGACCTTTTCTCGTCAGGTCTGAGACACGAAGATCGGCGACATCTTTTCCAGCCAGTCCAGCTTTCGTAGACCAGGGCGTGGATTGGATGTTACGAAAGAACTTCTTGCCAGAAATAGCATTCTTGTCGTAACACTCCCAGTCACTGGTAAAAGACGATGGGATGGCAACATTGGTGCTGGGAACAGACTGTTGAGGAGATTTTTGCCAGTCACGGTTGTTCCAACCCGACGATCCTTTCTTCTCCCAAGACGAACTAGCCCAGGACGACTTGGCCCAATCTTGTTCACGGGTCCACGACATGATCGCAAGAGATTGCTACAGGCTTGTGTCTCGGAGCTGAAATCGTGGTCTGCGGATAGAAAAGCCGTTGGTTCCATCGGATCTGCAAAAATTCAGGACCTGCAATGAAACCTGGCATCAAACCTGACATTAAGTCAGGAGCGGAGAAAACATCACGACTGAAGTAATCAGATGTCTGCACCATCGGAGCAGCAAATTCAGTCGGACCTGTGAGGACCACGACGGGCCCAAAACAATGTATCCCTGCCTTTATCAGATCCACCCTGGCAGGTACTCGCACGGGCTAACCCCGCCGCAGGTAGCGCGGTAAACGAATACAAGACCAGCTTGTAACTACCTGGGACACACTTAGACATCCATCGCGCAGCCACTAATCAATCTGATTATCAAGCACAGCTTGATGTATCTCGAAAGCATGAAGCTTCCAGGGGGTCCGGTACCTATCTGGCCTCAAGGCTCATCTTCACTTGATCTTTGACTTATTCACTGTACAAGGCAAACTCCTCCAAACCTGCACATTCGATTCCATTGGGGTTTTAGGCTTAGCCCCGAGCCATATCACTTGCAACGACACTTGCAGAAACACTTGCAGGTACACCAAGCTGATCAGGCTTGGTTTCCCTCTCTGATGCATAGCTTCGTTGGGTACGGTAGCATCAGAGAGCCGTACCCCCCTGCTATTTTCAGCAATTCAGCACTACTGTCCAACGTGTATCAAAAACGGTTCCTCTTGGTAACAGAGGTCCACACACACACAGACACTCTCCTTCCATCTTCTTCCACCAATCTCCCTCCACTCCTTACAGAACAAACACCCACTACAGTTCAGGTCCAAAGATGAAAACTTGTACCTTGACTGATCAGTGGCGTCTTGCTTAACATTTTCTTCACAAGGCATGCACTGCATTGCGACGACTCGTTGCGGCACCTGGCTTGCTGCGCAGTCAGCCCAAGCTCTGAAACACACCATCGGGCCCGATCTCCGGCAGAGACTCCGTCGCACAAAATGCCGGGATCCCAGCCATTCCTGAGTTATCAGCCGCAGCTTCGACTGCCGTTTTCGTAGGTTGCATGCTCAGCCAACAGGCCTGTCCGGCACGAGCAGCGCGTCGATCTCGGCTTTGACCTTCTCAAATCCACAGGGCAACGAGTGGAGCAGTGGAACTGGGAGACTTGAAAGGGCCAAAGCTGCTGAGCGTAGGCTCCAGGCGACAGATATATGCTGTGGCCTTTCTGTCTCCGCGGCATCTGCAGAGCACACATCCGCCAACGGGGACGCCGGAGTGTCATCTCCTCGCAGGTGCTGAGCATCGCGGACGAGTGCTGACGTGATCACAGCAGATGCATCCTGCATCCGCTGTGGTAGTGGCGGAGAATGCATCCTGAAACTCGCTCAGCACCTCGCGAGTTGACACAAGAAAAGAGAGAAGAAAGAAAACCGCGTCTGAGGCCAGCTCTTTGCATTGAGCTTCCTCCACTGACATGCCCAGATGCTCCATGCACCACAAGGCTCCTTGATGCAGCCAGTCTTACACTTGCCTCTCAGAAACCTCAAAACAAAACTCCTCACAAATCCCCACAATCACCAGTCAGACATTCCACTGCAGTCAACAGGCGCTCTTCTGCCACATGCCCGTCGCAGAGCACGCTAGGACTCCAAAGACCTTTAGGAAACCTCACAATGCGCAAACGATGGCACCCAAGGCCGTCTTGGATTTATGCCAGAGAAGGCAGCAGCTGAATTCGACAAGCAGCTTCAGTGGAAATTCGCTCATGATTCTATGCTGCGCATCTTCGCTCGACAGTCCTGAGACGTTTTTCTAGAAGGCTTCGGCCGGATGGGGACCTATTCTGGCCGGGCGGCGTGTCGTCGCACGAGCCCTTTGACCATAAGCCCGAAAAACAGCAAACCCAAACGAGCACGGGACACAGGAGTTACTACTGGAAAGAACCCTACGCTCCCTTCTTCTCCCTCTCCTCAGCCAAAGTGTTCGTTTTTCACGTGTTTCTAGACACAAAACCCTAAGCCCTAAAATCCCTTTTGCATCCAGACCTATTGCGACTGCCGGGTACCCCTCCAGAAAAGAAACTGAGGGCTAGGCAAATCTGCAGACACACACGTGTCCTTTCCGACTTTCGCATTGTTCTTATCAATGATACTGTTCAGAGTGGTCGCATGCAAGACATCATGTCTTGTGTGTTTGGGTGAGTGTTGAAGCCAGTAGTGCTGCAGATTTGCCCTAAAATCCCTAAACCCTAAAGCCTCCTTGCTGGCCCCTGGCGCGACACCGCCCACAAGTGACACTTGTGCCAGGCGCTCGCAGCTTCGCAGCGCTACCCGCCTTTTAACCCCCCCCCTCTGGTCCGTTCTACAATTACTCATCTGCCAGCAATTGGGCTAGTGGAGCTGCAGCAAGGCCACCCAAGTTCTCCACACACCATGCAGCACGATCCGCAGCAGAAACACCATCACAAACGGCATTGGGATTCCATCTCATCATCAGTCTGAAGTGATCCCCACACGGACACGGGGCCAGGTTCCAGCCGACTTTGAGCCGAATTGCTGCGCAACCAGGACAGATAAGACAACGCCTTTGATTTGGGACTGCAGCGGCTCGGCACCTCTACGTCTTGTAGCTGGAGCTGAGGAGCACCCGTGCCTCAACAGTGCTCCAAGCAAAGAAGGACGAGCACAGGCCACACAAGGCCACTGCCCATCACTCTTCGAGGGTATGGCTGCAGCCAAGTGCCGACCTCTCAGTCCACAGACTATAGACTCTGCGTTCACGTGGATGACATTTGCTGAGTGAGCAGCAGAAGGTCTGAAGCGCAGAGCCTGACACCGCCATTGATTCCCACAGCAGCTTAAAAAAAGGAACCCCTTGACTGGGCCGAGAACCGGCATCGACCTGAAGAGTACTGTGACATACTGTGACTGTCGTGGGGTCAGTCGTTTGGCTTCTGCTTCTCTGCTCTGCTGAAGAGCTGAAGCCCTGGCGGATTGACTAGCCGGTCGAAGGATGGAGCTGCCTTGCGTGAAGCAGCCGAGATCCTGCAGCAGTCTGCGTCGGCTGCGGTGGCTGCCGAGATCGACGAAGTGTGGAACGACCACGGAAAAGCAAACATGAACTCTCACATGCAACAAGAACAGAACGGCACAAACCGGCAGCCGCATCTGTAAGATCCGAACAGATTTTCTATCCGAGCGTCGTCTCCATCCTTGCAATTGCACCCGTCAGACCAAGTCGAGACACCTGCGAGGGATGTCCTCGACGTGGCTGCCACTGCCGTGACACGAAAGCCTGGGCAAGAGAGTCTAGCAGTTCAAGTGGCGCTAGGATTCAGCACTGAAACGATACTGTTCTGGGGTCGGCATGTCAAGTCAGCGAGGGAGCCCGAGAGTGCTTAGGAGCGCTGCTTGTCCAGGCCACCTTTCAAGAGCCAAATGCACGAACTCTTCAAGGCACTGGCCACACACCTCGTCCATCCCTTCTTGGACCCGGAAGGTTGAGCATCCTTGCTGAATCGTCATGTGTCGCACATTATCGCCACATGCAGACACAACTCCAGGCCGGATGTGTTCAGTCAACCGACTCAGAGCATCATCAACTGCCAAGCCCGTGTAGAAATTGCAGATACTGCAAGACCCCGGCTTAAACAATCGTTTCGGCATTTGCGAATTGAAAGATATTGCTCGCCTTGAAACCACAAAATCATATAAGCATGTCGTATTTTGCCAAGAACTGTGCATCTTCGCTTGACTCGCATGCAGTGGCTGCCACAAGAGCAACCAGCGAAGGACAGTACCTTCACTATCGTTGCCGAGCACACCGACCACATCTCTCAGATCACATCTCCAGTCGCCTATACAGCTTTTCAACGCCAGCAAGCAATGCAACTGGGTCGGCTCCAGCCATTCAACGTCATAGATCCCATCCACCGACAATCCCTCCGTCAGGAACTGAACTTCAATAAACCTTCCTCCATGCCTGGCTTCGACTCTGTCCGGAGGCTGGCTGAAGTCGCGCTTACAGTACTCTTGCAGGAGTACGCTGACGTCTGGATCACTGGAATTCGTGTCAAAGCCCAAATGCCAAAGGTGCACAGAACCCGCGCCAGCCGAATGACTTACAGCGACCAGCAGGTGTCGTTCCAGCTTGACTTCTACAACCAGGGAAAGAGTCTGCACGGCTTGGGCAAGATGCCATTCACTCAGCACGTTAGTAAAAACTCGAATGCCTCCATCAGTCTCCAAAGTTGCCACCAGCTTTTGGCTGCCTCCAAATGCGAAGCTGGTAATATCGCAGCATAAAAATTGATTACCAGATGTGATCTTGCCCAAGTCTGCGCCGTCTGAAGTGGACCATATGCAGGCCTCGCATCCTGGCACACCACACAATATGACGAATAGTCGACGCAGCTAAGTTGGAAACGAAACACTCGATGTACACCTCGCCTTCAACTTGGTAAGCGAGAAACGCTTCCCCATAATCCCATCGTGCAAGGAGCTGCTCCGCATGCCTGGCATCGCACAGCATCTGGACACCTTCACGTTGGAGTGCAACAACCATCACGCACCACACACCTCTCCCAGCTCGGGGCAGAGACCACCTCAGAGAACCGCGGCATAGGCTCAGCTCGCGCTTGACTTTGCGGCGGCTCACTGACGATCGCTTGGACGCCGGGTTCAGGTCGTCTTTTGTAAGTCGCACACGTAAGTCTTCTCGAGTGACACGAGGTCGAATGCATGGATATGAACCCCGGCGAAGACGAAGAGCCTTGCTGCGACCTTCTGACGTAACGATGCAAATGCACTACACTGCCTCCTGGACGTGCTGCACAGAAATCAATCGGCATACGTTCGCCTATTTATCGTACTAGCCCTGATCGTGATCTACACAGAAATCGCAGACAAGCAACGTGTTCCACGAAAAGTCGCAAGTCTTCCGTAGGATCCTCCTTCTCAAGTCCGGTTGGCGATCTGCCCGTGCACGATGCCTTTTCTTTGAAGCACCACCTCTCCAAGTCTAGAGCCAGGGATACGCCAATGACGGAGTGCGGCGTGACCGGCACCACCTCGAGGCAACATTATCAGGCTGAGCTGTAACCATTTTTTACTGACTTCTTCCCAAACTGATTCGAGGACAAGCTGGAGCACCAGATGCTATGGAATGTGATGAGCAGCCAGACGTCCAAGGTGTCAACGATATGCATCCAAGAGGCATCGAGGAAATCTGCAGGCCTGCCAGCTTCAGGCAAAGCACGGGCAGCCCCCCAAGACAAGCAAAAACTAGCAAGCTTCATGCTGGCTCATCGTTCCTAACAGCCCAACAGCTGCGCCTGAAAGACGGGTGAGATGAACCTGCTGTCGATGTCAGTGGCAGAATCCCAACATGCTCCTGTGCCCATTCCGAACATGCTTCCACGGCTTGCTGCGACAGTAACCAAGCAATCAAGGTACAACCCAATCACAACAAGAAGGCGAGTCTCGGCGTCGCCACAGAAAAGCACTGAGTGCCCTCCTTGCACCAATCGACAAGCGTCCTGAATATGGGCATCGGGCATGCTCTTAGTCTTAGCCTGGCGTTGCCGAGTCCTACGACTCTCAACCGACTACTTGCAGAGGCATCTGCTCCTGGTTCAATCGGACCGAGGGAGCATTTCTCCATGCTTCTGGACTGAAGCGACGCTGCAGACAGTCTGGGAAAGCATCCTAAGCAATGCAAGCGAGTCCTTAACCGCATCTCACATCCTCTAACTTGTAACCCTTCAGTGCAGACCTCCGGGCGAGGCTCTAGCTGACGATGGAATGCTCGTAGTCGCAGGTAGAGCGAACGCCAACCTCAGCCAATAGAAAACTTGAACCAGATTGGACTCGTCTTTCTTAGATATCTGTGCAGGCCCACCCCTCCCCCTACTCCCATCCCTCTCCCCACTCCCACTCCCACTCCTACTCCAACTGCTCCAACTGCTCCAACTGCTCCAACTGCTCCTACTGCTCCTACTGCTCCTACTGCTCCTACTGCTCCTACTGCTCCCACTGCTACTTCTGCCACTGCTGCTACTGCTACTGCTGCTGCTGCTCTGCTCCTGCTCCCGAATTGACAGGGTTTGCTTCATTGCCGGTGGGCAACTGAAGCTTGTACCAGTGCGGCTGTCCAGCTCCAAGTATCTAAGATACCTCGGCACCACAGCAAGCCAGAGGCCATACTTCACAAAGCAGAACGAGGCAAAACGATTGAGTGCAAGTACGCGAGCAGAAAGCTCGCCCGGCCCGTCGGTTTCTGCCAACAGGTTCTGCAAATTTGCCGAAGGTGGACAGTTTCTGAAGCATGACTGAGGCAAGCATGCACGATGCCGCTCCGCACAAGAGAGCAAGCGAGCATGTGCGACTGGTAAAACTACTCACAGCCAAGGAATTTGCCCAGGCTGCTGGGAGCATACGGCACCGAAATCAGCCTCGCAGGCCAGAAAAATGATGAAGAGATCCCCATTTTGTCAAGCTCCCAACCTGGCAGCCACCTGCCCAGTCAAAGGAGGAAGCCGGCCCAGCCCACGTGCGACTGACACAGGAGAGTGTTCCAAGCGCCTGCAGCGGACAGCGGAGCAGAGGAAAGAAACGTCTGGAAGGCTCTGGGGGGCTTGGGGCCTCCGGATCGAGGAAAGCAGTCAACAAGTAGCCAGTCTCCTGCTCGATCGAAAGGCACAACGATCCCATAGATCCCATTCCAAACCTGTCCTGAAGAGCTTGGTCTTTGAGCTCCGGAAGTCGCCAAGTGCTGCAACTCATTCTATCAAGGTCGTACCCTGCCCTGGCTTGGGCAAACGGCTGCCGACTTTGCTGGCGGACGTAAATCTCTCATTTAGACCTCCGAAATTGAAGTCACGCTGTCTTGCTTCCCAAGTCCCGAGAATAGACGACCAGACCTCAAGCCGAGCTCCTGACCAGGTCCCCACCTGACCCGTGCTAGTGTGGCTGAGTCCGTCGTGCACATACAGAAGATGCCTACCCCTTGGCTGAGCTCGGGTCTGAGGGCGTATGGCGGTAGTATTGCCGCGAAACACTGGGGAACACAGCAACCTCGGCATGCAAAACAGCTGCAGAACGTCTGTGTGAGTGCACATTCGTCTGGCTGAGAAACGAACTGTGGTTTCACCGTTGCCGACTGTCGACCCGGAAGGAGGATTTCTGCAGTGCGAATGTCTCGCCACTCTGTCTGCATGCCACGAAAGTCACACAAGTGTCAATACCCTGTCATTTCACACGGGTCATTGCACCTCGAGGATTCAAGCTGGACCTTTGCAAACAAGCAGTAGCAGTGCAACGGTTTACCAGATCGTGGGATGTTCAGCTTGCAGGCTACTTGTCTGAACTCCTGTCATGGTAAAGTACTGACTGACATGGTTGCATGATGTGTGCCTCATCAAGGTTTCGGGGCCCTCATCTCTGGCAGTCCGAGATGCCATCTTCAGTGCATCCCGCGCAGGTCGGGATTGAGAAACAGTGTGGTCCCACTGCACCTCGCTGAAACTCTTCGACTGCAATAGGTTCGCAGCTTGTCAAAGTGCAAGGTGCAAAGCACTCCGCTGACATTGACTCTAACACCCCTTTTCTGTTTCCTGTGCATCGAACACAGAGAGAGAGAGAGAAAGAGAGAGAGAGAGAGACAGACAGACAGAGACAGACAGACAGACGGACCGACAGACAGACAGAGAGAGAAACAAAAAACCGGCAAGGAGACGGGCACCCCCGGAGGGCTATTTAAAACGCAAACGGGACATGGGGCTCCGAAGCCGTCATTGCCTCATTCAAGAGCAAGGATGGCAGATGCAACAGCAGGAAGATAATGGAAGCGAAAATAAACCAATATGCCGAGCAAGTGCTCGGATCGGACAAACTTGTGTACTTGGCAGGCTGTGAATGTGCTCTGAAGTGCTGTAAAACGCTGGCTCGCGGTATGTATGATTCTTTTCCACTTTGGAAATGGGTAGCACTCCAAAATGTGCAGCGACATGCTATGCTTGGGTATGTGAAAGGAACCAGGCGCCTCTACTGACTGCCGGAGAATGCAACCAAAAACTCCAGTAGCTCAGTAATCTGATTCCCTGACATTCTTTTCAAACGATGTGCGTCGAACACAAGCTTCTCCGCTTCTCCATTGTTGGGTCAAGCACCTGCACCACAGCCTGCTCACCATGAGCCTGTCTCATAGGTGAGCATGGACATGGTCTCAGCCTGGCCAATGCCAGCATGAACATGCATGAACGACTCCTAATCCAGTTATCCTCGAGCTGCTGCACTTGCTGAGGATGCCCCGTCGATGCAGTAAGATGCCACTGTTACTTGTGCCCGTTCTTGTGCCCATCATGAGAAGTCGGGAATCGCCTGGATGGAATAAATGGCGTGGCCGATGGTCGCATATTGAAGGGCACCTGTGGATGTCAAGAAGCAGACGTATTGCGCAGCAACAGCTCGTGATCCCCGGCCTACCTTGACATACAAAGCTACCAGCATGTGCAGTCAAGGCACATCAGCTTGCCCAGATCGCCCCTCATTCGGCATCGATGACTCTGCAAAGCAATGCTGGTGCCTGAGAGAAACGCAGCAATCCTCCTTTGGCTACTAAGCCCCATCCCAACAACAAGCTGCAGGACGCAAGGCGGGGGTGCGTCGACGGCCGTGAGTGGCACGGGACCTGAAGGGCCCAACACAGAAGGAAACCCACTGGAAGAGGCACAGGACGACATTGATGCCACCAACAAGCTGCGAGCTGATATGGTTCAGCCGAGGACAGAATGAGACAGTGCATACAACATACAGGGTATAACTCGTTGCCTACAACCGGGCTTCGTGCAGAATCATGTCAGGGCTGTTCAGGGTTAGGAGGGTAAGGTGATCGAGAATCCTTCGTCGAGGTGCGCTTGAGCAGAGTTTGCAACGTTGCGAAACTGGCAGACAGACACTGCACATGACTCCTGAAAGACCAGTAGTTCTGCCGCAGTAAAAGCGCACCGGCTTTGAGTCATCACAGCCGTGCCCGAAGCTGAAAGCGCCCGAGTCAAGAGCCCTCGTACGTTTTCCTCTCTCACACTTTTACAACTCGATCTCTTGACAGTTCGGAGATGATCCATCCCACTCAACGGAAGACACCTGGCCCAGAGCAGAGAAGGCTTCATCCCATACAAGAACTCAAGAAGCTGCAGCCAGCCTTGGCATGAGCCGACAGCTTTCGAAAAGCCTCGCCGGATCGAGCTGGAATCCTAGATGGACTCAACATCAAAGTTGTAAAGCCGCATGCACGCACCTGGCATGCATCACGAGCATTGCCAGCTCCGTACTTTACTGTCAGCATGTGCCTGGGGTGCCCAGGAGCACGCGACACCCAACAGTTGTATCAACAGCCCAAATGAGGATGATTTCATGAAAGTTTGCACAGGGCTGAGCCATGCCCCGCGAATGTCAAAACAGCCGCCAATGCGAACAAATAGCAGCGAGCGCAGCTCGGACTTCGAGATGGGGTGGGGCAGCTCACGTAAAACATCTGCAAAGGCAGCATCCTGGATATCTGGATAGGACACTGATAGCACATCCCGCCTCCTATTCTCACGCACATTTGCGGATACGAGTCTTAAACATCAGCACGGACGAAGCCTTGCGCAACACTGCGATAAGTTCAAAGCTCTTCGGCGGTGCGGCGATTGCTCCCACCCTCGGCTTCGGAGTTGTAAAGAGCACATTCTTCACCTGGTGCTTTGGAGAGCGCCTCTCTGGCATCGTACAGCTGTGACCACATCCGTTCGAGCCTGCACATTGACATGGTGAACCAAACATGCTGGAGATTGAGATTTGTGCACTCTAGCGCTCTGTGAGGCATAGCACATGTTTGGACGAGTTGCAACACCAGTGGCCTTTCTGTCCACGCAACTCACCTGTGCCGTGCTTCTCGTCGACTCACTACCAGCTGGCATACAATCAAGCAAAATCTTTGGTGGCCGCGGGGCAGTCGTCGTTTGATTCACATTCCTCCACGCATATACCCACAGAATTTCGTGGCAACTTCGGGCATGCCAGTTCCTGCGAGCTCCAAACGACAGCTGGCAGGTGCCTTGACTCCGCAACCCGACACAAGCAGCGTCCTCCGATGATTGAACATCCTGACCCGAAATGAGCAACAGCATTCCCCATGTCAAAGGCCATGGCACCATGATTGGTGAAAGCTGGCACTGCAGCAAGTGTACATGATAGTTGTTTCGCCCATTCCCACATAGTGATGTACACGGTGTGACAGCTCCCATGGCACAATAAGCCTGTTCCTTTGGCGAATTCGGCGAAATTCGCTCTGATATCTGCAAAGAGCACCGATGCCCAAGGCGCATCGGCCCCATATCGACTCTGAACCGGCAGCAGCGACACAATCATCCAACACCAAAAACGATTGTCGAAAAATGCTGGCTCCAGCTCACACGACTTCGAAACTGGCTACATGGCAAGTCAAGCTATTCTTCTATGCGCTCGTTTTGCAAGGCTGTCCACGATTTGCACTGCCCCCGATGGCGTACTGGACTACAGGCATGGCATCGAATCAAGATGCTTGACGCTCTGCCGTTTCACCCGGCAGTGTCCTGAGTCAGGACAGGGTTCCACGCCAAATTATCACCAACGCCAACAAACGAATTGTGCTATGTTTCTGCGGCCGCATCTTCTTCGCCAGCTTGTCTGTCTCATCGGCATCACCTCAAGACACAACACAAACCGTGCATCGTGCAAGAAGTGCATGCTCTTGTAGTCGAAGTTGAACATCATTCCGGGTTCCCATCAACCCGTGGCTCCACAAACGTGACAAGAATATATCCAAACTGCATCAGAAGCGGCCCAACAGCACTTGCAAAGATTTGTTGGTGTCGGTCCTTGGTTCCGGTGCCGACTTTAAAGTAATACGCCTATGTAACTCAAACGTAACACGATGCGATAGCCGATAGCTGCCAAAAGACTGAACGCTTTGCCAAATGCGCTCCTTAGTTCACTGGGTCGCCCAAAAAGTTTCGGCACGCCAAAAAGTTTATATGCCTGCTAGGCTCCACATCACCTATTCTCGCAATCTGCTGTGCAGCTTTGGAATATTGTTTGACAAATTCCTGGCCGGTGATACGAGCAAACTGTGCAAACATCCGCTGCTGGATCCTCCTCTAACACACGCGTCGCTGTTGCGCCTTCTCCGCTTCGATGGACTCCACCCTCTGCTCCGACTACTCAAGCAGTCTGACCACTGGGGAAAACTTTGAAATGTCAGATGCGACCGAGAAACATGCCCTGCTTGGTCGTTTCGGCATATTTCTGCAATTCATCTGCGCACTTGCCTCAGAGCTGGCTCAAGTCCAGAAGTCGAAAGTGCAAGGTGGGATTCCATGCCATAAATCCCATGACTCAACTCGGCCAAGCCACGGAGTGTTTCAACTGTCACCTCTCTGCGATTGTAAACTCGCAACACGTCGGATGAACTATTGCTACCATGACCATAACCACATCAATAAAACAACTCAAATTCGCCGATCCTTTGCCTGCCGAAATATTGATGTGGCTTGAATGTTGCCGAAATCAATCGTTCTGGTTGGACTCTGCACTGCTGCAAACCCAGGATGGTGCACAGCTTCTTCAGTTAGCTATAGCAACACCTGTTTGTTACAATTCCGGGTGCTCTGCTGCTTGACAACTTAGCATTATGCAGCAGCAGCCACTGCGATGTGACGAACACGGACGAAATCTTGACACAAAGCCGTGCAATCTTGTGTTATCTTTTGTCCGCGCCTCTCTCCGCCCGCAAATAAATGTCCGGTGCACGAAAAACGACGGGAAGTCGGCTGGAGGGCATAGGGAGCTGCGAGCACACGTCGGCAACAACCTCGTGCAGCTCTGGCTCATCCCCAGTGACATTGCACTCGCCTGCGAGCGGGAGCTCCAGCAGCGAAGCAGGAATGAGTGTGGTATGCCGAGGATCGATGGAAATAAAGCAACGGGCTTGAAAGGCGTCAATTTTGCGTACGTCAGCTTTACAAAGCCAAGCTGTATGAAGGGAATACATCAAGCGGGAACCACACAAGCCGAGAAGATTTGTAGGGTTCTTTGCGCATGCCAGCGATTCAACGCATCAAAATCTGCTTTGGCCATCCCAAGCCGACGGTTCACCTCTGAAGTGAGGGAGCTGGACGCGGACATCACACTGCCAAGGTAGACAAGTGACGTTTTGTTCTTGATGGGTTCGTCGGCAAAACTTCGGTCTTTTCCCAATTAACCGATAAGCCATATACTCTCCCAGCATCCAAAACTCGATACATGAAGGATACAGCTTGTCGTGGGTGTAAGCTCAAAATCAGAGTGTTGTCCGCATAAATCAAGTCATTGACGAGTGCTGGTGGAGAAGCAAGGCCTGAGACGGATTGGAACTCCCGGGTGGCCACCGTCATCAAGATTGAAAAGAGGAATGGCGAAAGCGGGCATCCTTGCGATATGCCAAAGCATTGAGTACGTGAGGCCCATGAGTGACCAGACGCGCGGACTGTGACAGTCCTGTTGCTGTAAACTGCCCGGATAAGGCCGCGAAACAAAGGCTGTAAACCAAATCTTTCGAGAGCATCAAGCAAACCGTCGGGACTAATAGAGTCGAACGCTTTTTCCGAGTCCAGGGATAGCATCACCAGATTACCATTCCGGTCTGCCAATGTCAAGTCGAGCAGTCTCCGTGCACCAAAAATCGCGTCAGCACTGCCACGCTTGGTGCGAAAAGCAAATTGTTTAGGCCACTCCTCAGCTCCAGCATTCTGCAAACGTCTAAGTAAAGTCCGCAAAGCTGCGGGAAACGTCGGGCAGCCGGAGCCAGTGCGCAGCCTCACTCCCAAAGCGGCCGCGACGACCACCAAGCGGCAGCAGCGGGCGCGCCGTCGTGTTTGCGCGGGGCCGCTCCGTGAGCCGCGTCACGATGGTGGCGTCAACCGGGCGGTGCGTGCTATGCCAGAGGGAAAACATGGAAAACCCGTTCGGCACGACCTCGATGCGTTGGTCGTTAGAAACCGGGACGTCGTCGATGTTCATGTCGGCGAAGCGAACATTGCGGGCGGCCCGCGCGCCACCTTCATGGCACACCCGCGCAACTTGCGGTAGCAGCAACGCTCGAGATGCGGCATTACGGTGAAAAAATGCAAATCCAGTGCGCTCTTGTCGCTTGCGAGGGTCGCCACATGTTGCCAGCCCCGCAAATTTTTCCCAAATTCTCGCTCGTCAAGCCCTGGCGGTGGGCGTTCTGGTGAGCTCCAGACAAGAGCCTCGTATCCCAAATCGAGCGGTTTTTTTTTTTCCCCCGCACGCCTTTTTCCGTCCGCAGCTGGGTCGCCACTACGGCACTACAGCGGCGCCGCCCGAACTCGCCGAGCGGCAGCTCGACGCCGTCACTGGCGTCGCAAGGCTGGACCGGCAGCTCCAGCAGGCTTCGAGCGTGCGCGCGCAGCGCCGCGAGCGCCGCCAGGGCCGTCCAGCGTCGCGTGAGCGCGGCCCCCGCGGCCGCCCGCGCCCACGGCGCTCGGTCCCTGGCGCGAGCCCGAGCGAGTCGTCGGAGCAGTGCCAACGCAGCGGTTTTTTGGCAGGCAATAGCCCAGCATACACAATATGCGGCAGGAGCTGCATCGACCTCGGACCGTAAGCCAAGACCTCCAGACCGAAGGGGGGAATGCAAGGCGCGTTGTGCGGGCTCGGGCCATGTGTGCTGCGAGTTTGGGAACAACAAGGTTGCGAAGCAAGTGCGAACAACCGCATCGTGCTCGCGGGCAAAGGCTCCCACAGTTGTTTTTTTCATATCGCCGCGGTATCCGAACTGTGTTCTCAGCTCGCTCTGTTGTGGCCAAATAGCCGCGGCTGGGAGGACCTGGTTCGACAATTTTTTGGCAATGGAATTTGAGCTGCCAAAGAAAAACCTTTTAGCCGCGGTCGCAGCTGACTAGCCTACCTGACAGACTACGGACTACACCACAGTCTCGTGTCAGGGCGACAACGGCAGGCGACTTTCGGCGGGTGCCTCGTGCCGGAGCAGGGTGTCCAGCGGCGGGCCTTCGCAGGTTTCTGGTTGCGGTGGCTGCTCCCAAACGCCGAATGCCCGCCATGGACAACATGCCTCCGAGCCCAACACGACGAGCTGCCGCGGCCCGCCGTTGGAGAGCTCCGGCTATAGGTAGTGAGCTTCCGGCGTTCGGCTACCCTGAGTGCGGCGCCGTCGACAACCGCTGCACAAAGTTGCAGGTGTCCCATGCGCATCAAGGGAGACACGAGCGTGGCGTCACAACACAGAGCTCCGCCGCTGCGCGTCGCGCCGTACACAACCGGGTCGAGGCGGCGCAAATCTGCGGCTTGCACACCGTCATAGTGTGGGCCAGCCATTGCTGTGGCACGACCCGCCTTTCAGCACGCGATGCAGACCCACGCTCGCTCTATGAGGTTGACTCCCCTGCGAGGGCAGGCAAGTGCGTGTCGCCAAGAGCATCGACTCCTGCGCCGCACTCAAGGTTCGGGCCGCCGGAGCTTCCTCGCAGAGGCAACGGCTGCCGCAACGCGGCGTCGCAATGCGATTTGCATCGCGGCACGTGGTAGCGCTGTGGCATGTGGCCAGTTGCTGGGAACTGCGTCGTCTGCCGAAGTTGGGCGCGTGCCTTCACATGGAGAGAACCCCAGCAGGGCAGTCGCGCCGGATCAGAAGCTTCTCAACAAGCTGGTGTTGGGTGTTGACCGTGTGCCGTTTCCGGCTGATTGTTCATTGTCGCATTCGTCGGGCTCAGTGCAACTAACAGCTCGCGGCCAGTGTCGCCTGTGATTTCCACCTAGGCTGCGCCTACGTATCCGGACAGCTCGCGCCCAGACAGCTTGCGCTTCCCTCCGCTGACTGCACATATTTGTTTCGGCTTGTCGACGGTCGGCCCAAGTCTCCTTCTCTGCGCCTGTGCTGCACCACGTCCGATGTCAGCGAACCCCAGCTACTGAGCGACATGTTGGTTGCCTCCTGTTTCGACCGGTCCCCAGCAACGACACTTGCAACTACTGGGACGTATTGCGCCACTCCCTTCTGACAACGTGATGCGCACATGTGTGTTTCGGGATGGTTCGTTTCAATTGACACCGTCTGCTTTCGCTCGACGACGCGGTAGACCACGACACATATGGGCCACAGACGTGTGTATACTTGCCTTAGATGTGGCGGGTCGATGGAAAATTTGAGTAACATGTGGCAGCAACGTTCAAGAACTGTTGAATAATCCCCGAAATGATTGGACAGTTGCCGGATGGTGCCAGTCGCGGCGGCAGCAGCAGCAGCAGCAGCAGCAACAGCAGCAGCAGCACCAGCAGCAGCAGCAGCAACAGCAACCGCAGCAGCAGCAGCAGCAACAGCTGCAACGGCAGTGCTCGCAGCAGTGCTCGCAGCAGGACGCCAGGGGGGTGTGCCGTAAATTACCGTAACAGGACCCACATCATTTGTATAGATGTTCCAAAGTGGTCCGACAGGACGGTGGCAGCATCCGGGAGCAGCGGCAGCAGCACGCAACATGCAGCCGCTGGTGCGGAATGTCTTGCGTGCACACAAGCATGGGTGGCGCGCGGCGCTGACTTCAATCGAGGAACCTGCAATCATTCGCGGTGGAATGCCTCGGCTTTTGTGTATTTGCGACAATTGCAGTCCGGCGTCGAAGTTTGCCGGCTTGCACGATGAGCCGCACTTCGCCTCGGCGAGTGAGACAGTTGTCCACAGTCCTCAAAAATTATGTGCGAATCCACATGCGGCCGAGGAGTTCCATGGTCGTTTTCGAAGGAGTGCACAGGAGGAACACCGGGGATCATTTGGCTGAAACACAACAGAGCCCGGCAGAAGCACGCTTCGTGCTCGTAGGTTGGCTGGCTCCCAGGCCTACGTCCTGAATCGGGAAGCACGACCCCCATGCTTCAGAGCAGGAACAAATGGAATAACAACTTCCGGTTTTGATGACTCGAGCAACCCAATGTTCTGCAGCGGCTCGCGTGCCCCTTCATCGAAATATCATACCCGGAATCGAAACTGAGCACGTCCGCATCCCCTCATGCCGGTGGGGCCTTCAAAATCGATCTTTGTGGCGGGACACCACGCAAGGTTTAATTCGGAAAATCTTGATAGAATGGAACGAATATCCATCGATACCGACAACCATGTCCATCGCAAAACATGTTTATTGCAGAACTATTGCAGGATCCTACGTGGAAGGTATCATTCGGCAATACTTTAAGCCTCAAGACCCAATCTGCCCCAACCATGGCTTATTGCAGAATAAAAGCGTTCCAGTGTACGTACGTATAACCATTCTGCAATAAACCAAGGATGGGGGATTTTGTGACTGGGACACACTGGAACTAATTATTACCACGAGCAGCTGGCTTTTCGTGCAAACAGCTCAGCGACAAGATCCGCCCAAACCGATTCCTCGCTTGCAACCGTCTGAAGACGCACGGTCCCCGTGCAGTATATACGGGGCTGTCTGCGCAGCACGGCCGGGCCTGCGTCTGCGCTCCTGCGCATCGTGCCAGCGCATGTCAGCAAAAAGCTCGTGCAAAGCAGGCTCCTCTGTTTCCACGCCTTCTAACCACCCGGAATTGCAAAAGGCTTTTGTGGCTATCTGCGATGTACCGTATGGCCCCATCATTGCGGATCCCGGCGTGGTCTGTGGGTGGGTGAGCGCAAGCTTGCGCATGCTCTCCTTCATTGCACTGCGCAACGTGCCTTGAAAGAAAAACTGGCGTTCTCGAGCCCGACCAGGGCATCCGCTCAGCTTGACAAAGATGTTTAGCACGGAGATTGCAAGTAATGTAGGTTGTCTGGCCAGTGTATGCCCTGCCGCTGAGGCATGTGAAATGTGTTAGCACAGAAAACTTTGCGTCGGACAGGTGAGCTGGTGAGTAGTTGGGCGGTGAAAATGCTTTTGTGCAGTTGTCCAAACTTACTTTTGATCTTTTGACCATGACCCGTGGTCCTTCAAGGACAAGACTCCCTCTGGCTTCGGGACGTCGCCAAGGTCGGCCGCGGGGCAACTCAAGCAGGGAGGCAGCGAAAGCACACGCGGCGAACGCGATGAGCCCCAACCAGCGTGCTAGCCAGGCAGTGGTGGCGGCAGCGGCTCGGTGCCACGCAACAAGCCGCGGGAATTGCATGGAATTGCACATTTTCTAACCAGTGGTTGTGGGGTTCCCTGGGCTCTTTAACCCCTTATTCAATAGGGATTATCATAATCCCTGGCTCCTTAGCTCCTCCAATATCGACGGTTAGTTTTCGGTGCTAAACCTGAGGCCAACTTCGGTGCCAATGATGACGAGGCGGCATCTCCTGGCAGCTCAGGATACGTGTTGTTGCGCTTGCGCCTGGCCGCCGCATTGACTGCGCCGTCAGTGCGGGGGTGGGCTTAGCTCCACACTTCCACCGCACTCGTCGGCGAAGAGGAAGTGCAGCATAGAGGCGGCTGGCGCACTCGACGGTGATGCCGCTCCCAATCAGCGCTGGCCCACACGAATGCGGCTGCAATTCGTGCAGTGGTGACTTTTCTGGCATGCTGCTTTCCCCGGCCAGTTGGGAAGATCCCGCGCTACTTCACCAGGCATGGTAACGTTTTTCTCCATCCCTGCGCAGCGCGCCGGTGCTGTCCAGGTCTTACCCGAGCTTATACCAGGACTCGACATCTTGAACTAAAACAAACGCCCAGCCTGCCGCAGGAAGCCTTCGACCAGCTGGAGCCCCTCTACGGCTCGCTCGCGGTGACCGGGCTGTGGCTGCGATGCCCCGGCTCGATCTTCCGCCGGTTGGTGAGACTTGCATTGCGAATCATGTGCCAATGAAAGTCGCGTCTTTTTTGCGGGCATGTTGGCCGGTTACCGAAGTAGAGACGCATTCAAAAGCAACAATGCTGACAAAGTAAGCCAATTCAGAAAGGAAACGGCGGAGGCAAAACTAGAAAGGTGAAACAAACCACTGAAAAGGCAATGGCCCAGAAGTGCATCCGAGTCCTTGCAAAGCACGGCCCGAACAGTACGTTTCGAAGTGATAACATCCAGCAGTCAGCGCGAGCCCGATCGAATTTTCATGCGAAGACGTTACAAGCTTTGTTTCTTTGTTTGATCTTCAATTGATCTTCATGTGAGCGAGTTTGAGGATGCGGTTTTTTCCAGACCACATGTGCCGATGCTAGGGAATTGCCACATCTGCCTATGCTGGGATGCAGCATTGGACCCACCGGTTACGGTATGGGTTCAATTACATAACCCTCCTGATGCGGCCGCTGTGCGTGCGATTTTCATGGAAACTTGGCATTTGGTTTGCTTGGCGACCAAGTAATGCATTCACAATACACCAAAACACCCGTCACGAAGAGCAAATTACTGTCAAAAAAAAATTGTGCCAGCGTGCCGCTGGAATTCTGCACCATCGCACAGCTGCCAACCTGCAGGAGCTCGTACTTGCAAGGCTACCAAGTCTGGCCACGCGATGCCTTTCGCCAACGCGGTCGCGTTTACTCGTGTCACCCACTATATCCGACACAACGCCATGCGCGGGCTGAGATCGTGGATCGAGCAGAAACAACTCGGGCAGCGAACCCGATTTGCCCTACCTATCGCCATGGCGGCTCAAAAGGAGCTTGTGGCGGAGACGTGCAAAGTCAGGGCCCGATGGCAGTTTCAAGTCTCCGTTTTTGTTCGTACATGTTCCGCCTCCAAACAACAAGTTTCAGAATAGAAGAAATACACGCCCTGAAGCAAGTTCTTTTCGCAAAGGTCCGTATCAGAGCAAAGAAAGACAGCGCCGATCTAGCTAGAGCCCCGTGCATTGAAGGAATTAAGTGGCACAAAGATGCCCTGCTAATCTGCTAATGGGTACCTCGCAGCGTTGGTTCCAGGCAAAGTCCGGAGTTGGAGATCGTCGGCGGTCGCGCGGTTGCGCTGCTGGGTTCGGTGCCTTCTTGTGCAACGGCTTCGCACCATCGCGGTCGGGAGCTTCACAGCAACAAATAATTTGTTGAAAACAATGTTGAATCCCGAATCCCGCTTCAGCTAGAAGCACGACTCGAATGTTCACAGCAGAAAACTGTGGGGTCTGTGCTGGCCATTGCCCTGACCTCATGTCACCAATGGTGACACAGTACATCTGACTTGATGGTTTCCAGCTGGCTGCCAGTTCCAAGCAAGCAGCACGACGCTTGCTGCAAACAAAATCGACAAGTTGTTCTGAAAGAAGAAATTGCACCTGAAACAGACTCCATCACGTCTACGGACGAAATTTTTCCCTCAAAAAAGCTCTGACAAAATGCCTCGTGCTGCTGTTTTCCATTACATTTTATGACACCTCTAGCCTCCCTGCTGTCGTACTCTGCTTTGCCGACGTGGTTCACATTCAGTGTGTCGTCGGGGTCCAGTGAACCAGACGGCTGTTTGTTTGCATTTGTCCAGCGAGCGTCAAGGCTCCTGAAGGTGGGAATCGTCAACATGGTTGAGGCTGCCGAAGTTTGCAATGAATTCTACCCAGCAAACTCAAGACTTCAAAAGCAACTGATCAAACATGTTGCACGGAACAACTGAAAGCACCTTGAGACGAAAATCAGTACCTGTGTGTCTTGCCGGCATCAAGACGATGCCGTGATTTGATACACGAAGACAAACATCTTGCGATTCTGGAATCGCAACGATTTCGGGTGTCAGCACTGCAATAGTCCAACCTGCCACCTCACTGCAAGCCTGCAATCGTCTGTTCATGACATCTGCTACAGCCACCATTTGTCTAACTATGCCAAGCTGCATTCTCACCGTCATCCAATGCAGCCACCTGGAACCAAATGCAACATCATCCGTAAAGCATAACCTTGCTCGGCGATGCTTCGGAAGTGCCTGCCTCGCAGACTTCTTTGATTTTGCTTGCCGCAGTTTTCGGATCCGTGGGCGGCGTCCTCCATCAGACCGCTAAGCTCAACCGTTCTTTCAGAACCCGCATCCACTATCATTTCAGTCAGAACGAAGCCGTCGCTCCTGATTTCACAGCATTGGTTCGAGTTCTGCGTCGGCCGCACGCTCCTGGCAACCACTACCGAGCAGAAGCATTGCAACAAACAACACGTCAACACCAAGCTGCAATCCAGTCACAAAACAACTTGCTGTTTTGAAGTCAGCAGCACCAATAAATAAATGGAACGCATGTGCAGATGTTCTCCCCATGTAACTTGAGTGAATGAGCCGTCTGCTGTGTACAACACATGTCGGAATGGTTTATGATGCTGTGTTGCATGTATGATGGCACTTTGCACAGGGAATGGCACTTTGCAAAAGGACCTACTTTGCGAAATGCTGCAGCCAGCGAACATACAATAGCGCGCCGAAACAGCATTGCGCAAGCAAACCATACGCGTGATCGAACAAATCGCATGGCGAACTGAGGAAGGGTTTCACGTCAAGTAACAAGTCTCCAAACATAGGTGCGTCAGTTTCGGATTGTCTGCACTGCTGTTTAAAAGAGTGTTGTGCTGGTGAAAACACGATCTCTTGTCACAGACTCGGCGACAGTTGCATCGAAACTAAACGCTCTTCTTCTTGTTGCAGTTGGCCCCACATGAAGGAATTGACCCAGAACAGCTGTTCGCGAATTGAGTAGAAAAACAACGAAACAAATTGGGCTTTAAATCTAACATGATGTGTACTATGTACCGTACACAAAATAACAATGCGAATAAAAGTGGAGGGTTCTTATGTGCATTTTGCGTCTTATAGGTTTTACGTCACACATTGTACATGAAATTTGTTGTTGTACGCAATGCATGATGCATTATAATTTGGCTCTTGTTGTATATATGACATATGTTCTGTCGAATTTGTGAGTATTAGATGGTTTGTTTTTTGCAGGCGCTTGAGAAAGTCAGGCGGACCTCCCGTCACATTTATCACAAAGACCTGGACACCTGAGACCAGCTTGCGCGCTTGAAACCAAAATTGCTGAGTGTGGCAACAAAGAGCACAACAAGTCAAAAGACCCTATCTACGTTCCGTCAAATCCAAACAAACCGCACCAAGAAAAAAAAACCAACAAAAAAACATGAAAAGATGCCTTCTTTCGTATGAAAGCAGTTCAAAGCGTCCTGGCACGAAGGACAAGTTTAATGTTCTTGGTCCATTTGCTTTCTTTTTCGTTTCTCGCTTTCATTCTCTTGAGAAAAACAATATGATCTGCAGTTCCTTTTTATGTCTGGACATTGTTCGCATTTGAGCTCTTTTGTATTTTTTCCTGAAGTAGAGCTCTCAAACCTTTTGTGTGAAGATTCTTCTTCTAGACTCTTTCTCCAGCTTTATGTGTCTCATGTATCTGCTTCTGTTTTGTTCGCTTTTTGACGGCAAAGAGGGATACACAGAAATTTTGACGAGGACGCGACAACGCTGTGAGGACATCTTACGGACAGTATAAATCGCTGTGAGAACGACGTTAGTTCATGAAAGACAGAAAAATCAACAAACAGAACGTGAACACTTCAACAAAAGCAGATGCTACGCGAAATCGCTTACGAGAGTGCGTTCAAGCAGCTGACTTTGTCATTGAGTGCTGCTTCTCCCACAGTGTCGAGACTAGAAAATGAAATCTTCAACATTGAAGAATTATTTCAGCCCAGCAAAAAAATTCCCAAGCATACAAAAGCTCGTTCAAGCTCTCCGATGCGCAGTTGCGGCAGCATTCACCAAATAAGATTCCCACACTAAATCGCTTCAAGCTTGGATTCATTGCAAGAAAGTCAGCAAATCAAAGAAACAAAACACTGTTTAAGAAAGAAGCTGCACACAGGCTTTGCTGACGGATCCTTTTCCCCTTCAGACTCTGCAAGAAGTGCAATGAAATTTTTTCAAGAAGCGTCCACCGGAAATCGCTTGGTTTGAAAGCACTGTCGTTTTTCACAGTCAGCTTGCCCACGTGTCTTCACACGAGGCTCATTGACTGCTTCTTGCCACTTCGAAGCTGGCAAAGAAACCATCTGAGTTTGTTCCACGCTTGTCTTGCACCCAAGCAGTGCCAGTCTACACTTAACCTGAAGCATCTTCTCAAATGAGCCTTTGTGCGTGGAAGCCGAGTGCAAATCCGAAAACTAACATTGAAACTTCCCTGCCAGCAAAGATCATAACTTCAAGCTGTCTGGCAAATTGAACCATGGCAGATCTTGCTGCAGACATCAACTTTTGTTCGCGGTCAAGCCCCCAAAGCGATCTCGTGGGAATCCTTACTTTTGAACCCTGTTATTTTTGTTTATTTTTGGCTTTGTATGGTTTGGAGTTGAAGGTCTTGCGGTTTAGGCGGCTTCAAAGGCGGGAGTGGTTTCAGCAGGTTTTGAAACCCAGGTTCTGCTCGGTTTTGCGCAAGAAGATGACAGGTTTTTTATCAAGAAGATGAGAAGCATGAAGAGCAGCCCAAGTTGGAAGTGTGTTGGTTTGTAAGTAGGGTTTGAGTAGGGTTTGAGATGCCGAGTGTATGTTGCAGGTGGAGCAGTCCACATTGAAAAGAAAGCAAACTCATTTTCCTTAAACTCTTGCGAAGAAGCAGATGGTCGCAGACAACGTGTTCGAGGCACACATTGAACGACTTGTTGTGGTTCGCACGATGGGTACATTTTAAGAACAAAAGGCAACTCCTACGTGTTGGTTTGACATGAGCCGGTCAGAAGGTCCAAACGCCCAAGAAGTCTGGCTGGAGAAGAACATCCCGGACAAGTCTTCTAGACGATGTGCGGAGCCCGGTGGCAGTTAGGCTTGGCTCCATCTGCATTCATTTTTCCACATACACCTGGAACAGTCAAGAGAGGATGTAGCGGACATTGAAGAGAATTTGGAAGAAACCTGGATTTGAGCATCTAGTTCACAACACAGTCCAACTTCTTCTGACTTGGACCGGTCACTTCGCGAGTGTGTTCTTCCGACTTGAGATGCCTCTACCTCTTCACTATTCACTTGCACAACAAGGACTCGCAGCTCATGTTAGAGCCAGACGTCGATCCGTCCGGCATCCAGCACAGACGGCTGAGTGCCACCCAGATGCAAGAACTAGTTGGAAGAGCATGGTGCAGAGCACACATTTGAAGAAGGTAAGAGCGCCTGGTACGTGACCCGGCGTTTTGTAGCGCAGCTGAAACAGGCAAATGTGCAAAACCTGGGAAAACGTGTATTATGACTAGAAAGGTGTGCTGGGAGAGGCGGAGAATTCCGGTGGTCGATCGTTTTTAGCGAAAAGGTGTTGCTGCTGCAATAAAAGCCACTTTTGCAAGCACAGCGCTGTGCAATCTGATTGGACGTCAATATGGTTGACTATGGATGCTCTGCGTCAATGAGATCTGGTCTGAGTGGACGTGAATATGGTTGACCATGGATGCTCTGCGTCAACGAGATCTGGTCTGAGTGGATGAACATGGTTGACCCACAGATGCTCTGCGTCAACAACATGGACCACCTGTGCTGGATGGTTTGGGTGACGTGGATTGCAGCAAACTGATGGAAAATCGCCGGCATTTTGCCTGCAGTTGGTACATTCGAAAAAACCGCTTTGCTTTGGGGGATGCCTGTCATTGAAATCATGCACAAAACACTTTTCTGGATTTTGGAGAGTTTTCAGTCCATTTTCTGACATGCAGCTTTTGAAATAGTGGTATGTTTCTGCATAAGTTGGTGAAAAATGGTTCTTGACAACAATTTGCTTCTGTGAGATGCTCTGAATTGCAAACAACACTCTTCAGGCAAGAATCGGAAGAACTTCTGGACAATCGTCAATGTCATGCAGTTTAATTCTTTTTCGCATGTTGCTATGGCATTTTGTAATATTCTGGCATCCTTGCGCGCTTGAATTTTGAAACCCTATAAAGCTTAAACCTTCAAAGGGGTTTTAAGTGAAGGGAACGCTTGCTTGCGCATGTGCCACAGTCAGCCATGCGGAGAACGCGCTTGCACACGCCAAGCAATGCCACAGTCAGCCGTGCGACGAACGCTTGCCTGACACGCCAAGCAATGCCAGTCAGCCGTGCGAAGAACGCTGTTTGCACACGCCAAGCGCCAGTAGCGCCGCAAGCGCGCGTTATTCGGCCGTTAACACGGCTGGACCCAGTCTTCAGACAGCCGCCAACATGGAGCAGCACTTGCACGAACGAGTGCGCTGTTCCAATGCCTGTTGGTTGTCGGGAAGCGACTTGTTCCAGGTCTTCGGCAAAGCTGCGTGGTGGAGCTTCGTGGGCAGGCACTTTGGCACCCTTTCTGGAGACCGGGCAAGTGCCAAGAAGGATGAGGGCATCATTGAAACCATTGAGAGTGGCTCCGATGAGTAGTTGTTGTAGATGTGCCATTGAAACCAATGGTTGCTTCTTTTCTGCTTTTGCTTGCGTTACCCGCTTGCGCGGTTGCAGCTGTATGCAAAAAGATGAGTTTGCATCCGCCAGATAGTTCTGAGAATGTGTTTAGGTCATGTAGGCAGCGGAATTAGTTAAACCGGGTCTTGGATGTGGGTGTGAGTGTGAGTGTAGTGTGGGTTTGGGTGGGTGTGGGTGTGGAGGCGTGGGCGTGGGCGTGGGCGTGGGCGTGGATGTGGGGCGTGGATGTGGGTGTGGGTGTGGGTGTGGGTGTGGGTGCGGTGTGGGTTCGGGTGGGTGTGGGGGTGGGTGTGTGGGTGTGGGTGCACAAAGCTACGTTAGAGATGCGCGCCTTGTGCGGCAGCAGTCTCGCTTGGGAAAAAACAGCATATATGCGCGCGGCGCAGTGCGCGGCAGTGTCAAGGGATGCTGCCGCGCACGGCGCCGCGCCCTTCGGCGCTCTCTTTTTAGTTTGTACCGCGCACCACGCCGCGCCCGGCGAATTCAACCCCGTTCAAAGCCCAAGTCTTCTGCCTCTCCGGATGGTGTTATTGTCGGCTTGTTTGCTCTGGGAACCACTGCTGGAAAGAGTTTTGCTTTGAAACTGGAACCTGGATTCCAAACCTGAGTTGAATCCTGGGTTCAAACAAACCGTCATGGATCTTGGAACACAAAACAGCGAGTATGGACACGGAGATTCAGAATTGCTTTGCAGCTGAGAGTGCGTAACGGCCAGTTTCAAGACCAAGGCAGTGCACACGGAAATAAAACCAACTTTGAGATTCTTGTCTGGAGGATGGGACATTTGGAACATTTGCACAGTAAAAGAGCAAAGAAGTGCAATTCACTCATTCGAACAATGTTAATGCACCAGTGGGCTTTTTGCACCCCGCAATCGGACTTGGAGCTGGGTTGGCATGCTTGGCAAGCGTTGTCTGGAGATTGGAATAGAACAGGAATCGTTGGTTCACAGGAACTGTGTCTGTGCTTAACACACATGCGTCACGATAGTTGTGCGTACTGTGCCAGCTTTCGAATATTCACGACAAGATGCAGTTTTAGTCAATATCCGCGGAATCAGGAAAGCATGAGTCGGGCGGAGCGGTGGCAAAGCCTGGTTTTGCTTGGCTTGATTGTGTGCCTTGCTTGGGTGGTTGCGCTTCCGTTTGTGCTGCTTGGTTGCAGGTGTGCATACCGAATCACACCGTATTGGACTCAGATTCGGGAAACCTGCCTTGCAGTCCTGGTGGTGGAGCGCTGCCACCACGGACGCGATTGCCCCATGCAGAAGTCGTACAACCTTCTGCACACGAAGGTCCTGTGCTTGTGCGTTTGCGAGTGTGGTCTTGTCCATTGTGGCTTGTCCTGGGGAGTTGAAGAGGATAATGCTTCACAAAGCCTTGGTCGGGCGAGGTCATCATGTTGGAGTCGGGATTCACGAAAGCACGCTAGCCTTGCCGTAACAGTTATGTTACGTATGTTGCATTCATGAGTCACAAAACTTCAAGGGATCTGTAGTTCTACCGGTCTGTCTTGTTTCGTTTGTTCTTTTGTTTCGATCATAGTTAGTCGGTGGTTTCACAAGATGGGGTGCTGGCTGTATGCTTTTCCGAGTGGGACCTGCACCTGCAGGACGTGTTGTACATCCAAGTGGGAAGCTCTGTCAATTCAACAGGGGTGCCATGGCAATGTGTGGGGTCGAGTTGAACTTTCTTGCATGATTACATGGTACTCGCAAAATCCAAACTAAGTTTCAAAACGTGTGATTTTACATAATGCTACTCTTCGAGTGCGGTATGTAGATAACGTATCGGGGGTGTTGTTGCAGGTCACCCGAGAATCACCGTTTCGCTTTTGGCCGCGGTGGTCGGTCTGGGGCCTACGGTAACGCATGTTTTTAGAATGACGTCTAGTGACTGGTGCTCACCCGTATACTGCCAGGATTGGTTCTCTCTGCTGCTCCATTTGTACCTGTCTACGCGCGAGAGGCTTGAAATATGGCCAGAGTTAAGCGAGCACGCAATCCACAAAACTCTGTGTGCTGATTCCAGACGTCGTCGTGCAGCGTTTGCCATATGTTCTGCTCACCGGCCGTTGTGGCCTGAAGGCATCCGATGCAGAGAGTGTCGAGGCTGCTTGGGGATTTGTGAAGCGAGGCTCGGCAAAGGCTGGCTGTTCCTTGCAGGTCCGTTCATGTCGACATGATAGCCATGCTGATGCACTGTCACGACTCGCGCATCCGTGGTAGTTCTGTCTCAGGAAACTACTTTGACCAAAGCTTCAACAATCAAGATTGGGAAGCTGCGCATCAGCAGTATCTCGACCGAGCGAAGAAAGGCCAGCGTTCATCCCTCAGTGCCACTGCACGGTTGAAGATTCAGGTCTGGCCGTTGGCTAGACAACTCTCAGCAGGGAACCTCCGACCGGACAAGGTGCTGAAACCATAGTGCGCGACATGATCGCTTCTTTGGGCGACCGCTACAGTTTCTTGGCATGGATGTGACAGTTCAAGATAAGGTGTCGGTCCAGTGCACATGCTCTGCTTGGGCAAAGCTCGCTATGAATATTGTTGGTAAGTAGAGCCAGCCACGGGTTTCAATGTCATTTCCGCGTTGTGGGTGGTGGTGGGGCGGCAGTGCTCGGTCAGGGTCTTCAGGCTGTAGCCACGACATATGTTTCGTCGGAGTGGGAATTGGCTTGTGAACACGAAGTGCAGGTTTCGCTGCTGCATGTTTGAAAAACCTCAGTGTCTCTCGTCGATGCGGCAGTATCTGCAATCATCCAAGCGTCTTTGGGCGATGTGTTGGACAGGCGAAACAGTACCAACTTCCAAAAGGGTTCGGAAACTGGTTGCTCTATCACTTTGCTGTTTAGCAGGGTGCAACTCTTTCCGAGGCCGTGTCATCGATGCAGCCACTTTCGAGCACCTTGGTGCATCCGGCATTGAACATGTGAAGGACATATGCGGACTTGGGGGCTTGGGGGGTACTGCCTTAATGTGCTCACACTGCAAGGGCAGGAATCTGACAGAGGTAGGGCAGGAATGTCGAGGTCAAATGACTTGGTTTGTAGGAGTGCGCGGAGTTCTACCGAGGCAACTGATGGCATTTGATCCACTCGGAGTGGGGCTCGTGCTGGCTCGCAACGATGCCAAGCAGGCCATCTATGGCCATCTTAAACATGGCGGATTTCATCTGCTATACTAACACTCTATGTTGGGTTTCCGCAAAATGCAGCACGATGCCCACGGTGCCGAGACTTCACAATCCTTGTGACACACGGTCAGTGGTAGGGAGACGCTTCACCCGTTCTCTCTGCTTGGCTTGCTGAGCCTGGTCCTGGAACCAGGTCTTTGTAAGCAGCCCGCCTTTTGGCGGTTCTTCTGCCTCGAAGGCCATCAGCAAGTGTGAACATGTGCTTGTCGGGGTGAAAGCCCAGCAAAGCTTAATGTTGTCACCAGGCGTTCCCTTGAGGACTTGCAAGCAGGATTGTTGTTGCCAGGCTGGCATCAAACAGGGTGACATCGTCGACTCAGTCAACGGCATGAGTTTCAAAGAGCCGCTCCCCTCGTCAAGCTTTGACTAAGCTCACAGACAACACAACATTGCTGTAAGCATTGTGACCTTTTGCGGCGTGACCGGTACATGCAAAATAGATACACGGAGTGTTTGCCCAAGGATGTCGCTGCTGGCTGTTTGCGACCGTGTCGCGCAGGAAGATGCAGCTGAAGCCGGGACTCGATGATGAAAAGACTGTGTCAACCTGGTTTGAGAGCCGGCCTTGATTTTGCCCTGTGCAGGTGAAGCTGCAACTTCACGCGCCTGACAGCCCTGAAGTTCGTGAGGCATCCGACCAGTCGGCCAATCGATTCGTAAACTTGCCTACTGACTTACTGAGTGCAAAGCAGTCCTGGACAGGTGAGCTTGCAAAGGCCAAGACAGGCGAAGCCACTAAACCAGGTGGAGTCTGGAGTGGTGACGGCAAGAAACGACCACAAGATTGGGTGCGCCTACGGGAGAGTGAGCGAGAGAGCGAGAGAGAGAGCTAGAGCTAGAGCTGGTATGGATGGGGCAGCATGGACTCGTGCGGGGCATGGGGTCTGCCTGTGTTTCAAGCCGAAAGCACAGCAGGGCCAGAGATGGTAATCATGGTTTAGGCTGTTCTGTCGGTCTTGTATTACCAGCATTGATCTATGGGAGCCTTCTTCCCCCGGCAGAAGGGGGTGCATTTACACCAGTTTGTGCGTGACCTGGCTTTCGTCTCACTAGCGATACTCTCCTCCGCTCGGGTGCAAGTGCAAACAGCATGTTGTGTGTTGGCACTGGTGAAACCTGTTGTTCTGCTTGCGCTGGAGCAGTACTGTCGTGACCCCAAAAGGGGATCATGTAAGGGGGACGGAAGAGTACGGTTTGGTGATTCCTTGCGTCAGGTTGGAGGCGGGTTGAGCTGCCGTCTTCTTGCTCTGTAGAGCCCGAGCAGGTTGCTGTCTCTGTTGTGCAGGGCTGTCTTGCCGCTGTCAGCTGCCTTGCCTCCAGTCACTCGGCAGTACTCCACCGTGATTGGGACACCGAGCTTCCGCGCACACCGGGGCTCAGCACAAGCAGAGGACTTGAGGCTTGAGTTGAGGGTGTTTTTTCGGGGGTCTCCACACCCCCAGAAAGCGACCAGGCGGGCGAGCATGCAAGCCAACAAGTAAGTAGAGAGCCCAGCACTATCCATGATAAGGGCGGCAGTCTGCCCAGGCAGAGGGTTTCGGGCCTGACACCAACCATTTTTAGGGTTTCAGGGTTAAGTTGCATTCTGCAGCAGGCTTGAGGGTTCGCCCGCCATCTCCGTTCAGGTTTCATTACTGGCGCCTCTTCTGCAGGATGTCTTTCCAAAGTTTAAGGCTTTCCGCCGAACATGTCTTTCTTGGTATGGGATGTAAAATCCAATTTAAGATCTGCAACGGTTCAGGGCTCGCCAGCCTACCCGCTCCTGTCAGATTTTGGGCTCGCTGAGAATGCGTGGCAGTGCAGGGCGGAAGGCATTTTTTCAGTCCCACTGTTGCCTGCATCATCCTTTCCTGGTGTCGCTTGCTGGGTGTGATGGTACACGACCCTTGTCGTGCGGTTTTCTCGTCCGAGCTGTAGTGATGTCCAGAGTGCAAGATGTTTGAATTGAGGGATCAGCGTAGACCGGGAATCGCAGAATCGCAGCCCCCGTGCAGCAGAAGGTGGCCCGCTGTAAGCTCGCTTTCGTCCGCCATCGCCATGATGAAGGAGATGTTGCAGCTGAGGAGAGAATTCGGCAAGAAGCACGCGAGAGAGAAGTATACACAGTGCTTCCTTTAACTTCAAAGTGCGATCATCTGGAGCAAGGCGCATTTACGGTGATTTCGAGAAGAAAGGTGTCGTGACCAATGCCGAAAGAGCGATCCTCGACAATGTCAAGCGATCGTCTGGCATACGACTCGCACGACCTGTTGCACAACACAGCAGGCTCGGGCGGCGCTGGCCTCTCGGCAACCTGCAGCCTGTTGGGAACAACCCGCCTAAGCACGATGAAGCGAAAATGAAACGAGGAGAGACCAAAGTGGACACAGCACGAGAAGCAAGCTGAGATTGACAGTGGCTCCAGCCGGCGTTCAGGTTCGGGTTGTGGGTGTGCAGATTGTCGTTGTTGTGAATGGGTGTCCCGTTGAATGTCAGCTCCCATTGCAAGAGCGACCAACGGGTATACTCTATTTGGGGGAGCACCAGCCCGTGTTCCAGCCTTCAGAAAGACCGAGACGCAGAGAGAGGGAGAGACTGTATGAAGCGACAGCCCCCGAAAGAGAATGAAAAGACCGTCGATAAGGGGCAATGCAGGTACTTTCGACTCCGAAACGTGGGAGCTCGGAGTGCTGTGGACCTGCGGGCAGCTTTGGCAAAGGCAGCCCAGACACAAGCCATCCAGAGTAACTGTATCCCGACATACTGTGCCAGTAAGTGCTGGCAGAAAACATGCTGGGATAGCTGAGCACACTTGCCGGCGTTGGATTTCAGACTTAACATAGTCATGGAGAATCAACACACCCTCTGTCACGAAAGCTAGCCTCCGTGGCTAGCTGAGTTCCTTACCAACCGAAAGGTTGCATTTAGGTGTGGGGAAGGGGCCCCGGCCAGGTGGGCATTTTTTGGGCGTATTTGGGGCTATCACCCACCTGGTGCTGGTTTTCGGCCTACCCCCGCCGGGTCCGTTTTGGGGTGTTTGAACGTGGTGCTTCGGACTGCTTCCGAGTGGAAAAACGGCTCCCCGATGATGCTCATGATGCGCGTTTGTTGGCACCAAGAAGCTCCCAATGATGCTCGTGATGCGGGCTTGTGGCTCGGATTGGGCTCCAAGAGGCCTCCAATGATGTTCGCGATGTGGCTTGCTGGCTCCGATGCTTATGATGCTTGCAGCTCATGATGCTCACGCGTCTATGTTGGGCGCCCGACCTGAAGCCATTGGCATGATATACACATGTAGTTATGGTATGTTTGTGTATATGTACATGTATATAAATATACGTGTGCATGAAGCTCTGATCCAACCTCTTCCAGACACTGTTTTTCTACCATTTCCGCGCTTGTTGGCTCGGATTGGGATCCAAGAGGCCCCAATGATGTTCGCGATGTGGCTTGCTGGCTCCGCTCACGCGTCGCGTACTTGTTCTATGTTGGGCGCCCGACCTGAAGCCATTGGCTTCTAGGCATGAGATACACATGTACTTATCTTAGTTCTCCAATACCAAACTTTTCAGCTTTTGGGGTTCTTATAGTTCAGTAGTAATCTGAAAGTTTACCCTTTTATTTCTGTGACTATTGGGGGAGTAAGTTATGGTATGTTTGTGTATATGTACACATATATATATATATATGTGTGTGCATGAAGCTCTGATCCAACCTCTTCCATATACTGTTTTTCTACCATTTCATACTATACTAGTACTCGAATATACAGTCATATGTAATAGCAGCTGCATCCGCGACGAACAAGAAGCGCAAGCAGAGCATGGCTTGGCCCGGTGGGTGTCACCCACATTGAGGGGGATGGTATTGGTGCTCATTCGAGGTTCAAGAGTTAGGGTTTCTGTATTTGGAGTTCAGTAGGCGTGTATGCATGCTTGCCTTCACTGGAAAAGCCTCCGGTTGTTGACGCTTCTAGCTTTCGTCCCAGTCCCTCCTCCGCAAGTACGAAACGGTAGCGGCCTGTCAAGGTGTCGAAGAGTCTTGAACAGGTCCGAAGCGAGGGTGCGCAGGAGCTCGTTATCGATTTGCGTGGCAACCCAGGCGCCCGGCTTTTCCATTCTGAGTCGATGGGAAAATCTGCGAAACAGACATGAGAAAGAAATGACGCGTGAATCTGCAGTCTCTGTCTGTCTGGCGCGGATTGGAGCCGGAAGGCGGATCTTTTCCAGCCGCATTGGAGATTGCGGAAATTTTCCTGAAACCGGGTTCTGTCGCGGCAGAGGCGCCGTGTGCCGTGGTTGATCGTGTCTCTTTGCGCTACTTTGGCTTACGTGGCTTCAAGGTGAAGCTCCCGACCTCGGACAGCAAACCCCTGAGAGTGGGCGAGGAAGCAGGCAAGCGCCTGCAAGCGCCTGCATCGGATTCGCAACCGTGAGAGCCGCTCGCTGCCACAGGTGCAAAACAGACATCGACGGAACCGCTGGCAGTGTCTTGCAAGCATATCACAGAAGATATGGACGGCACCTTTGCGAATCCGTCTAGTCAGGTGCTTGTTGACGGTGGGAGTGCCAGCGCCAGCGAGGCGGATTGTTCAGATGCAAAAGCATGCCCTCACCGTTCCAATCCTTGGCTAAGGTTTTAGCAGTGGCTTTGCGGGGCAATTGTCGTGCGCCACTGCTTGGATCGAAAACGTTTGGGAAGGCCGAGATGTGCTGAGTGTGTGTGATGTCAGCATTTTTGAGCTTGAGCTGGTTCAGTTTGCAGATTCAGCTGTGGTCATGCTGCTGATTATCCTTGTATAACGCATCGAGGCGGCTGTTCAAGGAGTGTTCGGACTGCCCAACAAGGAGCTCGCTGCATCTAGACACGTAATCTAGTGCACTCCAAGACACTGCATGCTTCCCATGTGCCACGCAGGAGGCTGTGGCTCTCACAGTAGCACGGTACCGCGGTCCTGATGGAACCAGAATCGAAGGCCTTGTGTCGGTACGGCTGTTTGCCTGAGCCGCACCAAGTTGCGCACAACTGTTCAGCCTGCCACAACTCGAGCTGACTTGAGCTCACTGCTTCGCGCTCAGCACAGCCCGTCAGTTGCCTGCCTGCAAACCCTAGATTGGCCTAGATTCCATCAACACATCTTAGCCTTAGCCCTCTTGAGCAGCAACCTCATGGAGCCAGAGCATGCACGGAGATCATGTGCACAAGACTCTTGCATTTTTGTGGCGGAGGCGGGCTAGATCCGGATCTGCCGCTGCCGGGCCCTTCGCTGCCCATGGGCCTCTCGGTCTCAGGGGTGGCAGCCGAGCTGGGCCTCCCGCTGCCGCTCGGTGGAAACCCTCCACATCACGCGCATGACGCGGAATCACGCCGTCAGCCAGCAAGGTTGCAAAGCAATGACTACGCGGCCCTGGATGTGCCCTCGGCGGCGAAGGACACCGTGCATATCCGTGCACTGCAGGGATGGAATGCAAGACAAGTGCATAGAGCACTGCAGCCACCCCCGCTTCCGCTTCAAGGCTGCGCTCCGCTCTTGCGGATCCGCGGGCTGACGGCTGGTGTGCTTCCGCGAAAAGGAGCGCGGGGTAGGGCGGCTCCAGGTTGTGCCGTGCTGCCGGAGCTACAAATCGAAAAAAGCGCCACTGCTGCCACTGCCGCCGCTCAAGCCATCTCTTGAGCTGCGGGGCATGTGGCACGTGGCCGGATCACGGCCGGTAAATGGTTCAAGTGCAGATTGAGCGATGGCAAAGCAAAACAAGGCAGTCCTGGGCCGCAGGCATCAGCATGCATAGTTGCTGAGGCAAGCTAGGCTTCTTGTGTTGTGGCAGCGAGCCATGACAGCTGGCATTGGCATTGAGGCGCGGACGCGAGCACATATATCATCATACATCATTTGTCCAGCACTATTGATGGAATGTGGCTGTCGTTTCACCTGAGGACTTTGTTCTCGAAGAGTCGCAGGCATCGTGCTACCCTTGGCTCGCATCCCGTTTCTTGATATCGAAGTTCGCGAGTTCTCTACTCAGGCAAGCCAGCAAGGACGGTCGAAGCCTGAGCCAAGGTTCCGAGCTTATGGTTTTCTCACATTTTTATCCCTCGTGTCCTGTTGCCGTTTCCAGGGGGGCATGGTGCTGAACTTCGTCGAGAGGACGAGCGTAGTTTGTGCAAGTATAAGCCTGATCGTTGAGTTTGCGATTGCAAAATTGCTGTTCTCTTGCTGTTGATATCTGTTGATGTGGATGTCGTCGCAGGATTTCGAATTCACAACACTCTTGGGAGAGGCTGGCGCCTGCAGTTCCCACGCGGCGTTGAGTCGGTCGGGGGCTTCAAGATAAATTTCACATGGCCTTGCACTTTTCCTTCTATCAAAGCAAGCAATACTTTTTGTGACATCTGCATGCAACTTGGATGTGTGTCGAACTCCCCCACCCATGATAGCTTGCAGAGTCTCGTGAGTTGTCGGGTCGGTGTCTAGGCAGTCTAGCCTCCCACGGACACTCTGACTGTTTAGCGCCGGCGCTTCTGTGTGGCTGCATTGCTCGTAGCAGCCCGACTTCGGCAGGTGAGACATCAAATTGGGGCTGCTTGTGTTCTGGTGTCTGCCTGATGGGTATCGTTGCATGAACCGGGAGAGGGCATACTTGGTGGGCCGACTACGATGATATTGCAGTATGAAGTACTTGCAGATGTCTTCTGACACACTCTGAGGGCATCCGAGTACGGGCAGTTGGGAGAAGACCCTGGAAGGGGTTGGGATTTACGCCGCAAGATGCATTCTGTGAAAGACCGCGGACATGGGTAAAGAAGCGCCTTCACACGTCTTCGAAGCTTGGCCTGCCGTGTCCTCCTGCACCGCTCCCGGTTAGTTGGCATTTGACAAATCGTCGAGACGTTGCAGGGTGCCTTTGCGAGAGTTCTCCGCGCCCGCGGCCGCCAAGACGGACGTCTGCCTCTGAAAAGTGGAGCGAAGCCGGGGGCTTTGGGTCCAATTGCGCGCAAACCCGCGACGTTGTCTCCCAGGCGAGTATGCCATGAAGATTGTGGAGAAGAGAACGATCCAGGATGCCTTAGTAGCCGTTTTCAAGACTGGAAGAGACATTGAGACTAAGTCTGACTCTGAACACTCCAACAACACTCTTCCTCACACTCTTCCCCTCCTCTGCTCTGAGAGGTTCAAGAGAGCCGTGGCAAGCGGGTCTTCACCGAGCGCCTGATGCTCGTGAAGATGCCGCCGCATCCAAGAATCGCCGACGCCTTTCACCAGTTGCCAGTGGTTTTGGTGTGGTGTTGATAATATGTAAATCCTGCATGACCTTACTGGCCCGAAACTATGGGAATTATGGTAGACTCCTTATTATGGGTAATGCAGGATTTATATCATCAACCGTACCAGTGGTATGTGCTGTCCTTTTAGTGACTTTAGTGCGATCGCAGTCGATTGTTTCATGGCAAGGTGAAGCTGCACTTCGCCTTCCAGGACGTGCCTTTGAGGGTTTCCCTTGCCCAGCTTGTTGCAAGCCTGTCCAGGACACCTGGTCCCTGTACTTCGGCTTGGAACTTGTCAGAGCCTTTGAAGTCAAGTCGGAACGAGGGCTTCAAGTCAAAAGCCTCCAGGTCTTGGGTGGTGACCTGGCCACACAAATAGAGCGAATGGGTGATGGACTGAGATGAGCCCGAATTGGCTCTGCTCTTCATGCTTGATCCCACGCTGGAAATGATCGAACCAGCCCTGCAGCTCCGCAGCATCCATGAGGCACCTGCTCCTGGGACTTCACACGCTTTTACACTGCGGAGATCATTGACATACTCTCGTGCACCCTGGAGGGCCTGAAGATTGCAGTGCAAGGCTGTGTTTGCAGGTACCTCCGCCAGTGTCGGGTGGCACATCGAGATCTCAAGCCGGAAAACTTGCTTCTGACCTCAGAAGGCCGACTGTCATGGTCCAGCAAGCCACTCCTGACTGCTACCTGCTTCTCTCAGAGATCCGTTGGCTTGCAATGCTACTGTTTCGACTCCAGGTCACTTGAAGCTGGTAGACTTTGACGCGGCCATGCAGGTGCCAGACGAGGCTGGTCCTTCCAAAATCTGCTGATTTTGCTATGTACACCAGTGAGGGGACAAATTCAAACAACTCCTCTACCCCAGTCATTTGCAAGCCTTTGTCATCTATGCGAAGGTTTGGTGAGACCAGCTTCCGCTAATGTGCGACGGGATACTGTGCATTTCGGGCAGATTCAACTGGCACAACTACTCATGGATTAGACTCCGACCCGATGTGAAGCCCTTTGTCATCATCATCATCAATATTATTATACTCATTGTTGTTGCTGTTTCTACTGTTATTACTTTCATTAGTACCTTGTTAGGGAGCTTCATAATCATGTGCATGGTTGGGTCACAAAGCGTGTTGCAGCAAGCCGTAAGCAGGCTGTAAATACGTTAGAGCCAAGTCGGACGCCACATTGATTGATGGTCGGCGAAAGAACATCTCGAAAGATGGTGGTTTGGCTCGTGTTGTACTGTTGTACAGAGTGATATTGGCATGACTGGTTACTTGAAGAGAAGCATCATCGCATATGGGGCTGCGATTGCACACAGATACTGTAGAGGTTCTTGTATTGCAAGCAACGGTAGCTGAAATGTGCAGTTCGCATGTGTTCTTTCAGGGCAAGAAGGCAACCTGTTGGGACAACAACAACACCCAAGCCATGTAAGAGAAAGTCAACTCCTTTCATCTGCGGAGCTTACCGAAACAACTAGCGATTTATACCGTAGTATGCCACTAATGCAAGCATAACACGCGTGCACAATTCTTCGACACAGCTGGTGCTGAACTCCTGGTGGGCACCCAGGCGAAGCTGTACGAACTACACGCACATCCTGCCAGACCCTCCGTTGAACCTAAGCTACCAGATGAATCTTAAGTAGTCTTCCTGATTCCTCCTAATTGGCATTTAGATACTCGTAGGTATCCTCGCTGTGCTCCCAGTGCAAACACGCAAGAAGCACTTGCGTTTAGAGTACACAATTTTTAAACTTGCCCGCAGGAAGCAACCGACTTTGCACTTATAGTCGAAGCCCGAAAGTTGGAAACCCAGTAACCTCATTCCTGAAGAGTAATGTATAGGGAATCCCAGCACTACTTGTCCTTAATCCGGTTTCCAACCTTTGGGGGTTTACTGTAACAGGTCAACTGCCAGGCCAGAGCAAGAGGATTGATCAGGGTGAAGTGCAGCAATGCCTTTGACGGAGGCTTGTTAGTGCAACAGCGTGCTGCGGTTGGACGTAATTTTGTTGTAGACAACAACGACACCTGCTTGGACTTACGGATCTCCTTCAGGGCGAGGGTGATGCCGCTGGTGGGCGAGCTTCCGGAGGAAGACGGGGAGAACACTGAAGAAGACTTGCAAGAAAAGTTTGCTTGGATACTATAAAGTATAAAGGGTCTCCACGAAACTCCGCCGTTGGGCCCATGTGTGCTTGCGTCCTTTAGGAGAGTTTCCTCCCGCCGAAAGCTTCGTGGGCACTGCGCTGCCTGGGTCTCCGAACGCAGCGCATTGATGGTCGAGTAATGCCTTGCCAGCATGCACCAGAGTGGAGGAGAGATAGACAATTCCATACCTAGAATTGGTCAAGCATTCGCCATCGTATGTCTCAACCTGCCGAATGCTGAAGCTACTCGTATCCCTGTTGGAGAGTGAGTCAGCACAAGGTATGTCGCTCCAGAGGTTCTTCTCGGCACGGCTGAGCCCCAGCAGGCTCGGCTTGTGCAAGTTTGAACGTGTCTTTCATTGATAGTAGCCGAGCCCTTGGCTTGCAGAACTTGGCCAGGCGTTTGCCTTGGATGTCTGGGCTTTGGGATGCATTGTCTACTTGGCGTGGGTCTGAACTTGGCGACGCAGGTCTGAAGTGTCAAAGTGGCCAGGGTCCAGTCCGAGCGCGCATTGCTATGTAAATCATCGGTGCTGAGATGACTGTCGGGAGAACACCATTCCACGCAGAGTCAGAGTGCGGGCCCGAAGTGACAAGCTACACCATGCGCCCGACAGATTGCTCGCATGTTTTGTCACGGTGGATGCTCGATCGTCGATCGGGGTGCTGAGATACCTGGTTTTCCAGCGTGTGCAAGCCCTCGACTATACATGCCCTCCACGGGTGTGGAAGAAGGCTGGAACCGAACCCTTGCATGCAAAGTTCGGAGGATGTATGCAGACGTCAGGCTCGGCAGTTCATCGAGGCGGGGAACAGGGCATGGGGCGCCAGGGTGGGCGGAGCCGCTCCGTTGCCAGGGCCTGTTGCAGCTCGCACCGTGGCAACGCCTTGGTGCGGGCGAGGAGGTCAGGCTCTGACTCTGCCTCGTTGCACCTTGGAGTCGTGCGAGATAGCGCGACTTTCTGCCAGGGCGTGGCTGACCTGCAGCAGCATGAGTTCTTCAGTCCTGTGCCCGACCCAGAACGACAAGTCGAACAGCCTCGGTCTGCACCGGAACAGCTACTACCACCTACCCTCAACTTCCAGCCTCGGGCTTCGGTCCGCGGAAACAGGACTGTGAAGCGTTTCTTCGCTCTCAAAGCTCTCACAGAAGGGATTCGGAGAGGAAACAGGATCCAAGCCTCATGGATGCCCTCCTTCGCTGTAAAGAGTGAAGACGGATCTCCGACGCCTTTGGCCCTCCTGACCAGACTCGTCGATCACAGTTTGTTAACGGGAAAAGTGGTCCATTATCGCAACATGCGAGAAATACCTCGTCGTCTGCAAAACTAAGGCTCATGTTGGGTTCATGGCGGCGAGGGCTGAGAGTGAGGGGTGTCAGCAGGCAGTACGAGTCTTGACATTCCCCCTGTCCATCCGTATCCCGGTCATGAATCGGCGAGGGGGGCACATGGGATTGCCACATGACATGCCGGAACACCGGCGGTACTGTGCTGCGGCCTGGCAGTTGTCGTCTGCGTACTGCGATGCCGCTGGACGGAAGGGTTCACTATTCCTGGGATTTCATGTCAGATGGTTGCCCTTTCATTTCGCTATGAGGGGCACGCATATCCTGTCCACTTGGTTGTTGTCAGCGTTGGAACAAAGTTGCTTAGCTACTTATTTTAGTTTTCCCGGGAGTTTGCACCGAGGGCCTCAACTCACACACGCTGTGTCCAGGCTTGGTTGGTTGCTTCTTTGACTGGACGACTGCATGAGCTGTTTAGTGCTGTCTCTCGCCTGTCTTTAGGCTGCACTATCACACTCATGTTACATGGCCGCCCCTCCTTTTGTTTTGAGGGGCTCACAGTGGTGTCCTGTCCATTCGGGGGCTGCCGGCACCAGAACAAAGTTAGTTAGTGAGTCCCGGGAGTTTACACACGTGTTTTCTGCGAAAGTGCGATGGAAAGGGCATCGGGTCAAAGACGCCCGTCCATCGTGACAAAAGGCTTTGCTGCTTTGCGCCTTTGCCGTCGCACTCTGCACTCTCTTCCACTTCAGACACATGCATCTCCTTGATTATGTCAGTCGTTTCTAGTGGAGTCACAAACAACTTGTGCGCCGAAACGCTACATGAACTTCGTGATGCCGACCCCGGCATATGGAAGCTTAGGCATGGTTTCCAGGCTAAAACTGAAGTAAACATGAAGTGAGCGGTCTTCAGAGCACCTGCACTCTGACCAGTCCCGTTGTCCGAGGAAGGCTACGACGACATCCACAGGTGCGCACGTGGCGCAAGTTCACTTGCAGCAGACGTCTGTTTCCGCAGGGAAAGCTTGAGCGTGAGGCAGACTCCTCCACCACGGATGTCGCGGCCTTTGATGACCCTGCCTCAGCCCGGCACTTCCTGCGACTCTGTGGAAGAATCGTGACTTGTCCACAGGAGCCGACGAAGTGATGGCCTCAGAACGATAGGGCCGGTGTTTCAAGCACTGAGCCATGTTCCAAGGACCGGAGGAATTGGTGCGACCCAGTGCTGGGTCTGGTTTTGTGGGCTTGTCTGCTGATCTGATCACACGGGCTGCGCATGGGGTTCAGGGCGTAGCAGGCATCACCTGTACGGATGTTGTGCCATTCTCGACTCTCGCAAAGCAAGGTCTCACCAGCGTGAAGAGCGCGCTGGAGCGAGAAATGACTGCTTAGCTTTTTAGAGCTGATTCGGATCCATTGCAGTGTTTGAGCCGGTGAAACTGGGGCCGGGGCTTGCGGGGTCCCGCTCGTGGCCCGATGCCATGGAGGTGATCAGGGTGCATGCTCTGACATCAGTCGCTCGGGCAGAATTGGGCATGTATACTGAAGGACCACAAGAACAGCAATAATTGGCAATAGTTGCGAAGGGTAGGTCCCGAAACCGTACTTCCTGTGCGAAGTGGTTCCTTCTTTGAGTTGAGGGGATCTGCTGCAAGTTGCCCCAAGGGCATGGAGATGTCTTGATGCTTGCTTCGGCGCCGCCTGGGCTGGAACTCACAACCGATGCTTGGTCGCAGTCACATCATGGTCTTTGCGAGCTCCGGTGCACATGTGTTGAATTCAGGCCCCGTCCTTTACTCCTCCATCGGATGGTTTGCAAGTGGGAGCAGGCTCGCATCGCTCACGGTCGCTCACTCCACTGCTTGAAAGAATCATCAATGTCTGCTATGCAACTGTGAAATCAGGTTCCAGTCTTACGGCGAAGGACAGCGCGGAACTTTCTGAGCTTCTACGTCGACACAGGGCATGCCTCTGAGCAAGAGGGTTTACCCTGGTGTTGGTTTGCTGTGCCGCGTGGTCGTGTGCTCAGACATTCGAGAACCTCGAGAACCGCTGTCTGCGGGCCGCTCGCTCTCTTTGGCAAGCAGCACGTGCTTTGCATGCTTCCCAGTCACATGAATGTACGGCCAGGAGATCTGCCGCTCGACGCAGCTGCTGTCCGTTGACCAAGGCGATTACATCTGCGCACACCTCAGTCCCGAAGGAAGCTGCAAGGCACAAGCTAAGTCAATGCCATGCATGGCAGTTCTGGGATGCAGCCTTGAAGCGGAGTCGGGGCTCCCAGCCGTGCCTGATAGCCTCTTAGGCCGAGCTGGTGAGGAGTCAACTGCCTTCATCCGGATTATCGAAGGTGCTGTGAGCAGAGTGCATCAGTGTGGCAAGTGATAGGTGCCGCTATGAGAATGCTGAGAGACAATTCTTGGAAGCATCACAGTTTCAAAGTCTGGCAAGACTGCGGTGGCCGCTGCTGTGCATAGGCACGGCTGCAGTGGTATCGCCGAAGGGTGTGCGGCAGCTGCTGCACGAGGCAGCGGAGCGGGCTTCACTGCAACAGAGGGTGCGATATGGCATATTGTGGCATGACACTTGCAGCCAGGGCAGCGCGATCGGAGAAGATGTGTTGCTGGGCTCGCAGGAGCATGGTGACATTTTTTGTTGTTTATTGTATCATAGTATATTATAGTTTGTTGTTGATATTGTGTGTGTGTGTGTGTGCGCATTTTCGGTCAGTAATCCGACTTGGAAGTGCAGGAGTTCTGGCCCTTCAGTCTTCGTGCCGAGAGTGACGTGAGAATCGCATGGTTGGAGGCTTCAGTCTTCAAAGAGGCAGCTGGGAATGTGTGGGGGAAGGTCCACACGTCGGCTGCGCTTCTTCGCTCCGGAGGTCTCCATGGACCTCTCGGGCCATGCCGCAGCTCGGCGCCGAGTTCTCGAGGTGGTCTCTGCAACGCTTGCCTTGCTGTCAAGTCGTCAAGTCTCCTGACATCGCATCGGCCTTTAAGATCTTCAAGTCAAGTCAGCCATGCCTTCCACGAATCTGAATAAATCCGGGCAGTCTCGGTGAACCGGATGAATGCCGAGCATTGGCGGCTTTTATTGGCTTTTGTCTTGGCTCAAAGTTATACGGTCTACTACCGTCCTCGCCGCGCTGGCTGCTGGGCCAGACAGGCTTGTGGTTTCTGACTCGGGTCATCGAGGGGCAATCCCGTTTGGAGTTAAGAGGGTGTTGCGGGTAAGGATTACCTGGTAGAGGTGTACCTGGACGTCGCAGAGGCATCACAGCCGTAGAATCCAGTTCCGAGGAAAAGTTACTCTGCTCGGAACAAGCGAGTCCTGCCGAAAGAGTGTAGAGCAGAGAGATGACACCGAACATCTCATCGATCCATCCACCCACGTGAACCGACGACTTGGCAAGCGCCCAAGCTCCTGCATGCCTAGGCGACATCAGGCCTTCCATATGCCACTTTGCTCGACAGTTGCTATGTTGCGGGAGTTGTGTTTCATTCAAGTTCAGTTCGTCAGTCTGTAAAGTCTGTTCCTTTGTGCAGTGCCCACAGGAACTCGTGAGCTTCCCGTATGGTGTGCCCAAGGTACGGAACCTTCACAGGTTCAGAGTTGCGGCGTCGGCGTCGCGAGGCTGCCGGCGATAAGGATGTGCCATGGCATGCTGGGAATCCAAACGACTGCAGGGGCAAAGAGGAGCAGGCGAAAGCAAAATTGCGATCAAATCTGAACCCATCTGAGGAATTTCCCTGGCAAATGTTCGGCCTCTTTGTTATCATCTTGGGCGCTTATGCAATTGCCTTGCTGCTGGTCAGAATTTCGGGCTGTGAAAAACTGTCTCTCAGTTCTCTACGACGGCTGAAAAAACTCTAGACGCAGGTGCGGCTAGGCGAAGTATTGCAGGTTTTCCTTCGCTACAGCAGGGATTCAGGGTGTTCGTTCAGATGCAAAGGTATGGCTGCTGGGATGTGGCAGCTCGATTGGATGTGCTGGCAGAGAGGTGGCTTGCAGCAAACCAAGAACTGAAGTGGCAGGTTTTTGGGAGCAAAGCAGGTCGTCGAGGAGGCATCTGGAAGAACGAACAAGAACACACCGTCCCTTGAAGCGACACCTTGGCCTACTGAGAACCCGAATGTGTCGCCATGCATTGTCGGGCGTTGCCACCCTTGTCAAAATCCTGCTTGTTGGATTAAGCTACGAATGGAGGATCCACACCGTGGACGCAAGTATACTGACTCTTGACGCAAGGCTTCGGTCTTTGTCAGCATAGGCAAACTGAAGAAGCCAGCCTGCACGGCCCAATCAGGGTTTGGGGAATGTGAAGCCTGAGTGATGAGTGATGAGCCTGCTGCCCGTATCTCGAACTCCTTCACGGGCATTTTGCCCGCGTTCACTCGTTCAAGCTTGTGCTGCCGCCTTTTGCCCAGTGTTTTTGACTGCCCAAGCAGCGTACCGTTCACCACGCCACGTTTCGAGATTTCCAGGCATTCGCCAGTTTCGGGCTTTCCCCCCTTCGCATCTGTTAAATTGATTTGGAGTCCGGTTGCTACCCGTCGTTCCGTTGTAAAGAATCTACGGCACGTAGCGGGCTTACACCGGTTTCACCACCAGCGAATGAAAACCGTATAGATTCGGTCTTCCTCTTGTGCGACTTCTCATCTTTTTTCGTTTAACACCCATGGCATGTGCAAATTCTCCGTGAGAAATGCAAGTTGCAGCGGGCCGCACCCGCCGTACTACATACCGTTCTTCCCCGAGATGAGGGAAAGGTACCTTGTTCCGTGAGACAAGGCCTACATTGTAAACGAATCCCCAGACCGGCAAGCCCAGCGATCTACGACAAATTCCGAGATGTGCAAACCCTGCACTGTTCCGAAGCATGGTTAGCTCACTCCAGCAGCGCTCAACGCACTGTGCACGACTCGGAACAGGAAAGCACAGCCTCTGAAATCTTTGGAGCGCAACAGACAGCCAGTTTTTGCACTAAAGCGATGAAATGAGCCCCTGCAGGTCTGGAAATGTGATGAACCTCACCGGCAAAGCAACAGGAATGGTCGAGACTGAGATCAATCGCACACTCTATGAGGCTGTGCGCGATGTGCAGATTTGTCGAGCAAGACTGTCGGTCACGAACTTCTGCATGCTTTCCTTTGCCAATTATATACTGCTTCTATGATGAGATCACTGAGATCACTTTGGTTTTGGCTTGCTTGTCTTGGTGCCTTCTTGAATCCTGTCAGTGCTACGCAGGGAGATCGTGCTATGGTAAGAGGATTCCCGGCATGCACTTATGACTTTCTGATGTGATATGATCGGTATGAAATACTATTGCAAGGAAGCGTGATGCAGACTGCAAGGGCAGTTTCGCAGAGCCACTTTGAGTAAGGAGTCATGCTGTCAGTGCAGCAACGGAGCTCTATTTCGTAAACCCTGCGGCTGAGGGCTGAATCTGCTGCAGCAGGAGGCGGAGCAGGCTAAGGAGGAATCGCGGCCTGAAGAAATCCAAGTTGGGGTAAGCACCTTGTGCATTGGTGTCGACATGTGCTGGTCTTTCTAAGTTTGTAGATGGCGTGAAGGCAGCTCCCTCCGACCTCGGCCCCCTAGGCTGTCTCGAAGTGCCAAGGAATCTGCAAGACTGGAGCAGGCTTTGAAAGAGCTTCTTGCAACAGCGGCTGCGGAATCGAAGAGCTCGGCACCCAGCACCCCCAGCACCAAGAACCGTGCTGCCGGTTGTCGGTGCTTCCTGGGGACTACTCGTAGGTTTTTGATGGTTTTTGGTGAGAAGAAGAATCGTAACTATCTAAGATACGTAAGTCATCACTCAGCCAGCATCGTCGAATGTGCTGCCAGCTGTGACAGTCAATGAGCAGACGAATGACTGGGTGGGCGTTTCGGCTAGGGTTCAGATTCAAAAAGGTATCCTGTTTGGCAAGGCCGCTGGTTTCCACTGGGCTCAGTAATTCAGAAGCCGCATGCTGCAATGTATTGCTAATTACCAGGCTTGGTTAAGAATGGTGCGCGTAAGGTGCTGGCGGTGACTACGAGCACGCAATGTACTTGCTCGCAGCACAGGCCAGGTGTGTGGGACATGTCAGAGAAACGAAAAAGAGGCGTAGGCGCAGGACTCTGCAATGAGTTTGGAGAACCATGCAGAACTGGCTTGGACAGGAGCTGCGATTGGACCAGATGCGACGAGGACTGGAAGCCACGAATTCAGCAAGCAACCGTCGGTCTCCTGCCAAACGCCGAAATTCGACCCAGGACTGAAGTCTGTAGCATATCCTGCAGAAGGCAAAGAATTTCTAGACTCGCTCGGAAGCATGCTGTACCTTGGCCCTGTGTGGTGTGGCATGTAGGCCATGATGCATGCGGCATGTCATCTCTGCCACCCCGTTTCTTCCGCCAAGATCCGTGGTGTTCCCACTGGCAGACCTGCTGCCCGGCCACCAGGCCGGGGTTTTGGGCCACTCCGGTGAAACGGCTCGGCACGGGTCTGCTGAGGTCGCATATCTGAGCATCAAGAGCGGTGCGGACAAGCTCGCTGATCTTCGATCCGAGTTTGCGAAGACCAGGAGCAACTTGCAAGAAGTACATGCAGAGTTCAAGCAATGCAGGTGCAGCAATGAGCTGCGCGCTATTGTTTGCTTGTGTGCTGGCCGCTCTTCTGGCCTTGTCCTTGAAGGCATGTTGGCCTCCTTGGATGACTCAGTGGACGAGCTGGATCAGCGATGTCGCGACTTTGTGTCCAGTGTGCATATTCTGGCTGCTCAACTATGAATGGAGCAGTTCTGTCATTGAAGATCTTGATTGCAATGCCACTGAGCTTCTGGGAAGGCCTCCAAAAGCATGGCTCCCAACTACCAGCAAGCGGTGTCTGGGCATTTTCCTCGAGTTTGTTGTTCTTCAAGATTTTGTCAGTTCCGCTGCAAGATGATGTAACCTCTTCAGGTCACTGAATCGCTGGGGAATATGTCCGACAGTGCCACCATGACAAACTTCACTACTTTCGAGAAGTCTGACCCACAGCTTGCATGAAGCGTGGAGCTGTTGCCTTCGTAGCAGTCCTATCTTTGAGAATTTGGTGCAGTCATCTGATCGTGCCTCTGAGTGTGTGCGTTCGTCATGCGGTGTAAAATCTCAATCAACAATTCAATCAACCATGTATAGTTGAGCACGCAAGCACCGAAGGAAAGCATGAGGAAGCTGCTGCAGATGGACGCTTGGCAGATGGCGAGTGGGCTGCTGACTTTTCGAACGCAAGTGCTGACGATGTGTAGCACTGCATGCTCCTGTCTGAGAGCCTGACCACGTGCTTTGTCCACCGTGTGAGCACCGCTACAAGCTTCGCAGATCCTTTTTTTCGAGGACCTGGTCCGAAGCTTTGACCAGTTTGGAGAGACCGAGAAGAAGGCACGGCGCTCTCACAAGAATCTCACGTGCTTGCCGCTTCTTCCCCTTCAAGCTCTCCCCGAAGCTTCCGTCGAAGCTCAGCTCAGCCGTCGAAAGCCTCTCATGCCAGGATATAATGCGTGACGCTGCTCGTGTTCACGAGGCTGGGTTTGCAGCACGAAGAGCTGTTTCTGGGCAGAGTGTCAAGCTTTGCAGGCGGATAGAGTCAAGAAAAGTCTCCATGCAAAGCTTCGTAGTTTGTCTCAGCTCAAGCAGTCGGGGCCCGGAGAGGTGACGGTGAACCTGACCGGCATAGTCCAGGCGAGAGCAGCTGAGCTCTTGGATGAGGCAGGAGCCGGAGTCCAGAAGAGCTTTGAGGCATTAAGGCTTCAACATCTACATGGAAGGTGTTGGTTATGCTGCGGATGACATCCAAACGAATGCAGGTGGCTGCACTTGCCTCCATTCGGTGCAAAGCTTGGTGTCTCGGTGCCGGCTTGCGAGGCAGATCTTGATTCGGTGCAGAGCTATGCCTTCACGGTGGCCATTCTTACCGAGCGGGCCGTGTTTCGACTTGCATGGCGGCAAGCGCTTTTTGGCATAGGGGTCGCCCATGCTGGAGGCACAAATGTTCAAGCCTTGCGAAGTTTAAGGATTTCGACTAGCTCGGTGATTTTCGGAAAGCCATGCATAGCGAGGGGCAACCTGATTCGAGGGAGCTGCAGGTCAAAGACATCGCAGACTTCTACCGCTGGACTGCCATGTTTTTAGTGGCCGTGGTGGCTTGCCAGCAATTTGTGCTGCATTGCAAGCATTTCATTACTTGTTGCGGCAGAGCCTGACCGTTTCTGAGGCTGTTGGAATGGCACTGGTGGCGTTCAGCTACGCCTGTTATCTAGAGCATCCGAGACCGCACATGTCAACGTGGCTGCTGATAATGTTGCCTTCGCGTGCATGTTGCGCATAGGTATGTTTACGAGAACAACGGAATTGCGCGAGCCTTTGAGTCTGCGGCTTGACTGCCTGGCCTGCTTGGCATGCAGCTCCCAGATACTCTAGTGCCGTCAGTCGGTCGAGGCCGGGACAGAGGGGAGGTGGATGTGGGTTGGCTCCTTTGGAACATTTTCTGGAGGCATCCTTTAGTCCTTTAGTCCTTTAGTGTATCTAGCATCATGGAAGGACGACAACAAGAGCTTCGAATTTCGGCATTTGTGCCGTAGGTGTGACGTGTAACGAGAAAGATGTCTCTGTCCACTTGCTTCCTCTTGACTTCAACATACCGAGTCGCTTTGACTATTCCTCGTGATCCAAGGATCCAGCAGTAAGGAAAGGTTGCTGCTGGAGCTGTGTGTGTCATGCCTGCAAGTCGTTGTGATTTCGGGAAATGGGCATCCCCGGAGAGATGCGAAGAATCAGTGCTCTCGGGCCCCAGGACTTGCGTGGGACATGTCTTCCACTACACAGGCCTGGCTTTGAGGGTGGCAAGAGCTCGTCAATGTTTATTCTTGCAGGCTTCTTTTCGCTCGTTCTGCTGCAGGATGCCGTCCTGAACTTAGTTGTGTCTGGCAAAGGCGATGCACAGATGCCCCCTAACGTCAGTTTGTTTCTTGCGAATTCTCCTGCGGGAGGGGAGCTGCGGCTGTGTTCTTGCACACGTGACTTGCAGCATGAATATTGTGCAAGTACGCTCATTTCAGCCGCCGATATTCGCATGTTTCATATTGGCCTTGCCCATGCTGTCCCCCTATCCTGTGCTAGCTTGCTGCACCCGCATCCTTGCTGCTGCCCCGCCACGCTTCGCTGACTCCGAGTTGCTGAGTCTCATGCCCTGTGGTAGTATTGCCTGCACGCGGCTCGTTCTGACGAGGTCTCTCTTGGCATGGTCTTCATGACCTTGATTATGGGCACGGTCAGCCTCGCCCAAGTAGGCATTCGACGAAAATGATGTGTTGTACAGCTTCCCGAGTGTTGCAACAGGTGTGGCCAATGGCTGTGATGGAGTGCCGCTTCTGTCAGAGGACCGCGCCTCGGGAGATGAAACTGTTGGCTGTGGAGCAATGCCCATGCCTTGCTGCAGGATGCATCGTGCACAGCCAGCATGCAGAACGTGAGTGCCTTTGCGGCTGGACTGGGAATTGGCCTAGAACTCCTCACTGGAGGCCTCAAGCTAGAGTCGAAAGGTTGCAGCAGACGTGCTCTACCCGGCGACATCCTGCAGTCAGGCAGCCGGCTCAGCGTATCTCAGCACAGAGACCTGTTCGCCGAAGTTGCAAAGTGCCTGTAACGAGCTTTTCACAGAGGCCAACGTCTTGATCTGCGAGAACCTACTCACTGACATGTCGCATCTTGGCTGCATGTGGTGAACAGCATCGCTTTTGCCTGTGGTGCGCGGTGTAAGGCTCGTCTACCGAACCCTGATGGCCGCCATCATCGGCACGGTGGTGTTGCTTGGTGGCATGTGCAGAGTGAAGCAAAAAAGTTCCATGATAATGCGCAAAGCTGAAGCTCGGGGATGTACAAAGGTTTACTTCCCTCCCGACAGGCATCGCAGAATCCAATAGAGTCGAGAGATTCGATTCCGTTTAGGGTTTAGGGATTTGGGTTAAGGCCCAAACCCCATACACCCCAAAACCCTGAAATCCAAACTCTGCAACCTCAAGAGCCTGATGCGCAACCAATCCTACTACACCTGAGTCTAATATGCTGATTGCCGGAACTACCAAACCCCCTGGATAGTGGTATATCAAGAACCTGATGCCTAACCCAAAATGCCTCAGGCGTCAAACGCCGAGCCCCAATCCCCAACCGTTTGAGCCCCAAACCAGGCTCGGGGGCGGGGCTGGGGAGGGGACGTGTTGAGATTTGTTCTAGTTCGCCACGCAGTAAGATTCCTGTGCCCAGTCAAACGCCTCCACCACTTCAAGGTGACCGGGGCAAGTAAGCTAATTTCGATGAACATGCAACCATAGGAAACTGACCGTCGCCAGGCCATGGCAAGGAATGGAAGGGGGTGCAAGTAGCGAAGCTGTGACAATCCTAGACGACGAAGCCTCGGCAGACTTCGGAAAGCACTAAGCGTCTTTCACCAATGCCATTCCCGAGCCCTTTTCTAGCATCGTTGCTGGCTTTGCGACAGGGAAGTAGACGGAGACCTGAAACAAAAAGGGCCAGGATACAACACTCTGAAGGCTTTCAAGACAGCAGAAAGGCATTTTTTGTCGGTCCTTACTGCAGTAGAAGCGAGTTTTGCTGACCTTGCAAGCACACGCATCCCATCGTCAGATGCTTGTGCGTCGTCGTGAGGTCGTGCTGCATTCCACGTCGCCTCCTGGTGGTCTGGATGTCGGCACATCACAGCATTCAAACTGCTGAGGTCTGTCCTAAACGGGAGGGTTTAGAGCCTTGCAATCGCCTGGCGATAAGGGTTTAGGGCATCCAGCTTGCAAGGGCTGATTCGACAAGCAGGTTCTGGCAGATCTCGAAAGAAATGCAAAATCAGTGTCTCTGCTGCAGTTGTTACATGTTGCATTTCCAACCTCTGGTGTGGGCTTGCAGGGGTGGTCCGTTGCATGCACAACGCTAGCAATGTAGCTTGTTGGTTGGCAACCTCAGGTCGCAAAGCCACCAGAAACAGCTTGACAGCGAAAAGATTGGCTCATGCTTTCGCTGTGAAATTTCCTGAGTGTGTCCGTGCCCGCATGGAGTCGTAGCGTAGTAGCGGTCAAGTGGTACAGTGCACATGAAGTGAGACAGAGTTGTCTTGAGCAGGCCGCTTCCGACAGGCGCGAGGCTCAGAGCGTGCCGACGATAGTTTGAGGTTCCGGTTGTGCGCAGAGTTCCTGGCTGTGTGCATCTGATCAGCTGCAGTCTGAAGCCGTGATTTAGTTGGTGATTAGTTGATACAAGAGATGCCCAGGGACCTCAGCAGCCAGGACTCTGGGCAGTACATGAATCGGGCCTGATTTGAGCTTTCTTTGTAAGAACTGGCTCTAGGAGATGCAGCAATTAACCAGCCGTTAGCATGCTCGAAGTGCCTGCAGGATGTGGACCTTCTTCTGACGGTCATGAAGGCGTGCCAACATCGACCAGTCATGTTTGCAGGGGAACCTGTATGGACAATGCGCCACAACAAACCTTAAAGCCTAAAGCTAAACAGCAGGCGCCGAAGGCGAGGAAGCGAAGAGCCAGACTGCATATCACAAGATCAGAAGCTTGATGCGAAAGAGAGCTGCAGTCTGCAAGGCACTGCAAAATGCCTGCTGATGTCTGAAACAGCGCAAAAGTGGGATGGCCAAGCCTTGGTAGTAGAGGAGAAGGTCTGGCAGGCGAGAATGCCTACCATGGTGAGTTGCCAAGCCAGACAACAACAGTCATCTTCTGGCCCGAGGCATTGGAGGCAAACACCAATGTCCGAACTGTTTCCCACGTAGCCCTTTGCTCAAGTTTGAGTTCGGCCGACTCATTTTGAACATTTCCCCTCAGCCGCAGCGAGGGAGGAGAGGAGTTTCGCGGAAGTGCTTCGATGTGGAGGTCGCATCAAATACTTCATTTTCTGTGTCATTTCATCTTCGCAGGTTCCCTTGTTTCAGTCCTTGGATCATGACCAGCGCGTGGAGGTGGCCAAGGAGGCTCCTGGATGCTTCCAAGGTCACGAGTGTGACTGGTATTGTCTGCGTGGAATAGGTCGAGCTGCATCGAATATGCCAAGGAGGACTCTCGCCTCTGTCTGCGTGTGTTCCTACTCCCGATGCAACTGCTTGACTCCTTGACTTGACAAGCGGAGAGGCTAAGGTGCTGCACCGCATGCAAACAGGCACACTGTGGTGGTAACAGGTCCAGGTTGATAATCATGCGACCGCCAGCAGTGTCTCTGGACGGTTACCAGTACTTTAAGGCTGAGCTTGCTAAGCCTAATCGTGCAGCGACTTCCCCAGTTTAGGCTACGCTTGATTCTGTACCACCGAAACAAGCCACCACCACGCAGACGAAGTGTTGTGTCGTTATGGAACAGTGGCCGGGACCACACATCCACCGGTGCATGTATTGGGTTTGGACCAGCTGCACGAGGAAAGATGCTAGTCAAGCTAGCTAGTTCTGATACAACTTTCCGACAAGCCGGCAAGGGGCGAACACTTTGCACGAAAGCTCAAGTCCCGACGAAGTTTGCCGTGTACTTCGTCAAGAGCGAGCAGCAAGGTTACCGTTTGTGGCATCGGCGGACGGACAGTGCGTCCGCTTGAATCCGAAAACTGCGAGCCCGTCGCCTGGAGCAACGCGTCCACGGGCCGTGCACTCAAGGCTTGCGATGCAAAGCGTGTTCGACGATTGGGCCAAACGTGGCAAGCGCAATTTTGCTGCGGCCAGGCAGACTCGCTACACAGATGTCTGATAGAAGTGTGAAATATACGGTATGTGCAATCCGGCATAACTCCCCGCTATGCCCCCAGTATTACTCAATACCAGCATGTATACAGGGTACAGGTTTTTCTTAAGCGGCAGCCTTCCGTGACTTCAGTTTTTGCTTGGCCTGGCGTGTGCACCAGGAGTTGTTGAGTTGCCAAAGAGCGTGCCTTGGCCACACGTGGTTCACCGCATCGCATCGATGAAGTCTTCTCCTGTCCGTGGTTTGTGGTTCATCCAATACCAACCCAACTGCCCACCAGAGACTAACTCTTCCTATTGCACTGGTTTGATTTCGCTACACGTGGAGGCAAATAAATGAGCATGCAGGAAAAACCAGAAGCGGTCGAACGATCCTCCAAAACGTTCAAAGACGCTTTTGACCGGCAAGGGTTGTAAACGCAGCTGCCAGAGCTAAGACAAGGCATGGCACAACAGTGTCGGAAGCCGAAGCCAAGGACTCAATCCCTTTCTTCCTTGTGCTCAAGGCAAAGCGACGCAGACCTCAGTGACGTATATTCTGCACGTTTAGCCGTAGCATCACCTGTCGCAGGTTAAACATAGGTGGCACGTTCGAGCTGCAGTACATGTTCTCTTTCTGGAAACCACCCTAGGCCCTAGACTTGTTCTATATGAGATGTTGCCATCTTGCCCGACGCCCCGAATTTTTCATTGCGGCATAACGAGCCTTGGAATCTGAAACCTAAGCCTTGGCCGTAAACTACAGCGCTCCAAAAATCCTGAATGCCGAAAGCCACAAGCATACATGCCAGAAGCGATGTCCTGCTTGTAAGTCAGAAAACTTTTTAATGCAAGCACCGTATTAGACCGCATGTCCAAGCTGTGCAGCATAGTATATAGGGATCCTGATTCAAGAGCTTCAGCTCCTTTTTTGACGGGTGACGACTGCTTGTCAGGGCATCGTGGGCCGATATGAAGCAGAAGTGACTGCTTCACCCGAATCTGTCGCAGAGGACCTGCTGCTTCAGAAGCCATCAAGAATGCAAGTGCATTAGTACTCATGAAGCATGCATCAGGCTATATCAATAAGCGAATATGTTCACACAAACCGTTTAAAAGTTCGGAAGCCGCGAGTTGAAACAAAGGTTCGCTTTGCGAGAAACTAACAGAGACTTGCAAGTTAAGTGCGTTGACGAAGCACTGTGTTAGATCGGCACCTTTTTTCTCGGCAAGACGGTTTGCACCTTTTGTTTTTTGGTCAGTGCTTGCTTATCAATGTACTTTCTTTCAGGGAGTGTTCACTCCAGCATCGGTAGCTAAAGGGTCATTGGTTGAAGGAGTCCAAGATAAAGGTAGCATGATCATCCAGAAGTCTAACATTATTTTTTCGAACATGTTCACAGATGCGAGCATTAGTGGTTTCTGGATTGTTCGCCTTGTCGTGCCGGCTTTCAAGCTTCTCGCATGCTTCACACAGCCTCCTCAATCGGTGCGGGGCGTGTTTGTTTGCAAAACATATCTTCGGATGTCACGGACAGCAGAGCATAGAGTGCCCAGCACATTGCATGCTTCCAGTTCTGTCTTGTGCACCGCCGCTCCTTTTCGCCGCAGGTATCGTTCCTTTTCCCGACTGATGTTTCCGCGTTGCCTTCCGTTGTGCTTGAGCCATTCGCCCGCCAAGAAACGGTGCCGAGTCTGCCCCCCACCTCCGGTGTTCGTGTTTATCTTTCTAGCCTCAGGCATGCCCAGGGGCGCGGTCAGCTTTATGTAAAGGCTGTGCGGGTTTCCTTCTCATGGGGGCGTGTTCTGTTTTGGGCGGAGCTTTCCCCCGATCGCTTGTTTTGGCCTGTAGGGTTGCTCACCACACTTCTTCTTAAGGTCCGCCAAAGCTTCTTAGGGTTCAGGTATGTAGGGCTTGCCCGACAGCAATTTAGGATCTGATTGTGTCAAGTTTTTGCCATTCTCTGCCCACTGTCTCTGCTCGATGCTTAGCGGTTTCGCCCGTTGTCTCTCTTTTTGGGTAGTTCGGTGCGACTTCTGTGCTGAAACGTCTCTCTACAGTCAACCCCGACCACATCGCAGCATCGGGATTGAACACAGATCTGTGGATCTTAGCAGCCAAGCAGCAGGAGATATCTGTGGAAGCACCTTCTGGACTGGAAGAAAAGCTTCGCGCGGAGGAGGAGCCGCTGTGTTACAACCCGGGCTTCTTAGTGAACGGAGAGTGCTCGGAGCTGAATAGAGCATAAGAGAGCAAAAGAGAGCAAATATGAAGGGATACACCAACAATACTGGGAGAGATCTGAGTTGAGGAGCGAGAAGAGTCTTGGCGGCGGCTGGAACAGGGCACAGCCGAGTGGGCCGAGCTCCGCGAGAGGCTATGACAAGTTCGGTACTGGTACTGGGTAGCAGGTGGAGCACACGGCACAGCTTCTGCACCCTTGAAACAGGAATCTTCACGCTTTCACTGTTGCTTTTCCGTCGTTGATTCGTGTCCACTGTCAACTGGGCACAGGATACGCATGCGGCCGCTGGATGTCAGCTTGCAGGCATTCGGTCCACACCCCTGTTTGTTTACTCGATCCCGCTGCCAAACGCATTGCCAGGAGCGGCTTCGCTTTCACTCGCTGAAGATTCAACTCGATCAGCTAAGGGCAGAGCTTACGGAAGAGGAGTGTAACTGTACAGATAGCCGAAGAGCCTGCATGGAAGCTTAGATTGTGAACTTGCCACTCGCCGGAGGAACCGGTCCCAGAAGACATGGAACCACCACAACAACATGAGAGTTGATGACTTGGCTCTGTCAGAGTGGAGTACGTGGGACTGTTAGAAGGGCCCCGAAGCCGAACTGTTGTCATGTGCCAAGGCCACTCCTGTAGTGGGACCTCTGCTGCTTCAGACATGCAGAAGGCATGGTGTTTCTTTCCGCCTGTGTTGTTTGCTTCGACCGAGTGGATCCGGGTGGTGTACATGCGACTCCGGAAGTGCAGGTGAGTGATTGGGCTTTGGTAAGGGTTGGGTTTTACTTTGTGTGACGTGCTTGCCGGTAGGCCGCGGACGAGCCAACAACGGGTCACTTTGGTGTGTTCCTCACGATGCTGAATCCAGGCACCATCTTCATCGTTTGCTTGCAGGATAGCGCTTAGCAGTCTTTCTTACAATTGTCGACTGCCTTGTCCAGCCCTGCAGCATCCTCTACTTGCAGCGGCGAAGATTAAACAACTGACGTTGCTGTGTCTGCCTGGGCCAATGGCACTGAAGATTGCAGGATAACATGCCAAAATGACGCAAACTATTCTAGGTATTCATGACATATAAAGTATAGAAGGCACATACAACATGAAATTACATCAGAGACTCAAAAGGCATTTTAGGCACATACTACATATAAGACACAACACATGCACCAGGCGGAGACTACATGGAACACTTGCACAGTGCCTAAAATGCCTCATGAGTCTCTGATGAAAAGCATGTTGAATGTGCCTTTTAGGTCTTATCTGTCATGAACACCACATTGATCTCAGACGTTACATACACATGAACATTTGTCGACGACCCTTGCATATGTGTGCGACCCTTACATTTGTGTGCGGTCGTAGAACGTCGTCACTGTCCCCCCCCCCACCCCACCCCTAAAGCATTGCTATCCCCGAAACCTCCCAAAACAGCAGGTTAACACCAGGGACCCGGCGCGCGCGCCACCAACTATTCGGACACGTCCGAAGCCGCTTGTAGGTGATGCAGATGCTGCGAGCATCAATGGTGAGATCGCTGCAGCTCGCCTGCCAGAGAGCCAGTTTGTGATACAGCGATACACGGTGGTACATGGAGAGGGCGGCAACAGGCACTGAGTTATGTTGCAACTCCAGGCCTTTCGCTTGTGCATCTGTTTCGTAGAAGCGGAGGATAATGCAAAGGAGGAGCACCATGACGAAGTTCTGGCGGAGTTCTATGAGGGGGACTTCTTTGGTGGTTGGGTCACGATTGTCGGACCATCACTCTATCGTGCACACAAGGAGAGAAATCTGCCGCGATGGCAAAATAACACTGTGCAGCCGCAGAGTCTTGTATTGCCGGTTTTTTCACATTGTGGCAGGACGTTGTGCTTCTCAGCATTTCAGAGGCGCGGCTGTGGCAGGTCTAGCTCAGGGGGTAGCTCTGCTGTGTCTGAGGGCTGGGTATTTATGTTTGCACTTCTGCTTTCGTTTACCCCCTGCCATGCCGGTGCTATAGTTTCAGGAGCTATGCGAATGATTTTTCTTTTGTCCTCATCGGTTCCCTATCCTCATATTGCACACCCCCCTGCCCCCCCCCCCCGCCGGTCCTTTCTGAGCTGAAAGCTTCTGTTTTGCAGAGGCATGGCGAAAGTGGGTTAGCACATCTTCTCTTACATCTCCGATCCCTTTTCCTAGATGTGGTCTGGCTTGTCCTGACTTGGCTCGGCTTGGCTTGGCATCTTGGCTTGGCGTGGCAGGGCTCGGGTTGGCTTGTTTTGATGGAGACGTCGCGGAGGCAGAGACATGGACATATACTTTGGCAGTGAGCATCTGTATATTATGTATGTGTACGTATGTGTATGCAGGGCGAAGACCAAACCACGCTGCAGCAATGGGCACATTGGTCTTCCTGCGGCCCTGTGGCGTAGACACACGTACATGTGCATTTACACATGTAGTTCTATACACTGTCTATGTGGATGTCTCTCCGTCTCTCCTCTGGCTCCAACCGAGCAAAGCCGAGCTCGGCTTTGGTGTGGCTTGGCCTGCCAAACCAAGCCAAGCCATCACATCTAACTGATCCTAAGTTGATTTCCAGAGCGGATCGTAAAAACATGGGCGGGAAAAGAAGGCCTAGCCTTCCCATCTTGTTTCCTTCTCGCTCCTCGCCTCTGGTCAATGTTGCTTTTGGGGCGTATGTCGCGACCCTTCTTTCCTTCCCCCTCCGGGGCACAGGGGAGATTCCCGTCGGCATAGGAAGAAACCCCACAGCGCAAGCAAAGACACCATGCCCCCAGAGTCGAGGTTTGTCTTGCTAACTGCTGTTGCGACGAAAGACCGCTAAGTGTGTGTCAGTGTGAAAGGCATGTCACCTGTATGAGGCGTATAGAACTGATTCAATCTCTTGTATCTGCACGGCAATAGACCCCCAGGCCGTTGATGCTAGCTCAGTGAAACATAAGCAGAGAGAGCATTCTCTAGCAAGTGCAGTTGACGAAGCATGTCATCGTGCGGAGCCATAGCGCTCCAAGACCGTGTCAAGAAAAAGCGAACAGCCTGAAGTCTACCCAACCGGACTCACCAGGAAGCCTGGGAGGAAGCCCTTGAGCGCTGCGCCGCGACACGTCATGCTGCGCGAGGCCAGGCAGGGAAGTCCTGCGCGATTCTGCACCTAAAGCGCCGATATGAAGCAAGGTGAGCTGTTGCGCAACTGCTTGAGCGGTATCGATGACGAGACTGTCGAGAAGTTGCTACCGCACTTTAAAGAGGAGCCTCCATCATTCGTGAGCACAGTTTCGCCCAGATGTTCATCGTTAGCGCATCGGATCCGGTGCTGCTCAGGAGACTCGGCCGAAGGGCTCGGTCCTGGTGAAGGTGGGGAGTCAAACAAGCAAGGAATTCCCACTCTGTGAGTTCTTTGTGAGCTTTGAGGCTGGGCAGCTGAGCTCGTCTTTGTGGCTCATCGCTGGAGGCCGATGCTCTCAGGCGGCAGCAGCTCCAAAGCCTCTGCACGAGGCGCCCAGAGTGGCGGCTTGGCGCTATGGATTGCACATGATTGCACTGTGCCCTGCATCGGAGGATCGGCCAGCAACAGAGGGGAGGAACAGGGAAAAGCATGTGTCTCGGAGCAATCGTTCCACCACGCAAGCTCGTGCTTTGCGTCGGTTTTGTTTGAAGGCCTTGGCTGCGCCGAAGACGAAGCGCAGGCCTGGCGGAAAGATCCAGAGCAGCCTTTTCCAATTTTGGCAGCGCAAGGTTCTTCAGTGCCACCGTGGAGCTGGGTTTGCTGGAGGTCGGCCAGGCTGTAGGGCTGTCTTCGCCCCGGATTGCATATCGTGCGGTGCTGTTTCAATGTTTGCGTATTTCTCGGAGACGACCGAGGACCACGATTGTTTTGCAACAGGCGGAGCCACTCACTGTGACGGCAGCGTCGCCGGAGGCCCGCTGCATCAGTGGATCGCCTTGACGTCGTGTGAGAGAGGCTGACGCAGTTTTCCGTCACCAGGTGAAGCTGCTACGGGCAGACAACCTGCCACAGGCAAAGCTCACGCCCAAGGTTCTGGAGGCGCCACCTTGAATTGCTTGTTTTGTATCATGCGGCTGAATTCCAAGAACCATGATGAGCCCAGAGCCCGCACACTGTAGCAGCTACAAGAAGCAGGAAAGACTCATCGCTGGAAGTGCAAGTGTGTTGGCCAGGCTCTTCGCTTGGCTCTGCGGGCGTGTCTTAGCTGTCTTAGCTTGAGAGATGTGAGATACCTCCTCATTCAGCGCGAGTGCAGAGCGAGGAAGAGCAGTTGGTTGCTGCAGCGCTTCGAGAGCCTCTCCGAGCTGCCAGCAAAGCTCAGCCGGAAGGCGCGACGAGTGGCGCATGCGCGGCGGGTGGGCGACGGCGACTGCGCTGAGAGCTCAAAGTGCTTAAAGGGCTTCAGGGCGCTGTGGTGCTCTCTCTACAGGCTGAGAGGATGCATGAAGAACTGGAGCGAGCAAAGAACCTTGGTTTGGAATCAGCTTGAAGCTACTAGTAGACGGAAGATTTTCAGTTGCATCACCGTCTACCGTGAATCAGGATTCCGCTGGTGATTGACTCGCCCTTCCTCCGACGTCGAGATCAAGCTTTGCTTCCAGGCCACGCAAGACAGTCTGCAGCCCTCAAAACAGGAGTATTGCTTAGAATCACGCTGGGAGATTCAACGGCTGAGCGCTGTCGTAGCCAGATTGGCTCAAGGCCGAACGACCATACGGTCGGAAGCCAGTGATGAATTCTTGATGAAGTAGTCCGATAGTGACCCGCGCTGCCCGTACTTCAGACAACTGCGGGCATCACACGATCCTCTACTAACGCAGTGTCTGGGATGCAATCACACGTCCCATTCTTGTCCAGAGACCTGATTCGTTCTTGGATCTCTCGGCTGATTGTGGCTCTCTGGAACTTCCCATGTCCGAGTGTTGCTGATTCTGAGGCTAGTCTTCCCTGACCGAAACCACCGCGGTCATGGCAGAGTGCTTTGCAGGACGGCGGACGGAGTGCGTAGAACTCCGAAAGGGTGAAGCTGCCATGACACATGGCAGGCTTGGCCGCTGGTGGCGGCTTCGCAGCCAAGGCCACCTATGAACACGACGTTCCAGTCCCCATAGTTTGGCTTCGCCGATCTGCTGGGTTTGTGTTAAGACTCGAATTGACGGCAGTTCGACCAGCGAAGCTGAGCTGCCGGTGGCAGTTGTTTCGTAAATCCGTTGGTTCGGCGCGTGCAGCAGCCCGTTGTGGCAGAGTCAAGGGTTTGAAGACGCTGACTGTTAACAGTGGCTTTGGCTTCCCCCCTGGCTTTGCCGACATGCAATTTGAAGCCGCTAGTGCCACGAGCAAATCAAGTGCCAAGCATCGCTTTGCTCAAGGAGGCCTTCCAGTACAATCGCGAGAACTTTCTCTGGGATCGCAACTTGCGACGACGCAAAGAGTTTCAGGCAAAACCTGCACATTGCGAGCTTCTACATTTTCATCTACAGACATGTCACCGATTTGCATGGTGAGCACCTGAAGCTGCAGATACAAATCTTCCGTGTTGACCAAGCCGAGCTGTGGCGCAGAGATGTTCGGGATCTTATTTCGCTGACCGTCGCTTTGTTGAAAATATGGACCGCGTTGTCGAACTCATGCGATCGTATTTCAGGGATCTTCAGAGCTGTGCCAAGGAATACAAGATGCACGTCTATTTGCTGGTCAATGTGTTGCTGCTTGGAATCACGGTCGCTCTCTGGTGTCAGGGCAAGCTCCCACACACGACTCCGGTGCCTTTGAATGAACTCGTGTCACCGGTGGACCGTGTCAGAAGCTCGGAAAAAGCTCTTCTAAAGACGCCACAGGTCTGGCTTATGACGGGCAGCGCACTGGCAATGGCTGGGTCGTTCTCCTTCATCTTGCTTTCCATCTGGATGGCCATGCACCCCGGCTGTGGCACAGGCGGTTTCTGGCAGTCGCCACGTATCGGCAACAGATATCCGAGTCTAAACTTACTAGAAGGGTTTGATTCGGAACATGCCCGCCGGCCAAACTCGGACTCAAGATTGTATGGAGAGCAGCTTTGCCCTCGACATGACAGCCCCGACGACCCAAACGCCAAATATTGTTTTCGGGGTACTCTTGACCCGGAAGACTACAGGACAACTAGGGCGGAACTCCACCATTATGGGGTCGGCTAAGGGTAGAGGGTTGGGGACCTTTAGCTAGTCGTATCGAATCCCTCCCTCCCTCACTGACCCACTCACTCACACAGACAGACACACAGAGTTTAGGGATTATCCCAGCATCCGAAACCCTACGATTGCAAGAGCTAGTGTACTGTAGTTGTAGAACGTTTGAGTTGAGAGTTCCCATACCTATGGAGCCAGCAGGGCCCCACCAGGAAGGTAGGACTGCAGGGAGAGACTGAAGGCCGCAGCAACCGCAGGAAAGGGGGGGTTTGTGGTCTGCCGAATGTTTCAATCGAAGCGCAGTGGCCTTTTAATATTAGGAGACCAGAGTACTCAGCGTGCAGATGAAGCCGTGTGGCCCGAAGATCTCCAAGGATTCCTCGAAATGCATCCCGAGACTGAGACCGTAGATGAAACACCCGGCTTTCCAGAATGTCAAGCGGTCTAGAGTCTAGACGCTAAGATTTTGTGCTTTGGGGCAATTCGCTGTAGGGTTGTCTGCCTTTGTAACTTCGGTAGTGAAAGTCTGCCCGCGATGCTTTTGGCTTTGCGGCGTCGGTTTGTTTGTCTCGAGTAGACTCTAGAGGCGGCTGTGAAGTCTCCTGAGGCCTAACTCCCACCGAAATATGTTTCCATACTTGTCTAAGATGATTTTTCCTGTGCAGATCCCAGGCATGCTGCAGTCTCGGCACAAAGCTTCGAGACCCGACTATTGACACAGATGGTTCGGCTGCCGATTCCATCGTGGCAGGCGAGCAGATTTCCCACGCAGAGACGTTGAAACGTTTGTGTCCTATGACTGCCAGTCGCCAGTCGCATGAGTTCGCCTCAGACAGGAGATTGAGGCCTGCCGAACCTATGCCTCCGAGTTCGAGCGCATGGAGGCCAAGCAAATGTTTCGCTCCTCTGCTCAATCTGGTGTGTCTTTGTCGTGACACAGCCGGTGTCGGTGTGTGCTGGTGATCGTGCCGCTTGCGGCATTGCGAGTTTTGAGGCAGTTCAGGGTTGAGTTCGCTGTATGAGGTTTTCCCGCCCAAGCTTCTCCTTCTCCACTCTAGCAGAGGCGAGAGCGTATAGATTGGGAGCTTGAAAACTACCCCTGCTGGTCATCGTCAAGCTAGTTAAGAACGCCCAGAACCTGCAGAAACTGGGCTCGGTACTATGCATGCGACTTGGTAACGACAATCACTACCATACCCCCGTTCCACAAAGTGATCCCCGTCGCACAAGACTCCTTCAAAGCATCCAGTCCCATGAGACTGGCCAGACTGGCCCAGAAGACACCCAGGAGTGCCGTTTGCTATGGGGCCGCAGGAAGGTCTTGCTGAAGAAGCGGAAGAGGCAGCGGGTGCGGCCGGCACAGATGGCCGCACAATCGGGCTTGTTTTGCCGTAGCAGCTTGGTGACGTCCACATTTCCTGTGTTTCCGGGTGGTGGAAACAACCTGTCTATGAAGGCTTGATTCACCTCAGACCAAGAAGCTTTGGAACTTTGGTTGCAGGAACCAGCTGCTCCTGCGGACGCATCCCCAGTTTCCTCCACCAGGCCTGGGTCGGTTTTGCTTACCTTATGGAGTCGGAACTTTCCCCGAGCGTTCTAAACAAGGGCAGCCATGTGGACTTGTAAGTAAGAGTCAGACACTTGGAAGGTCGCACGTGATGCCAGGATTGTACTTGTTTACCTATTGGGCAACCCCTGGCAAGCTTGTATTGAGATCTCGAGACTGAGCGATTCGCCGTGTGGGTATTCTTCCCAACGAGTGTGCTCCCTCTTCACCACTCTTTTGCACAGCATTTTATGGGTAGATGCCTGCATCTTCAGTGCATGCGACTATGCAGGGCTTTCTCAGCAGCATGTCCGACGGTAGAGTTGCCAATGTTGAGCAGTGTGGCATATTCGTTTCGCAAACGAGAAGCCCTCCCCATCGTGAGCTTAGGCGTGAACAAACACTTTCCACTCCCATCTCGTGTTGGACAGCATCTCGCAAGGTTTGGGGAAACGAATCGGCATGTGGACCCTTGGGCGACTTGGCGGACGTGTCGGTGTTCCAGATTCCTGTTTTTACCTTGATTTCGTGGTTTGGAGGCTAGGAGTAGGTTTGCTCAGACCTCGTACGTGGCACTCAGTTACCACGAAGCACCAGCCTTCTTGGAGATGTGTTTTAGCTTTAAGCGAGCTTCTTTACAGAATTTCCTGTGAGCCGGCTTGGCTATGTCATCCTGGAAGTACTGTCGAACCAGCTCAGGGCCTTGAAGGCTCGGGCGCAGACATTCCTGAGCTCGGGTGTAAGATGGGCCACAGCCACCTGGCAAAGCGTTGCCAGAGACGAGCTTGAGTCTTGCTATCCTTTTGAGCTTGCCTCAGCAGCTATGCTTGTGAGCTGCAGGTGTGCAGAAACTTCGACATGTGAAGCTAGCTCGGCAAGCGATGGTGTTCTGGCAAAGCTACGACGCGTTCGCACGAATTTGCATGAGCATTGGGGTGAACCAGCTGCTGAATGCGGCAAGCTACTTCATCCTGGCGTACTACATGTCAGAGGTCAAGGTTCCATCGTCTGCAACCTATGGAATCTCAGTTGCATGTAGCTGTTGCTTTGCCGATTCGTCTGAGCCACTTGGAGCACCCTGTGAGAACCCCAGGTGTTGTCGTGCTGACAACTATGGCTGAAACTTTGAATCGACTGGACATGTCTCTGACATGGTGGCAGCTTCGCCTCATGCAGTTGTTCCTGTATCTGGGACCTGCAATTGCAACGCTGGCTGGATGGGCATACGTCACTGGCCTCATCTTGGCAATGCTTGTATTCTCTCCTGGCGAGGTCATGTATCCAAATGAAGAGGTTGCTAGGATTCTCACGGGTTGTGTAGACAAATTCTCCGGATGGGATTGAGAAATTTGATCGAATTTCATGCTTGCTTCGACGTGTTCGCTTTGATCTCGGAGGAAGGTCGAAGCTTCTCTTTGAGTTGTATAATGTTTAGTTGAGCTGAACGTGCTGCGAGAAACGGGCATCATGCTCCGTGGGCAAGGCGTATCATCAGCAGCTTGTTGACTTCTTGACGGTGGTACAAAGTGGCGGCAACGCCAGGGATGGGACAAGCTGTTGTTTCTTTTTAAGCAGGCGCGGTGCATGACTTTTGGATAAACCCGCTTCTGCTTGCTGCAAGAACCATGATCTTCACTAGCGACTGCAGCAGCAGCAGCGGCGGCGGCAGCAGCAGCGGCAACAGCAGCACAAGAGCAGCAGCAGCAGCAGCGGCAACAGCAGCACAAGAGCAGCACCAGCAGCACCACCGGCACTGTGACGAGGGCAAGGGTAGCGCCTGCTAAGAAGATTGGTACGAACCCGCTGCTGCTGCTGATCACGATGATGATTGGCAGCGACAATGCTAATGACGACAATGGTCATGGTACATGTGGACGATGATGGAGGACGA